TAAATGTAGGACCCACAATGTTTATGTTTATATTGGATTGAATGGGTAGTGCGCAGTTGTCGCTGCTTTGGCAGCCCACTTGCGGGTTAAATATTTGCCAGTTTCTGCTTTTGAACGAGGGCTAACGCTTATTGGTGTGATTACCATTTGGATAGCGTCTATTTGCCCTTGTCTGTGTTTACGCTGCGGTTTGCTTATTGCTGTCAACTTTTCTGCTAAATTATATTCTAGTAATCTGTGGGGCACACTGCCGCATGAAAGTATTTCAACAAAGATTTTTAGTTCTGCCTGATGAGTGAAGTTGGTTCGCCCAATGGGCAATTGCATTTATCTCGCTTCTGCATATACAGAGTGAAAAGTCTGTTAGCAAACAGCATTCCAGTTCATTTGTTCTTTACAATTCAACACTTTAACTGCCGCACACACATATGTACTATATATATAGATATATATTGATTATATGGGCGCAAGGCTGACCCATATATAATTTACATTTACAGGCGCTCAACGGCTGCCATTTGCTTTCGCATACTTTTAAGCTGTCAATTTATTATAGCCCAGTTTTAAGCTGTCTATTTAATATTTTGCCAGCAAAGGCTGTTGCATCCAGCTAGCTGTTGGCTGCCGCCCATTCAATATTGATGCGGCAATAGGCAACACTTTAAGCACACACTTTATGCCATGGAATAGCCTTAAATGTTATCTGAATGGCCAGTCGGCCGTAGGTGCGGACAGGCGACTTGCCCTTTCCTTTTTTTATTTTTTTTTGGCCTTGCCATCAACAACATCAATAGGGGACATTGGCGAAAGATACAGATGCACAGATACAGATAGCAGCCAAGGTAAAGGTACACGGAATCCTGGGCCATCTCACATGTGTCTGTGTGCGAGGTGAAATTCAATTGGCAAATGTCGAAGACAACACGAACTGGCAAAACTTACCCGCTGTAACTTTTCGACTATTTGCACTGGCTGCACTGACATGCAAAGTAGCAGAAAAATTGTATAAAGTAGCTCCGGCTGCTGCAGCTGTAGCTCCAGCTGTATCTGCAGCTGTATCTTGTAGCTTGTTGTAGTTGCAGCTTGAAGCTGGCTGGCTGCTGCTGGTGCTAAAGCTTTCGTTTTTGGCTTCCTTGACGTATCTTAAAGATTTTGAACAGCATGCAAACTTGTCGAAAATACTCGTATATACGAAAATTGTTTAACAAGTTGAATGCTGCCAACATTGAGCTGGCAGTGGAGAGCGCCTGTGAGGAGGTGAAGCAACTTTTTCACCTGTTTTCTTTCCGGGCCGTGTTGAGCCGGGTTTGGGCTTGGCCTGCAAACTTTTCACGCCGGGCCATAAGTTTGGCGCTCTGTCTTTGCTTTTTAGCCAACTGCAAATTCCGGCAGACGCAACGGCTTTAGTTTCAGTTTCAGTTTGCAGCTTCAGTTTCTCAGCTTTTAATTAAATAATTTCTGCTAACAACGGCAGAAGGCGGCAATAAAATGTTGTTCCCCCTCTCTCGCTCTTTCGCTCTCTTTGAAGTGAACATTTCATATTTGATTTGGCTTTGCGTTCGTTTCGTTCCGTTTCGTTCTCTGCAATTATTTCGGCTGGCAAAATATTTAACTGCATTTCCTATTGATTTTACTGCTTTGTAATCAACTTGGCTACCTGCAGGCAGCCAGGAAATTGACGATCTCCTGCAATTGTTATGCCTTGCCAAAGCCGGTGCCCCGGCTCCAGTCGCTGTCGAAGGCAAAGTCAAAAAGCCATTGCCATAGCCTTAGCCATAGCCATAGCCAGCAGTCATCCAGGAAGTGAGCGCAGCTGCATTTGTCTATTTTTCTTCAGTCTTCTTTGCACACCCACACACACACACACACACAACACACACACATACACACATGGAAAGTTGCAGCGTTTTTAGCAATTTTACTTGACTTCTACTGCTGCTCTGTTTGCTCTTGGTCAATAAATGAGCGTAATATTAAGACATTGATTCGTATGGCTAAAACGACATTGGCAACGCAGGTGAAGCAGAAAAATGCAATGCAATGTTTTCCGTTAACTTTGATTCGTATGGTCAATAGAGAACCGGCCAGCCTAAGGGCCATTTGCTTCTCCTTTTTTCTTCTTGCCAAGCGGTAACTGGCAAAACGTTTCTTAAAATCGGTAAACAAAACTCAACAAAAAAAAAAGGGTCTAAAGCAAGCAAATAGTAAACTGTTTAAACAGTATCTGAATAACTTTTTTTTAGCTGCAGCAACGGGTGTTGGAATTGTGTTTCATAGTTTGGTAGCAAATAGACAGTTTATGCGAGTCTCTGCTGAAATTGTTGGGCAAGGCTAGACAAGTTTGCAGCTCTTGGTTTCATTTTCCAATTGCCAACACCACAATTTACCTTGAAAATATTTCAGTTTTTCAAGAGGAATCGATTCAAGAGTGCACAATTTGAATCGAGCTGCCATCAAATAGAATTACATTCATTTATTTATGGAACTGAAGTCCAGGTAAGTCAGAATTAAACAGTATCGTTCATATCAATGAAAAGTGGATCAGCCAGATTCTCTTAACAGCAAAGCAGCTTCAAAAGTTTTCATCAAAAACTTAAATAGAGGTTGGAGCGCAGTGCTTAACTTGAAGTAGGCAACAATATTTTGCAGCTCAGTTGCAAGATGCTCAGCCAAATGACAGCACAAGTGTGTGTCATGGTTTTTAAAAAGTCAACTAACCAAGTTGGCTGGACCCCGCTACACACACGTAAGCACACAGAGAATTTGCGACAAAGCTGCATGCAGCACTTTGACATGAATCTAGTGTACCTAAGCATGTGACTGTGACTGTGTGTATCTGTGTGTCGGTGTGTGTGTGGCCAACGTGTAGCGCAGCGAGCCAAAGGCTAATTCAAAGTCAGAGCGCGCACAATGCGCACAAACAGCAGGCCCCCTCCCGCGCTGCCTCCTCCTACACTCCTCCTGCCTGCCGCTCCATTCGTTGTTTTGTATTATGACAGCAGCTGCACCTGAAAGTATGCAGTGATTTTTTTCACATGCGCCTCTAAAATACTGTAAACAAAAACCGGCAACAATAGAAAGGTGGCAATAGTTGACAACGACGCTGTGGCATTCGAAGTGTTCATTGTCCAGTTCTAGCCACTGCGTGTGTGTGCGTGCGTGTGTGTATTTCAAAGCAGTTGGCATATCAACTGGTCGGACATGGTGTAAACACGTTTAATGTTGTTGCCCCCTGCATTGCTTGGGTGCAGTTGCTCCAGCTTGGGCTGCAGTTGCAGTGTTGCTGCTGCGTTTAATTTAATCTACTAGTCGAGCTGCTACCTTGACATGGACTAGCACAGTCACCTCACACACGCACACGCACGCATTCGTTTAAGGCCAACTGTATGTGTGTGCATGTTGGCTGCTTGAGTGCACCGCAAGTCCATTTAACTTAACTTTGGCCGTACATGCACGGGCATTGGGCTGGGCTTTCGGTACGGACGGACTAGCTTCTGGCCATCAGACGCTCTTTGCCTGCCTGCCCGCCTGCCCGCCTGCCTGCCTGTCTCACTGCATCACTCAAGCGCACGGCCAAACGGTGACAGCGCTGCGTATCCATGCACATATGTGTGAATGTGCGTGGCTGTGGCTGTGGCTGTGCCTGTGCGACTGCGTCTGTGGGCAACGTAATTTGCATGGTCAGCATGCAGCGACAACGGCAGCAGATGGGGCCTGGGGAATACGAATAGGAATGGAAGCAGGTAGTTGCAGTTGCCAGGCCCTGAGCAGAGCTATCCCTGCTTAATTGCATGCTACTGCATTGGCAACTTCATGCTAGCGAAATCCAATTGCTGCTACCAAAAAGTGTTTCCTACTTTCGGGCTAGTTACAGAGCGTTTTCTTAGTGTTACTCTCTAAAACATGCATATTAGCTTCTGTTGTTCTGCAGTTTTCAAGCATCAATGTCCACACAACGGGGGCACAAGGCACAACTTTTAAAGCTTGATTTCCAGGTGATTATAGGTCCAAGTTTTTCTCGACTTTCTGTCTCTGTGTGTGCGTGTGTTCACGTGATCCGAAACATGTGCACCGCTTTTTACGGCCAATACGAATGCATAGCAACAAAAAAAAAAGAAAAAAAGAAAAAAGAGTAGTACATTGCACAAGTGCCGCGACACGCAAAACATTAAAAGGGACTCGTTGATTTTTTTGTTTTGTGCGTTCCACAGTGTCGGAGTCAGGGAATCAAAATCAGACCGTGTACATATGTATGTATGTAATATGACAAGAGCTGAGTGAAAAAATGGCAAACAAATGGTGCGGCATTTGCTGCCCGTTTTTTGTGCAACTATCAACCGTACGAATCATTTGCGAGCGATTTAATTTCAATTGCATGGGCGTTAATCAATGCCAACAAAAGCCAACTGCCATTTAAGGCAAAAGAAAACAACAATACAAAATCATAGCAAATGCATAAAATCAAACCATACAATTAAATTAACAAAAGTTGAAATCCTACAAAACAATCGAATGAGCGCAAATTGAAAAATGAAATGTCACAGCTTCAAATTCAAATACGCGCCAAAGACACATTAAATACTTAACAACACTGGACTTGAACACTAGTTTCTTTATTTTCCTACCGCCACTATATATCGAAAGTATATCGAACGGCAGCTCGATATCGTGTATCATTCTGCCACCACCAACTAACTATGAGTAGAACGTATAAATTCACAAACTTAAAAATAATAAAATAAATATAAACATAATCCAAGATGAACAAATAACAACTGCATTAACATTTGAATTTGAATGCATTAGTAAGTATTTCAATATATTTATAAAGCTGGCGTTAAAACTAATCTGTCAATTTTATACTCCTCAACTTAGAGATACAAAATAACAATATATTTAAACAATAATTAAGGTCATTAAGCATTGAAATACGTGAGAATTATTTTAATTAAAACGAGAGCTTAAACCAAAGTAGTAACAAATTTACAAAACAGAATATATATACTTCTATATATAATTAATAACAAATGAACGGGAATCGAAAGTTTAAATCGCTGCGGCTAGTGCGATTCGGTGAAATCCTCTATGATCAGCAAAAGCGTCTCATATTGCTGTGCCGATCCTGCTCGCGTCATTATTTATCTCTGGACGCATTTCAGACGCATCTCAACAAATGCATTGGCGTCAAGCACATAGTCACGTCCATTGATGAGCTGCTCTACGACGATGAGAAGCGAGAGACAAGATTAGTTAATGGCAAGCAAGAGGTAAGTGTATCCTCAGTGTCTTTAAATATACGCTAAATATAAAATATTTCGATTGTAGCTGCTCATCTATGAGCCTAACGCGGTGCGTAATATCAACAGTGTAAAATGCAACATTGACTGGGAAGCTGAGCTCGAGGATCCGCGCTGGTACACAGAGGAGAGTCGAACGTTACCCAGCAAGGTAAATCAATCGCCCACCAATGCCAAAGAAAATGTTGCCAAAAGCCGCCCGCGTAATCCAATAGTTAAGGATATAGACAAGGAGAAGCAGGCGCATGCACAATCGCCCGAGTCACCCGCCAAGCGAATGCGCCATTCTACGCCCAAACGAACGATTCTCGCAAATCAACAGCAACACAAACTACGCGGCAGTTCAGATATGCCCGCAATGACAGCTAATATAAAAAACCAAATATATGTTGTGGAAAATATTGTTGAGGACTTAAGACGTCTAGACGCAATGAGAACTGCCGATGCAGCCAACTCAATGACAACAGCAGCAGCAATGACAAATAGTCCAACAGCAGTTGAAAATCCATCAATGATGTCTACACAAACAGCGAGTACGCCTAATGGGGGCGACACACAGCAAATACTAAACAAGTTGCGTGCTTGTGGAGTCGAAGTGAAGCGTCGCAATACGCGGGAAACCATTGAAAGCTCTATCGATGTGGATCCAAAAAAACAACTGGCTCTGGATATAATGCGAAAATTGCAATCGAATGGCATCAAGTGCACGAAAGTAAATAATTCTAAGCAATAAACAATTGTATGCAATTTCACTTCAATATATATATAACTGCCCGGGCATGCCTACATGATGTATGAGCTTTGAATTCATCGCTTTCCAACCGCTTGGGGGGAAATACACATTTAAACAGCTGTTATAAACAATTGATTTGTAAATCGCACTAATTGCCATTCACACGAACTCGTATGAAGGTTATCTCTAGTTGCTCAACTTAGAGATGAGCACTTTCAAAGTTGACTGTGATGCTTCCATACAAACATTAAAATATCAAAATGCACATATAAGCTACTTATTGCGAATAAAAATTATAAACTTAAAATTGCACTACGCTTTTATAAATTTCAACGTATTTTTATATGTGTTTATACAATATGTTCCAACTGCAACGCGTTACTTTGCGATGTATGTACGCAAAACTGGCATGAGTATCGAACACAAATCTCATCTCTAGTTGATTATTAGTTGGTGCCGCACGCGTGCCATTCAAGTCGAAAGAAATTGGTTAAAAGTTAAACTGAAAATACCGTCGTTCAGTGTATTTATATTTTATAAAAGTTCGAACCGAAATCCGCCAAATTCGAGTGTTGCGTGTGGCCAGCAAACACAGTGGCAGGAAAACAGGTACGATTAAAGCCACGGACTTATATAATTTTTGGTCATATTTTGTGTCCAAATTTGTTTTGCATTTATAGATTTATGTGTCAAACTGCAGGCAGCCAATGACATCATGCCTTATTTTAGTTTATAGGCGCCAAAAATTGCAGTTGCCTAATAGTTAGAATACTCTACAGAACTATGAATTTGGCGTTTATTTAATCTCTGTAAATCAAAGTTTTGTATGATGATAACAGAACTGGTTTTGGGTGAGAAATACAAACGCAATCGACAATCAGAATTTTAATACGCAAAGGCCCTCAAAATTCCTAACATGCATAAGTTTTGGATGCAAAGAAGCTAATAATAAAATCTATAAAGCTGTTATAGAAGCTCGACTTGTGGCAAAAGTTTTTAAAATTTGTAGTTTTTTGAGTAGAGACTGGAAAGAAAAGACAATTGATAACTTAATTTCAAATGTACATCTTTATTTGTTTTATGAATTGAAATTTGTATTCTTAAGTATGTGGAATTACTTGTTTGCCTTATCATTCACATACAATTAGCTCTTACAATCCTTTGTAATATTTGAGAATCTTGCCTTACTTTAACTGGCTAATTGAATTCGTTTCATTTGCATTTCTCATTCTTATTTTAACTTTCATCCGAGTGCCATTTTCATTTGCTTTTCATTTTATTTTACTGTGTTATTTTAGGATAAACTATTTAGTGCGTGTGCCCATTTTTATCATTTGCTCTTTAATTAATAGGTTGCATTATTTTTTTGCATTTTTTTCTGATATTTATTTTTGTTTTCATTCGTTTTAAACATTAACTTAAAGCTGCTTATTTTGTAGTGCCTGTCACACAAATTACAATTTTCGTTTTGCAATCACATAAAAGAGGACATAAAGTAATTATTTGATATATTAACAAGTTGAGAGACAATTAGTACGCAGGACACTCAACATTAATAAACATTTATGATATTTTAATATATACGAAAATATATGTAGTATTTATGCTAAATGTAGATGCTAATTTAAGCATGTATGTGTACTCAATATTCTGTGTGAACTAAATGCGTTTCATTCACTTCTTTTTCACGTTTCACAATTCATTTAATATAAACAAACTTTTAATTTGATTCAAAGAGTCGCTGCCGCTGCTGGTACACCTTTCTTAGTTCCAATTGCTGCTGCTGCTATTCGAGTGAGCGACGTCGCAGTTGTCTGCGCACGCTGCCCATGGCAGCACTGCTGCGATCGAGCAACTCATTGGATAAACGGGCCAGAAGTGGCAGCTCACGCATGGAAACATTCACCGATGGCAGTGGCGCCAGCTGCTGCTGCAGCTTTTTGATCGAGCTCGCATTTGTTCCGGGCTGATGCTGCGGCGTTACGGGCAGGCTGTGGGTAACTGTCACTGTGGGGGCTGTGCTGACTTTGATGACAACATCCCTGGCATCCACATCGTCCACATCGGTGTGGCGCTTCAGCGCCTCGGCGCCTAGTGAATCTGGTCGAAGCTCTGTGGATTTTGCTCGCTCATTTTGTTGATGCTTGGCCGCCTCCTTAAGCATCATCAGATGATCGAGCTTGTCAACCGTAGCCTTCAGCTCGTGCTCCCACACATCGTTCTGCTGCTGACCGTCACCTCCTTCGATGGGTCGCACTGCGAGTATTTTGACCTTTTGGCGTAACGCTTCCAACTGGCGTTCATCAACAACGCCGCGTAGCTCATTGCCAAATCCTGTTTCATCATAGTCGCACACATTGTCCTCCTCTGCCTCGTCCTCTGTCTCCACAGCAGATGCCGTTGCAGCTGTGCCAGCGCTTAGTGACATTTGGCTACCCGCTATTGATGGAAAGTCGCATTTCTCCAGCTCCATCTGGAAATCGGGCAGCGATGGCAACGTACTGGAGGTGGGAGTATTTAATTCAGCGCCCACGCCTGGCTCACGTGGTCCAGGCGGCGGTGGAGAACCGCTTAACGCTGGATAATCGCCGCGCTGTCTGTGTATGTCCTCACTGATGCGCTCCAAATTGCGCAAAGCCGTGGAGTAGGTCGTCTTGGCACTGCTCACCTGCTGCTGCAGTTCTTGTATGCGATTCTTCTGTGTCTGCAGCTGATCTTGACAGACTTGCTTCTCCTCAAAGTACGGACGTGATTTGTTTATGCTGCGCCTGAACCTATCCTCGAGCTGTTGTAGCTTTTGTTCGGCGCCATGAAAGAGCCGCGTGCGGCGCTGGTGTTCGGCATGGCAGTCTGCCTTCTGTTTCTCCGCGTCCATCACCTTCTGGGTGGCATGATTCAGCATCTCCTGCCAGGCGTTGTCGAACTGCCATTCGTGTGAGTTGGACATAAAGCGCTGCTCGGCCAATGCCACAGTTTCCTTGGCTGCTGCATGGATTTCTGTAATACGCATTTGCTTTAGCGGCCATTCGAAAAGTTGGATTTGTGGCACTCACCATTGGCTCGCTGGAACTTGACTGCTGCCTGTTGGCATTCGATTTGCGCCTCGCGCGCCTTGTCCAGTGCTTCATAGTAGGGTCGAGCCTTCTCAATGCAATTGCCTAGCTTCTTGGAGGAGAGTTTTAGGCGGCGCGTCGACTCATTCAGTAGAATGCGGAACGTTGAGTTGGCCTCCTGTTAACGATTAATATTAATATTGAATGCCATTGACAACTGATGGATGCTTTCAATTATTACCTCCAATTCGATTTCGAGTTTATTAATCTCATCCGTGGCGCTGTTGAGATTCTCTAGTTCAATCTGTAAGCAAAAAGCAGAATATACCGATTTAATATTAATCATATTATTAGACGAACTCTTACGTCTTAAGCCAAGTGCTTTGTTAAATTAGCCAGTTTATTTAATCTAAAGTAAATTCACAGTGAACTATTACGAAAAAGTATGTTAGGTAAAGTATGTCACGTATTTATTTTGGATAAGAATACTAAAGAAGTCATTTAAAATTAGGAACTCTCGTAACTTTTAAACCTTTTCCAAGATGCAGACGAATAGTATTTCTATTTTCTGCTTTTATGTCAAACTTTTGTATAATGTTATTTAAATTATATGCAACAATTCATTTTGACAATGTTCACCTTCTGTTTTGTATTTAAATCTATCCATCTTTTACTTGCAGTAGTCGCCAGCCAGATAACACTAACATAAACATCTGTTTTACGAATTAACACACGAATACTAAATGTCGAACGGCGGTGCCATGCCGAAGGATCCAAACAGTAAATATGATCTGACCAAAATATCCGCGCGTGTGGATAAGGTGAATGTGAGCGGCTTGCTGCGCACCCACGATGACTATGTGATGCGGGCAGCCGATGGGCTGTTCAAGGCGAACAACTTTCAGCAGATGATGCTGGAGGCAATGGCAGCCAAATCGTATCTGCACGAGCTGGGCATCTTTAAGGATGTGAGCGTGCATATTGACATTAGTCGCGGTGCGGATGCCACACCTCAGGGGTATGAGGTGACGCTTAAGGGCAAGGAATTCACACGCATCATGGGCTCAGCTGGCACGGAAATTGGCCAAAACGAGGGCTCGCTACGCACCGAGCTGACCATACCGAATATATTGGGTCGTGGAGAGAGCATATCGCTGCAAGGCAGCTACAGCAGTACAAGAGCAAACGATCTGCAGCTTAAGTTCTGGAAACCCTTCTTTCACACGCGTTTCCGGGAGAATCGACCTGAGTAAGTCGTAATGGCTGAGCTGATTAACTAATGCTAATTTTGATTTTCTACCCGAACAGAGTCTCGTTCAGCGTATTCCGGCAAACAGATCGGTATGACATCAGTTCGTTTCAGACAACCAATTTGGGCTACTTACTGGACTTCAGCGTACACACAATGCTGGGTGTTGATGTAAGTACACAGATATGAGAATTATTGATGCGAGATAGAAACTGAATTACAGTTATTTACTCCATAGCTCACACACTCGCTGCAGTATGAGAACTCCATCAGGGACCTGGGCTTGTTGAACAAATCGGTGCCGTTCGGCATACGCGATCACAGTGGACCCAAATTGGCATCTCTGCTGCGATATTCGCTAATCTTTGACAATCGGGATGCCAGCGTATTCCCAACGCGCGGCATTCTGCTGAAGAGTGTGAACGAGTATTGCGGCTTGGGTGGCAACATTGCGTACACCAGCAGCACGGCGCATGGGGAGATGAATGTGCCACTGTTTGCGGGCTTGGTGGCCCAGTTCTGTGGACGGGTTGGCGTCATGAAAGAGACCAAGAAGACCACAGTGCTGCCCATTAACAATCTATTTTATTGCGGTGGTCCGCTGACATTGCGCGGCTTCAAGTACGGCAGCGCTGGACCAGTTATCGATGGCACGCCCATTGGTGCGCAAACATTTTGGTGCACGGGCGCACATTTGTGGACACCGCTGCCATTTGCCGGCGTCTTCAAGGGCCTGGCTAGTCATTTCCGTATGCATTTGTTTTACAATATGGGCAATAGCAATTCCTTTTCAATGGGTGCGTAGACAACGAAGTTAATTGCACGTTGCAGCATATGTCATGTAATTCCCCTTTTCCCTTTTCAGAAAACATGCGCAGCGCCTATGGCATTGGGCTAGCGGTCAAGCTGGCAGAGCGCGCTCGCATCGAACTGAACTACTGTATCCCAGTGCGCAAGCAGGCCACTGACAAGGCCGTGAATGGTTTCCAGTTTGGCATTGGCTACGAGTTCGTTTAGATCGAGAAGCCTTGTTGCGACTGTACTTAGCTTTAGAAGCCCGAGAGTCCCCCACACAAACGTGCACTACAATGCTGCCGAACGATAGTCACTTTTGAACTCTACTATTTTGTTGTATTTCGTTGTCAATGCATTTTTCATCCTAAAATTTATTTGTAAACCAGAACTCTAATTAAGTGTAGCTTATAAGGAATGTACATAAAAAAGTTGAACTTTAAAAAATAAAAAAAATTGTTAAATTTAAATTGTTTTACAGCAACTGAACAAGAATTCGAATTAGAATATCGCCATATCACTGGTTAAACATAGGCATTACGTTAACTTCAGGTTAAAATAATGGATTGAAAAAAGTATTGTCGTTTATAATTTTAGTGAAGAGTTCCGCTAAACAATGAAGTATACGCGTGCTCTCCGTGGAGTGAACAAAACGTCTTGCTTTTGCCCCATGTGAACATGAAATTGCTTTTTGAGCAGCGAATTCCAAAGCAAACCTAGGGGCATCGTCGTTCCAAATATAATATATAAATATATCTACCTTAGTGTAATCTACATTTTTGTAAATAAAAATTTTTAGTTCTGCGAGGCGGACTCGAACCCGCGCTATTCTGCTCAGTAGCACGCGCCCCGCAACTCAAAGCACACCACCACATCAACGTTAGCAGACATACCAGCAAATGGGCTACTTCAAATAACAGCTAACAGAATGTACTTTAACATTACTGTTAACTTCATGCATATTATCTTAACAGAGTGAAATAATGTAAAGAATGCCATACTGATGGGTAAACCAAGATGTCTGTATTGAAAATTTCCCATGACATTCAAAAAGCAAGTAAAATGTAAATTAATTAATATCAAGTATCAGCCTGTCAGTTGAGCCAATACCATAACTAAGACGAATGTGAATGCAAAGGTGGCAAAAAATTAAATCGCATAAGTGAGATGGGAAATATGCGAAATTGGACATGCTTTATTGTATAGTTAAAGTATTTTATTACTGTTGTTCGCTGCTTGCTTGTTGTATGTCGAGGAACTGCTGGTTGGAAATTTATTTTAAAATTCCCAAATGTATTGTGTGGCCGGCGGGCGTGCACCAGCTCCATTGTCATGGATGGCTGAGCTGCATGCGGTTACAATTTTTGTTTTGGTTTTGTTGTGGTCGTAACAAAAACGAAATAAACTGGTTTTAATTATGATATTTTTGAACTGAAGTTTGACCGCGTCTGCATCCATACTCTCGTAGTATATGTATGTTTATGTTGCAGCTTTTAAGCTTGTCCCAGTTTGATGATTATCGTGGTCGTTGGGCATTTCTTCACATACCGGATATACAAAAGGGGCATGTTAAGATACATTTATAGAGGCATACGCATGCGTGTGTGTGTGTGTGCGAAAGTGTGTATGTGGAACGAAGCAGAGCATCGCAGGGCAAGTCTGGAATCTGATTGATTTAAAGACCAAAACAAACGCGCAAGCAACTCGGACCGGTTCCAGCTTACCTTTTGGCCGCCACCTAAAAACCAGTTTCTCATGCCCCGCACAAATTTCAACAGTTGAACTTTCCTGGAATTCACTGGCAACTGCGCTGGCACAAAGGAAGTATACAGCTTTTGCTCTGGCTCTGGCTCTGGCATTTGCCTTGCTGCAAAGTGCTTGTTAATTAAAACTTTTTCAGCGCATTTCTTTTGCAGGCCTCTTGCCCAGACAGGCGTATACAATTTCCCAACAATTTCCATGTGCAGCATGCAACAAGCCAAAAGCACAAAACATAAAACACAAAACTTAATATAATGCTAGTTAGCAACAGTTAAAATGCGAATTAACACCAAAGCGCCCCCTAGCGGCACAACGAACGCCGTCGTGTGCAGCGGCCCTAAAAGAGGCAAAGAAAAAAAAGACAAAAAAGACCTTTAAAATAAATATGGATACGAATGGATATATAGTCAATGCGACTGCGGTGTCGTCAGGCACGTCATAAAAACTATACGACAATGCAATTGAATTGTAAAAACTCCCAGCCAGGTGGTAAATTATTTACCAACATTTGGCAGCCTCAGCTGTACTTACTTTTGGATATGAACACGCAAAAATATTTGATTATCAGCATAAGAAACAAACAATAAATATTTATTGTAGGCAAATTTATGGTATGACGACTCAGAATTTGACTTATAAATATTTTGCACAATTTTGACGCATTCGTTTTTTACTACACTTGAGAAGAAGAACAGAGAGAGAAAATATGATTCACAATTTCAATTATATACATTTTTGTGCAATATACTTTTATATTATATACTTATTGTTTTTTTTTTTTTGTTCGAGCAAATAACTGTATAAAACAGAGTGCAAGCTTTAAGCATTTCTTGAACTCTGTTTATGGAATTCTCTGAAGAGTAAAATTGTATTCTATATACTCTCTTCATACTTATATAACATTTAAATTTCAGCAGAAATTCCTTTTCTACATTCGGCAACTAGCAACAAATTATTGATTAATCGTTGAACACGTCAAATGCTTAAAGCTTCTACGGCTAACAGGGTCAAAACCACATCAAGCAGGTATAGAGCTTACGTTTAACGTTCAAATATCACGCGATTTGCTGACGTTTGTTTTCTGCATCCGTCAAAGTTGGCTGAGTGAAGTGTAGTCGAAAGTTAAGTCCAAGCCATAGACTATATAAATCAAAGGCAAAAGGTTATGCGTCAGTTATAAGGTAAAAGTATTTACAGGCAAGTCAAGATGACGTGTTTCCTGCTCAGGTAACCAACTTTTGGCAGACATACAGGAGCCCCAAAGCACTGGCTATAAATTTGTTGATTGCTTTTTTTTTTGTTTGTAAATAAATAAATATTATTTATGATCAACTTATCTAGTACAAAAAAAAATACTTTTATTTTAAATCATTTTGTTTTGAAAAGAGATGCTTAGAAAATTATCAAGAACTAATAATAATAATTATTATGGAGTAAATGTATTTTTTAATGCTCATTCATCAATTCTAACGTCTCCACTACAGTCACTTCTTAACAAGAAATTTGTTTAAACTTAACAACTCGTAACAAAATGTTTTCTATAAAAAAAATATTGAATAATAAAAGTATCATCTACAGGTTCATGTGTCAGGCACTGTATTTGTGTTGAATGTTTAAACTTTTATTTAGAAACCATCGAAACATCTGTACAAAGTTTCAACAGCATGCCAGCTTGTTGCATCTGCCCTAGAGACCTCTAGCCGCTGACTCAGCTAGACAAGCTGATCAAATTGGATAATGTTCTAATTTCAATCATGTAGCAACGAATATAATATCTAATTTTGTTAAATACTGGGCATGTCATTAGCTTATTAATCTGCCCTCTCTGCCGGCCGAGGCAGAGCAAATGACGCCAGCAACTCAACTCAGTCAGCTGCTGTCGACTGGTGGCGTGACGCCTGCTCGCAAAAGAGCTAGCCTAGCCCAATGCGACACAGCCTGCTCCCTACTCCGAACTGACCCGACCTGGCATGACCTGACCTAGTTGTGGTGGCCTCGTACCACTGAGTGTAGACTTCCTGACCAACGCCACCTCCCAGTGCTACGTAAACATTTGCTAGCGGTAAAGGAAATGCGAGCCGTAATGGAAGCCGTATTCATCGATTCATTTTCAGCAACTTGTGTAATACACAAAAGAGGAGCAGGAGTAGCAGCAGGAGCTGGGCACGTGTAAGCTAACAAAAGGACATTCAACTCAAGTGAGGGCTTTTGCGTCATTAACAGCGAAACATAAATACATACAAAGATATATATATATATATATATGTTTATATAAATAAACACACAAACATACATACATATGTATATGTATTAGGCGCAGCCAAATAAAACAGATTTGAGAGAGATAGAAAGTCGCAGCTCCACCCCAAGTGGGCTAAAACTAAACTAGTACAAGTGTTGCCAGTGCCCTGGCTTTGTTGTTGTTGGAAGCTCTGCGAAAGTGCTGTTATATAAAAACAAAAAAGTCTCCGGGCGCTGCAGCAAGTCAGCGTTAAACGCAATTGACCGCAACAATTTTAATTAGCCTAAAACTTGAACCCAAAAACAGGGCAAAAATTGTTATGTCAACAATGCGAAGCCAATGGGCAAAATCTGATAATTAACAAGTAAAAGTGAAATGGCGCGGCAGTATCCGACTAGCATATGCCCTGCGAATTGATGTTTGTTTGAATCTGATCAGAAATATATATATATATATATATATATATATACTCTACTATATATATAATTATCCTCCTCATCCTCTTTTTATTTATACCTCATCCTTTGACTGCCGCAAACTCATCCATAAAATCATATTCCCTTCTCCGAACAGCTCTAGGGTATACAAATGTGTCTGAAGTGGGCAGCATGAGATGCCAGACATTATAAATTATGAACTTTGTGTTCAATAGTTAAACAAAAGAAATTGGATAAAATGTTGCTATAGCAGTATATACATATATAAATATATATATAGCTGTGTTAACATTAATGGCTTTTTCTCAGAATACGAGCTTTGGCTTTTTGTGAATAGAAAGCCAGCTAAGTTGAAAGACAGCATAATAAACGGTTTGCTTATGATTCTGAAGTTCTTTGGCATGTTGTTAAGCCAAAAGTTTCTTTATGGATTTCTCAATAAGAAAAGAAAATTGTTTGCAGATTTAACTAAAGCACAAGAGAGAAACAAAAATAAAGACAAAATATTTAGCCAAGCTTAAAATTTAAAAATCTGTTTCAACTGAATTCAACAAATGAGGGCGTATTGTCATTGTGATCATATCATGCTTTGACTTCTACAGTAAACTCTAACTAGACTAAACTTAAGTTAAGTTGCTAGTTGTTTTAAGTATCAGAAACTTGAATGATCAAATTATTGCAAATTCTTGAAGATTAATTAAGTTTATATGCTAATGGGCACAGCTATTTATGCTAATAAGAACTATGAACATTTTAAATTTCACAGAGTCGAAGTCATTCTATATATTACACACATTTCTGAGATAACATTATATCCAATGGATGGAGACAAGCTATGCGGATTGCAAAAGCGATTAAGAAACTGAACATTAACTCTGTGCTCAATCAATTGAACTTTCGAATTGCTACTAAAACAAGTTAATGACTTGCTAGAATGATAAGATTGTTTCTTGTTTTTTTTTTTTTTTTTTTTTTTTGTTTTTTTAAATTGGAAACAAGTTCGTCATGCTATATGAATAGATAAAGCCCAACAAAAGGCAACAATTAAGATTTCAGTTGCTACTTATATAAACCATAAACAACATAACAAAAATGCTGTACATTTTGCTTGCGGCCTGAATTAATTAAAGCAAAAACCCACAGCAAACAACAAATGTAAATGATGTGCGGTAACCGCGAGCAAAATGTCGACTTTTGCCATAGATTGCTCTTGTGCATCATTGGGAAAGAGGCAACTGATAGAGATGAAGGCGCCACGGCGCGGCTGTCAAATACAAAAACATAACAGATAAACAGAAAAGACACACAAACACTACAAAGAGCTGAAAAATACACTAACTAAATTATAATTAGTTGATGAAATTTTGAATTGAATTTGAATTTGTGTATAAAGCATCAATTCATAAATACATAAATAAGCCAGATAACTTGAAATATGACTATATATATACTTAACTAAAATGCTGTAACAAAATTCGTTTCTTAGCATTTCTCATACACCTTACAACGTCCGTTAGATCATCTCGCTTATGAAATTCATAAATTAAGGCGCGCTGAGTTGCACTCGAAGCATTCGTTCAACTTTCAATTGCCGCACTGACTCGCACGCTGATGGTGTGACAGAGATAAAAATACCGACAGCGATGCGTGGGAGCTTCGCCCATTGATGCAAGTGGCAAGCAACACAAATTTTTTTTATCATTTACTTCTGCTTAACATTTAAAAATAAATAAACTCAACTCAAAATTGCATTTGAAGTATTTTACGCATAACAAATACAAAAGCGTCAACTGAGACGCCGACTCGTAGCATGAGAAATATATTTGAACAGCAGCAAATCACATGGTAGCGTGGCCGAGCGGTCTAAGGCGCTGGTTTAAGGCACCAGTCTCCTCGGAGGCGTGGGTTCGAATCCCACCGCTGCCAAGGGTGCTTTTTTATATTTATACAATTTTTTTTTAGAAAATGTAAGCTATATTTATTATTGTCTATTTTCTCACATAAACTCTTCTATACATGGATGTTATTAATAAAATCGTGTTTTGAGCTATTGAGTATACGTGTTAATTAATCAGTTTTCTATGTTAATTAGTTTTACGGGACCCCTTGAATCGTTAATATACTATATATCTACATACGATGATTTGTCAGCTAGGCATTACGTGATTCACTACAATTTTCGTGTTCTCCATATCGCCTCGTCTCACCTTGCTAACAAAAAAAGGCGTAGAGGTATCGTGTCTGTATTAGTCATTCTGCTAGACATGGATTAGGTTTCCTTTCGTAATCAAATTATCAAGTGGAACAAGGTAATGATAATGTCGGCAAATATTGAAATGCAAAATAAAAATATTTAAAATATCCGTTTATAATCGATTTCTTAGCTTCGTTGCGGCTATATATAAATGGCTGAGTGTATGTGGCATGTGTATCGTATAATGACGAAGTTTTTTAATATAAATAAATAGGTAAATAATCTATTTTGCACTTATTTTAAAATAACCTTTAAGTTGATTTCATATTTTATCGCTTACCTATAAATAGGTATTTTTAATATTAACCCATCAGCGATAAGTGTTAACTAATTGCAAAGCTCACGAGTTCACGATGAAGAAAGCTTGATATATCCACAAATAAAAAAACTCCCCCCACACAAATGACTAAACTTTGCCAGCGTTAGCACCTGCCACGAGTGAGAGGCAGTCTTAAGACACAAATTCAGTTGATCGCAAATATAAACAGCAAAACAGCTGTATAAATGGGAGATAAAGATGAAGCCTTTATTTTGTTATTGTTTTTGTCATTGTTAGTCTCTGTGCTTTCTTCGTCGTACGCCTGTCTGCAGACGTCATCAAGTGTCTTGCTCTCTATTTTTACACTTGTTCACTCATTTTCTCTTTCGCAGTTCGCACCCTCTCTTTCTCCCACTATTGACGTGTGGGCGACATCTTTGATAAGACAACGAGCCACGAAATTGCACGCGCTATAAATTTCATTGATAAACATACTCAGCACAGCTAACAATCCGGTGGCAAAATAAGAGGAAGTGGTGCATAAAGCATAGAAATGCTACAAAAGCACATAAGCCACATAAAGACACAAATAAATATTTATGATCGTTTATCTGTATGTATGTAGTATATATGTGTATTTGAAGGTGCTTAAAGACGTATTTGGCAATATTCGCTTGTATACTTTATGTGCATAAAAACAGGTTTTTTGTTTAGAAGATCTTAAATTTCGTACATCATACAAATGAGAGAACTCTCTTTCTCACACACACTTACACACACACAGACCGTTGCTTATACACATCCAAGGCATGTGATTTGCCTCTACTTCAATGTAAACGTTTTTACGCAGCGTGGGATTTTTTGTGTGTGTATAAAAATAGATAAATGGCGGCCGGGTGAGAAATGATTGGAATTGATGGGAAATTTTATTCATTTAATTGTACTGCACAGAATAGGTATATGAACATGAATACTTTTTTAATATGATTATATTAATTATAAATTCTCGTTCGTTACAGCATAACAAAGAATTCCACATGCCAAACAACAGAAACAACAAACCACATGAGCTCAGCTTTATTTATGCAAACTGCGCACAAGTCTCTTCACTCGAAAACAAATACAAAAGAAATACTTTGATTTTGCTTTGGGCAGAAATTTGCACATTTGTTTTCATCTGCTTGCGTCGGCGTTTTGGCATTTCCCTAACTGATTAATTTCTATGCTTGCCGTAGCCATTCCCCGAATTGCTATGCGAGTTTTGCCCTCTCGCTTGCACTGCATAAGCCACACCTAAGCCGCACACAACTGCAATTGAGTTTGTATTTGGTCAAACAAATCCAATGAGCATACCCACATAAACAGTATATAAGTATGTATGTACATGCATAAATACATACACAAGCACCCATAATTGAATATGTATGAATGTGAGTTCCGAATTACGCACGGAGTATAAAATGCAATTACTTGGAAGAGACAGTGAGGCAGAAAACGCACTTGACAAGGACATTTGAGACAGTTGAGCGGGCGCTAGAAAGGGACAGACATACATCTGGAAAAGTACTGCTGTTTTGTCAAGTGCGCTTGGCAGCAGTTTCCCATGAATATTTAACAGTTTCATTAAAGGAAGCGCACAATTTGTTTAATTGCCAGGCAAAACGTTATGAAAATTGATTTTTATTGTTGCTGCACAAAGTCAGACGACAAAATGCAGTCGAGCGTAGAAAATGCGCATGCAATAAACCGAAAAACAAAACAGTAAATGGAAATGGAAATGTGAAACAAAAAGTGCAATGAATAACTAATGCCTGCTTCCTGTAAAGGCTCAAACAACTGTCAAACTAATTAATAGTGCACTCACTGAGCAAGTGACACAGGGAGAGAGAGAGTGAGAAACTACGTAAGTAAACAACAAAGAGAGCGCCACAATAACAACTTACAAACAAAGGCTAGTAAAACAAAAACAATTTAACTTGTCAAGGCAACAACAGCTGAGCGTTGATGTTTTTCTGCTTTTTTGTTGTTGTTGTGTGCGCTTCTTGGTGCCTGGCACCAAACTCGATAGCTGGGGGCACACACGTGCATTTCTGTCTTGGGCTCACCTGAATTTGCGGGTCCAGCTCGCTGTCTTCAGTATTTGACATTTTGCACTATGAGCAAATTCGTTCGTTGCCTGCCAAATCCAAGTTTTCAATTTGCGACAACGTTTCAATTGAAATCGCTTTTCACTTTTGTCGCCAGCTGCTCCTCTTGTTGTCTTTGTTGTTGTTGCTGCTGCTGCTCTGTTTGCGCCTTTTTCAATTAGTTTGCATTTGCATTTTCACTTGCATTTATTGGCCAGCGTATTTTTTAATTTTAGCTCTGCCTGTGGACGCTGTTTTATGGTAAAATTTAGTTAAGCAATAATCACATGCGCGTCAGCTTGTGAGTTTTGTGTTTGTATGTGTGTTGCCGAAATTATGCAAATATTTTTCACATTGGAAATTTACTGATTTGAACAAAATATAAAAATAATAATAGTATTTGTTGTACTGCGTTGTTTGTGTGATGCAAGAAAGCGAGAGGGAGAGAGAAATAGAATGTATAGACGCGAACAAAGTAAACAACAATTACAATAATATATTAACACAAATATAATAAATTGCAGACACACACTTTTATTATTATTAGTTTCTGTTATGTTTGTTGATATAAATTCTACGACTATCTTAAAATTATCGGAGCGTCCGAACGCGGTGTAAGTGAAAAGCAGACTCAGTGTGACCGCAAGAAGTAGCATTAGATATATCACAATTTTATGTGATTATCGATAGCTATCGATACAAAAGTGAACTTAACAGTTAAACCAGTTCACGGCACGATTGTGTCTTTGAACACTGATGCACTGCAGAATAGATTGTTGATAAATGAAACTTTCATAATATATTAAAGTAATTTAAAGTACATAGTTGATTTTGACAAGCATGAAGTATGTTATTAGTTGCGCTGTTATGTGAGGAGTAAGAATGTTGAAAGAGGAGCAATGAGCAAGTGTGGAGTAAACAAATGGAAACGAGTTATGTTAGCGAAAAAATACCAATTGAAATGAAACTCGTTAATACAAATAGTGGCGCAGTTTTTAAAACTTAGGCATTTTCAAATTTCGCTTGCACTCAAATAAAATTTGTTCATAAATTTTTACTATGAAATTTTATTTTCTTTAATTGTTTTCGTTTTGTTTTTGTCCATTATGTGCTTTACATGTTGTGTGATTTCTTTTGCATTTGGTAATATATATGTATATGCATTTATGTATACGTATATGTATATTTTTTTATAATTTTCAATTTCAATTACTAATAATGATATGCGCACCAAAACAAATTAACTTAGGCGCGAACGAAAAAATTGCTTTAAAACTGAAGACGTTCGAATCGAAACCAAAAAACAATCGATTTTTCTCTAAAAAATTGTTTATTTAAGTAAATTATAAAGAAAGGCAATAGAAGTGTATACCACGGAATTTCTATACGTAATTTAGCATTGATGCCCGTATTTGCTTGCTTAATATAACGCTAATATATATCTTTAAATATATATTTATAATTTTTTTTATATTTAATATAATGAATTTTATAGTTTATATGGAATAACACTTAATTATACATTCATTCATATAGATTTTTGTATTGTTTTGTATACATATTTAAAATATATATAAAACTCAAGTTGGAAATTATTGAAATTTGTAGTTTGATTTGATTTTCAGTTGCAACAAAATCCATTTTGTGTAAACTAAAAATTTCTTTAAGTAGAAAAGTTTGCTAAATAGTTTTGTGTTTTGTTTTGTTTGTGTCTTGTGTGTGTGCTTTGCAGTTTCATTTTCATTTTCATTTTGTTTTTCCTTTTTCTGTTTAGTATCAAACCTCTAAATACTTGCCATATAAATGATTTTGTCGTTTAAATATTTATTAAATGTATACATATATATATTTATATATATTTTATGCTATATATTAACTATGCAAGTGTTGCACATATGCAATTTGCGCTTACTTTTCATTATCTTCAGATATTCTTTATTGTTTGCTATTAATTTATATTCGTCGTTTTTGTATGTTTTTTTTTTTATTTTGTTAACATTCATAGGGAAAGTACAAAAGTATACGTGTTTCAAAAGCTTTTCTGTTGTAGTTTCTCGAGTTACATTTCATACACAGCTAAATGTTGTGTGGATCTATCATAATTAATAAAACTGGCGCCTCGTCAATGTAAAATTGTTCAACTTATAGATTAGCTAATTGGTCTGTTTATGCTACAGCCTACGGCTTAGTAGCCAAAATAAATATACAATATTTATTATATTAAGTTTGAAGTGCTTAAGTTTGGAATGTCTGACAGTTAACTGGATTGATTTGATTTGTCTGGAAATTAAATATATATAGATTTATTGCTTTGTACACGTAGGGGAAACATATCTGGTTTCCCCGTTGGTTTCAAGTTTAACAAGTAATCGACTAAATTTAGTTCAGCTATAAATCTGCCGTAGCATAAGTAGACCAATTATTTAGAGCTACGTGTGATGCACTTGTGCAAAACTTTCAACTTAAGCAATTAAATTATAATTAAGACATCAATAAGAACTAGACAAATGATATGAAAACATAACTGAAAATCGACGCTGGCAGCAAAGAAACAACTTGTCGACGAGTCGAGCCGGCGTAACTATACACGTTTACAAAAAATTCAGCTACACTACGTGAATGTTTCTCGTTCACAAATTGGGGGACGAGTTGTGGGCGTTCATCTTAAGGAAACTTTGCATTCGGATTGTTGCTGCTGTTGGGGCGGGCGCCTGCCTTACTCACTGTCAATGTTCAGGCCCACTCGCTTCTCCTCCTCGAGCATGGCGTCGAGCTCATCCGTTAAATTGGCCAACATATTGCCAATGTCGTTGAGCACATTGACCGACACCTTGGGCGGCACCGTGTTAACAGTGGCAGGTGCAGCAGCTGCTGCTACTGCTGTTGGCTCTGGTGAGGCTGCCGACTCAATGATACCGCTGCCGGTACCACTGGCCATGTCTAGGGTGGGTGAGCGCAAATGCAGGGCGCTGCTGCCAGCGCTTGCTGTGCTGTTCATGCTGTCGCTGCGCGCCATTGTGGCATCGTGCAGCGAACTGGAAGATTTCAGCGAATGGAACGAATGCGCTATGTTGGCAATGGTGTTCGTCGACGACGAACTGGAACTGGAGCTGGAGGAATGCAGGTGCGTGCCGGCCGCATGATGTCCAGCATTCGCTCCCGCTGCGCCGCCGCCGCCGCCGCCCGATTGCAGCTCCTGGCGATTGAGCAGACGCTGCTTGATGGTGCCGGTGTTCTCATTGGCAAAGGGTATCGTGTCAATCGAGTCGATGCTGGAATTTGACTTATTGTCATGATACTTCTCGCAATGTATCTCGGCCGTTGTCTGCTGTATGGTCGCATAGTTGGCATAGATCGGCTGCTGCTGAGCACTCACACCGCCCGCCTGCTGCTGCTGCCAATGTTGCGCCGTGTGACCATAGAACATGTGCTGCGCTTGCTGCTGCTGCTGTTGCTGCTGCTGTTGCTGTTGCTGTTGGTTAGCCCCAGCAACTGCCGCCTGCTGCGATGCATCCGCGCTCAACTGACGCGAGTTGCGTATGCTGCAGTGGCGACGCGGTGGCTCCGGCGCAATCTTCTTGCCCGTCAAGGGGCTGCCGCTCAAATAGGACTGCAAGAGACAAAACGAGTGTTGGCATTAGAGTGTCCCAAGAGTTCTCTCTCGACTGGTACTCACTGTTGCACCATCAGCGCCACCGGCTGTCACATACTCTGCCGCCGCAGCTGCGTTCATATAGTGATGGTGTTCCAGTGGCGGCATCGTATTCAGCACGGCTCGTTGAAGTATGCCGCGTTGCTGACGTGGCAGAGTGCCACCGCCCTCCTCGTAGAGCAGCTCGCGCGTGGCATCGTTGGTGGGTGTTATGTCGCCATCATCGTAGGAACGTCGCCAGGCCATGGCTGCCGCATTGCTGCCCAGCAGACGTGCTGCCGCCGCTTGCTGCTGTTGCTGCTGTAGCAGCTGATGATGCTGTTGCTGCTGCAGTGTGGCCGCAGCTGCCATTGCTGCTGCTGCTGCCGCTGTCGTGGGCGGCCCAAAATGTCCATAGTCCGTGGTGGTATAGTGGCTAAAGGTCAAATGGCTGCGCGTGCTGTTGTCGTGTATATCCTCGAGCGATTCCAGGCTCTTGCCACGTGGCTGACGCACCTGCAACGGACAGCGAGAGAGATAGAGAGAGTGCATTAGTTACTCACTGACATGCGGCACTTAAAGTTCAAGGACGACTGCGCCTACGACTGACATTTGCCAACTACCAGGCAACTAGACCAACCCCGCCCAACCGCCCACCCACCTTAATGAGCACCACGTCGTTGCCGTTGCAGCACTCGTGATTACTGCCCGTGCAGTAGTAGGCGTCGCCTCCACTGACAGCGCTCAAGCCCCCTCTGTGGCACCCATTCAGCCCGTTGGCCAAGGCATTCACACTGTTCGCGCTCGTCGCATAGATCTTTGTGTCGTCCCAGGAGACACGCGTTGTTGGCACGTAAGATGGCGTACTAGGTATGGGCACATTGAATTGCCAAGGCTTGCGTTGGTATTCCTAATGAATTGCGTCCGTTAATTAAATCATTATGAAACGAAAAGGAAAATTTAATCAAATTAGAAAATTATGCAAAATTAATGAACAAAAAAATATAGAAAATAAATTTAAAATATATTAAAAATACATAAAAAAAAATGTATAATATATTAGATCAAATTAATAACAAAAAAAAACTTTATATTTAAATACACAAGATTTATAATTTAAATGAAATAATCAATTCTTGCTTATTTCAAAGGAATAAAAACATAAAAATAAATATATATTGCAATAACTTTATATGAAAATACATTTACAAATAATTTTAATTTATGAAATTATAAAAAGTATAAACATAAATGTATTTAAAGCAATTATTATTTAAATTAAATGAAAAAAATGCTACTTCATAATATATAATTATATTATATATTAACAAATATTTAAGACATCTTATTTTTTTTTTTAATATAATTATAAACAAAAATATATTTAAAGAAAATATTATTTAAATTAAAAAATGCTACTTCATAATATATAATTATATTATATATTATTTCTTATTTCTTTTTTAAAAATATAATTATAAACAAAAATATATTTAAAGCAAATATTCTTTTAATTAAAATACAAATATACTACTTTATTATATAATTATATTTTATAAAAATATCTCAAGAAATCTTTAAGGAATTTATATTTTTTTATTAAAAATAATAATTTATATTCACAAACAAAAAAAAAAAAAAAATAATAATAATTTCAATCAGAAGTTTCTCAAATGATATAAGCTTATGCAAAAAAATAATTAAATAAATCTAACCAATTGACGTCATCTTAGCCAGTTACGCTTAGCTGCTATATAACTCTCGCATCTATTTATTACTGTGCCTATGTCGAAAAGTAACACATAATTTACCTGTTGCTGATAGGCATTGGCGCCGCCGGGATTCCATTTGCCGCTGATAATGTCCTTGACCCGCTTGATGGCCAGCAATATTTTCTTTTGATGGCCCAGCTTGACAATGCCAATGTCCTCGAGATCCTCCCAGGTCACTTGGGTGACATCGCGCACTGTCTTATAGTTCTGCTCGAGCAGGGGCTGTATGTACTCCTCCAAGCGCAACAGCTGCAGCCACTCCTCAATTGAGCCCTGTTAATATGGGGAAAGGGCATAAGAAACAGTTTGATTTTTTATTTTAGTGTCTGTGTAACTGTCTGCCTGCCTGCCTGTCGGCTAATCGCGCTTGATTAGCAGCAATAACCCCTTGAGTGCGGGCAGCCAAGCTACAAATTTGTCCATGAACTAATTCCAGGCCAAAGAGCTGATACCAGCCGCAGCGCTGCGGGCCAATGGCACAAGGAGTAGGGGCAAGGAGAGGGAGAGGTAGAGGTAGAGACAGAGCTATGCTCTACCCTGTGCTACGTTTTGTACCGCTGCTGATGAGCTCGTCGCGGCTCTAATCAGTTGTAATTGATAAGATATGACATAAATCGCGTCAAAGCACAAACATAAAGGAACGGGTAAAGAGACAAAACTCGTCGCTGTTTGCCATTAAACGGTAGCCAAAGTTTCCATAGGCAGACAGAGACAGAGAGAGAGAGAGAGAGAGAGACATACACACACGCAACGAGAGGCAGTCAGAAATCATCAACATCAACAGCAAGTTGATACACCCTGCAGCACAGGCTGCTGTAAGTGCTTAAAATGTAGAGTATAATTAACTATTATACGATAAGCTGTATAATACATATATTATATGCACTATATACTATAAAATATATATTATTATGTATACTCTCCAAGACTAAAACCCCAACACTAATAACCCTTAAATATAGCACTCAAAGACTTCAATTTATTTTCTTACAGGGCATCTGTTAGTCGTGCTTACTGCTTTTACTACGCTCATATTCATACTTGTTTTTTTTCATCTGACGTGTTAATAACTTTTGAAGCTTTTGCTCTTTCGCTTGCTGTCTAAATTGGCGTTGATTTATATTTAATTAAGCGAATGGAATTGTTGTTGCTGTTAGTTCGCTTGCCTCAACAATTGAAAACTGATTGCAAATAGACTTTTCAGGGGCATAGAGGAGTCTTGTTAATATAGTTAAAGTCAATAATTATAAGGATTGATCTCTTGATTGCTTATGACATCTATAAGTGCTCCATCAATTGGGATTTGCTACATGTGTTGCATGAGAGTCAAATGGAATCTTCAGCTCATCTAAAGCTGATGTTGACTAAGTTGTGTATAATAGAACCTATGCTGAATATTGATAAGTAACACTAATACTTTTTAAAGATTTTCATACATAAGCGTTTAGAATTCTAGCTTGTCTATGGATATGGCTTTGGAATGAAATTTTTATATTTACTAAAAATGATTTAAGTGCAAACGCTGCTCAAATCAATAATTCTATTTACCTTAGCAGCGCTGTTGTTGTTGTTGTTGTTGTCTTGTATTTAGCATTTCTAGAGGTATATTTGTTGTTTATCTCTAGGCATATTGCCTACATCAGCTCTAGCTGTAACTCTAATCAGCAAGTTGAGACAGCTGACTGCGCAATCGAAAGATGTTAATCAAAATTTGATATTTGTAGAGAGCATCTCGACATATAACGCCACAGAAACTTTTAAAACAATATTTATTTAACGTCAGTCAGACATGCCAGCGATATGCATACATACTCATATGGTAGATATGTGTATATATTTTGTTTTCTAATTTGAAAACTCATTAGCAGGTAGCATATGGTATGACACCGAAAAACAGACCCGCATACAGCAGCCAGCCAAAGCGGAATGGTCAAAAACTCGTTTTCAGCGCAAAAAATACAGATATATATATATTGTTATATATATATATATATGTGTGTGTGTGTGTATATAGTTAAATATGAGTACGTCAGGCCGAAAACTAAATACCATTTGGAGTGTCTAATAACGGCAGCCAAAGCGAATACAACAACAGCAACAAGAGCAGCAGCCAAAGCTTGGTCTAAGCCTCAAGGTCGTTGCTTGATTGCGGTTTTTGTTTTTGCTTTATGGCCAGGCATGAGCCGGGCCCAGAGAGATTGCCAACGACATGTCGTTGACGTTGTTTAATAACTATTTTGCTTTTTTTTTGTATTTGCCTTTGACTTTGAGGAATTTTGCTTTATTTCCTTTTTCGCCAGATAAAAATGCTAAAGAAAGTGCCGGATGAGGTTGCGAGATTTTTTTTTGTGTTTTTCTTATCGCATTTTTTTTTTAGAATTTCAGCTAATGAGGCTGCCCCGCACAACTTTCATTTCCAGCTATATATAATATATATTTATATATATATATTATATATAACTATTTGCGCATGATGTAAGTGTTGTTAAGCCTGAAGCCACACCCAAGGCGAGGTTGTCGTTCAAGATCAACAGAAGAAATAACAATAGCTTTGGTGAGCTCTGCGATTCGAGTGTCAAAGACTGAGTAATGCGAGCAAAGTAACAACTCTCAATAGCAAACACTAAAAGCAACTTGCGAAAACAGACACACAGCATTATACAAAGAGCAAACATAACAAATCACATAAAAGACAGCAACAGAAAACTTCTAATGGCTGAAAAACCAAGCGAAGCGCAAAAGGCTGAGGTCATTTTTTGAAAAATTGCACAGCTTCAAAGCGTCGCAAATCGTTCGAGATATTGGCACATGCATAAATACAGCGGTTATTAAACAAATGGCTAACAACAACAACAACAACAAATGATATCCATTGGCAGATAATGGAAACTGAAAAGCAGCCAAACAATCAGCCATAGGTTATAATTTGAAGCAAGCAATTAAGAGAGCTGCAACAAACTGTGGAATGTGGTTCGAGTTTGAGCTACAGATACAAATAGATTGCCGATAAATGATATTTCAGCAACAACAACAACAGCAGCAGCAGCAGCAACCACAGCAACATATGCATTTGTAAGCGCTTGGCATGCAGGCAGGTGGGCAGCTGACAGACCGCATTAAGTCCAGCTTGAACAGGTGGGCGAAGGGGAATGCGCGAGCTTTGCGTTTTGAGTTTTAGAGGCTGACGAAATCAATGAATCAGACAAAGCTTCGAATGCACTTAAAACTAGGGAATTATAGGGGATACCTAGCTAAGGGGCAGCGGCTGGGGCAGGGGCAGCTGCATTGTCTGCGCTTTTATTATACTCATAAAGCTGCCATTGAGGGCGGACTTTAAAGTGAAAACCATGCTACATGCATGACTATCGCATTGTGAACGAACCGATTTTTAAGTTTCTAGAATGTCATTATCTTGAGCGTTATTAACTGCTCAATATTCATATGTAAAGTAAGTTGCAGAAGCCAATGGTAGTCTCACAATCAGCTAATCTTCTTTTATGTTTTATTATGCAACTTTGCTTCGTGCCAAATTATCGATACTATCGATTGAATATTATTATTGCTAGTTATTAATGAATATTTGATATTTTTATATATCAAAATATGGATAATTGTGGGGCTGTTGCTTAGTATTAACTCTTAGAGTTCTTTCTTGTTCAATCTATAAATTAAAAACGATCGATAAATATCGATCAAATTTGAAAACTCAGAAAATGCCATAGACAGCAATCATATTTTATTTGGCGTAAATATAACTATGAAAATAACTGTATAAATGTTATTTAAATTATCGATACAATGCAAACTAGCGATAGTTGAACTATCTATTGAAGTGATAGATACATCGATAATTAAATTATCGATAGTTAAATTATGGGCACAATACAATACAACAAGATATAGTAAATGAAGAATTGAAAAAAAAAAAGATAATAGAAGATTATAAATTGAAGATATTTGATAGCAGATTTAAGATAAAACTTAAAAGATGGAAAATATAAGATACTGCATTATAGTTCAAGAGTTCATTTCTAGCTACTTCCGTTGATTTATTCCTTGATATCGACTTTATATATATATATATATATATATATATATATATATATATATATATATATGTATATATATATATGCAGTTTAACACATGTCTGTAGCCAGCTCTATTCCAATTTCATCTTAGCCCAAAGTCCTCCTAATACAGCTCTTTCTCTTTATGCGCATTAAAAATGATGAATGTGCAACTTAAAATATATATTTTATGGCTTGAATACAGGAAACTGTATTTCGATAACAATCGATAACAGTTATCATCATTTAGTAGTAGCTTGCACGGCACTCTTCTGCGATAAAGCCAACTGATAATATATATACTTTCTTCCTAGTCACTTTGTTAATGTGCCACGTATCAGAAACGATTAATATTTGACTTTTGTTGAGTTACTTTTATTGTAATGCTTTGTGACTGCTTAAAATGGGGCTTTAAGAGGGCTTGAGCACCGCATTTGGCTATGAGAAACTTGTGTCGAGGGCTTGTTTCGGCTGCACGTGAAATGCATATCGAAAAGACAATCGCACTGCACTCGGTTATGTCACGTATTTTATCGGATATTGTCAGCGCCCCATCAAAAATGCTGTGGATAAGGCAACGCAGTGCAGGTGAATCACATGATATATGTGAAGTTTGCTCTATATATTAGCAAAGCTAATATATATAAACGCCTAGAGTCAGCTACTTCAGCTGTAATCTCTCAAGTTTAACCATTTCACTTGTGTTGCTTCTAGAAACTAGTTTTCTAAAATGACTTAATCATCAACTGAGTTGCTACTAAATTGTGGCTTGTTATCTTTCAAGTTCAGTCTTTAATCTTAAAATTGCACAGCACTTAGGAGCGCAGTTCTATTAATTATTAAGAGGCATGGACAACTGCTTTGATCTGTCAGTGCTCAATGTTAAGTCTCCGTCGATCCATTAGCCTTGCAAATGTTGCTAGCTGATCCGTAAGCCCCATGCCGAATGTCACCTGCAAAAGGCGCCAACTCGCTGAATAAATTGTTAAGCTTGAGAGAACTTCACGAAGTTTGTGTTTTTGCATTCGTTGTCTGTTTATATAGTCGAGTGTTTTTAATGAATTGTTGATGGGAATTAATGTGCGCATATTAAACGAAATTCTTTCATTAACAATAAAAATAAAATAATAAAACAAAAAGAGACGCGAATAACAGTAAGCTGACGGCGCTTTTTATGGTTTGGGGTTGGCGTTCAGCTCGCAATATGTGAGAAACGAGTTTTTGCAGCACGACTGCAAATGCCTTTTTAATGAAATATATAAAAGATAAGCTGCGAAAAAAAAAACAGAAAAAAAAAAACAAATAAACAAGCGAACGAGGCACAGAAAGCGAACTAGTTGGAACAATCTCTAGCTAATAGAGATGAGATGATCTTACAAAGCAAAAGGGGAGCAGAGCATGTTTATATATTAATTGATATTTAAGACGTGGGAAGCTATTAAATTACATATACGTGAGCGCATTTACAAATCTCTCATATTCAATTTAATTAGTGCTCAGATTTTCTGCTTCGTTTGCGGAATACCTCTACACATAAATGTTGAAAAAAAAAAATGCAACTAGAACAAAAGTTATGCATGCTAAAGCTTTGGGTGCAGGCATATCCTAGTCGAATACTCCCGCCGACTAGAGCATTTTCTTCATTTTCTATGTATTCACAATCTTGTGTAGTTTAGCCAAGTTTTAAGGCAACACAATTCTAGCTCCTAACTAATTGTCACGCGCATAAAACACATATCACACCCTGAGATCATCCTACATAAAAAAGAGAAACTTCTAATGAGTCGACAAGTTTGAAGACACAGATACGAGTAACTAATTACCACTCAACACTTATCATACGGAGAGAAGCGTATTTTGATCGCTTGCGATGATCTCTTGGAGAGAAACTTGTAAGCTTAGCCCAGGTTTGATCTCTAAATATATATATTCATTGAGCTCTTAACATGTTTTTGATTGTCTGATCGCCGGCGATTGTCCATCACTAGAAATTTTCACCTTTAGTATGCCGCAATTAATGCCAATTTGACAAATTGCTAACTGTTGACTTATACTAAGTTGACTTTATGCAAATATCACGAGTTGTTTGGCTGATTAGATAGAGAAGCGGAACCGGTCGCTGGTTAGATAGGTGGCTGGGTTGCTGGGTTGGGCTCGTTGTTTACTTACCGGCACGAAGTGTGGCAGGTTGTCGAGCACCTGCAGCTTGTCGATGCGCTGCTTGATGCGCTCGCGATGATGCGGATTCTTGATGCCAATGGCGGTGAGATCCTCGGGCGTCATGCGTGCAATCGTTGGCAAATCGTAGCCGGCGGCTATGAACAGCTGGGCGTACTCCTCGTGCTTCATCTCGAGCAGCCAGTCAATGATAAGCTCATCGTTGCGCTGACGATCGACGCTGCCGATGGAGCACGAGCTGACGGAGCTGCAGCGGGGCGAGGAGAGCGGAGCGCGTATAGAAGCGCCCGACGAGGAGACGCCGGTTAAATAAGATGAGGCACGGCCCGAGTCCAGGCTGGCGGTGCTGTGCCGCGACCCAGAGCCGGCCGAGCCCGACGAGGAGCCCGGCGAATCGCGACCAGGCGACTGGGTCAAATCAATGCCCTGATCCTCTTGCAGCGCCAGCTGCTGATGATAGTACACCGCCGCCTTGTGGGTGAGCGGCTCGCGCAACGTGGCGCAAAACACGGGCGGCGGGCAGGCCACAATGCTGGGCGGCAGCGGAGCCTGCGCCGTAATCTGTTTGCTCCCAGAGCCAACACCTCCGGCTGCTGCTGCTGCGCCAGCGCCTGCAACCGTTTCATCCTTCATGCGCAGCGCCACGCTCGTCTCGCGCGGCAAGTTGAAGCCGCCCTCCTCCAGCGAGGGCGACGAGACAATGCTGCTGCCGCTCATGCTGCTAATCCCATCGTCCAGTTGATGATGCTGTTGGTGTTGCTGTTGCTGCTGCTGCTGCTGCTGATGGTGTCGCAGTGGCCCGCTCAGCCTGTAGATCGGTATTAAGGGCTGGTGATGGCTGCCAATGGGCGAGGCGGGCGTCGGCTGTAGATCTCCTGGTATTGTTGGCGGCTGTACCTTTTTAGCTTGTGCCGTCGATGCGTGCGGCTTCAGTGAGCGATGCATGGCGCGCTTCTGTTACTGCTCGCCGCGCTGGCCAAATTAGCTGCAGCGACTCCTGCAAAAACAAATAAAACTGCATTAGGAAAATATGTAGGCAAACAGATGTGCAGCAGATGTGGCAACGTGTGTGTGGAGTATGGGAAATCTGCATAATTGGGCATAAATTTTCGTTGCTCTAGCTAAAAATAGGGTCACACTGTTTATGCGCGCGCTGCTGCTGCTGCGGCAAGTCAATAAACTGCCACAGGGCACGAGATGTTCGCTGCACAGTGGGTGCATTACCAAATTAGAACACGACTTGGGGCAAATAAAAAAAATGTGAGTCAAATTATTGTTAGTAACTAGTTTGGGCCAAGTTTTTAGAAGCACATAGAAAAAATATAAGCCAACGTTTTATATGCATGTATCAAATGTGACCCACTGTGCGCCCGTAGCATCGTATTACAAATTTCATTCACCAAACACAACTAAAAACAAACAACAAGGGGCAGAATAGTGCAGAGACGAAGTCAAAGTTCGTTGACTGTGGGCTGAGCTAAGGGCGGCAGGGGGAGGGCGTGCGGCTTATAGTTGTGGCTTGTCTAGGCGCTACGTCATAATACACTTGAAAATTGCAGCGGCAGGCGGCGACGCTGGCGCAAATCTGACAAAAGTCACGAACAGCGCTACTGCCTGGCCATGTCATTAACATTAGCGAGAACAAAGCCGCAAAATACTCGGAAGCAATAAAAAGTATGAAGCAAGCAAAACGGAGCTTTAGCTTTAATATGCACTGTTTTCTGGTGAAACAGTTAAATGCCAAAATCGATTGACAGCAACATTTATCGATAACATGCTAACTGCAGCAACGGCCACCTGTTCGATTAACTACTCGATGCCCGGCCGGTAGACGTAGTACACGCAAACACAGAGAGAGAAAGAAAGAGAGAGGGAGAGAATCAGTCATGGCGAGTGAGAAGAGTTACGAATACAGCCAAACGAAGCAGGTGCCAAATTCATAAACGTGTCTGTGTGTGTGTGTAGGAGGCGAAACGTCGCAAAAGCAGAGCAAAAGCTAAAAAACAACACGTAAAACGGTGGCAGTAGTAAATTTCATTTACAAGCCTGTCGACTGCCTTTAATGAATTTTTATGTATGCGACGTGAAACGAAAATTAACGAAAAAGTGCAGCCGAAGGCGCGGGAGAGGCCCAAGCAGCGCAGTTCAAACAAAGAGAGCGCAAAAAGAGAGTGAGAGAGCAATGGCACAGATGGCAGCGGGCAGCGAGCAGCGAGCAGCGGCAGCAGAGGCTGAGCAGAGTTTGTAGTAGGGTAGTATATCAAAAACTGCGAACGATACACAAATGTGGGTTGCGATTTGTTGTTGTTGCTGCTGCTGTTGTGCTGTTGTTCTGTTGTTGTTGTTGTTGCTGTCACCCACACACCCCGTTTGCCCAGCTGCAGCATTTGCAGATGTTGTTGAACCGTGCGGCCGGCTTGCATTTTGGGCTAACATTTTCTGTTTTGTCTGTCTTGTTTCTGTTTTGTCCCGTTTTACTTTTTTATTTTTTCTTTTTTTGTCTTGTTTACTACCCATTTTTATGAGTACATTTTGCCATAGTCTTTTGTTGCTTGCACATTTAATTGCAAGCATGGCACACAGGACGCCCCCTGGCGTAAATAATGCAAAACTATTGCAATTGCTGGTGTTGTGCTGGGTGTGGGTAGTGAGTAATCATAATGAGCACAACAACACTTGCGCGTGTAAGCATATATATATATATGTAAGTGTGTGTGTGTGTGTTTGAGCATAAAAACTGATTGGAAATGCAATTGGACGCTTGGGCGGCCTTTTCCTATTAGAAACTCTGCACACAATTCAAAACTATTACAAAGGGCAGCGCAGGCTGAAAGATTTATTGATTGTTACACACACACACACACACACATATTGATGAGTGTGTGTGTATACAATGTAGCGGAGTTGCGGTTTTGAAGTTAGCAGCAAAAACGCTGAGCAACTAAAAATAATTATGGTTACCATTGCTTTAAACACACACACACACACATAGACACACACAGGCAATATGCAGACATGAATACATATAAAAGAGCACAAAGGGACCGCAAAGTTGATACGCTACTCAATGGGGGAGTATTGAGAGTTAGTTGTAAAGTTTGAATAATTTTTGAATGGGCTACGATAAGAACTCGTATGACACTCTTATATATTTATAAGCATAAGTCTTATATTACAAATGTGGGGTGTACAAATATCAAAGGGGAACTGGCATACATGAGTATGTCATATTAAGAGTTTTCACAGTAAAATAAACTATAAATTTACAGCTTATGATGTCGAGAAATTGTAACTTTCTCAGCAAAGAATTTATCTGAAATTAGAAACGCCATCTACTTGGCTTTGGGATTAGTCACATTAAATTTAAGTGATTTTCTTTAATTTCCATTTCCATTTTCTTTTTGACTATTATATAGAATTATTTAATGCATATATAAGACTTATTTTCATTTTTAACTCAATTACACTTCAAGCAAAATCTTAATGAATATTCACTTTCAAGTTAATTTATTCAATTATAAACGATATGTAACTGCGTGAGTGTATTCGAAATTCGTTATATATGTGTTCGCCCTGTGCACCGTTAAAGTTTACTGGCATGAGTAATCAGCCAAATGGAGCGCAATAAAATGGCAACGGCAACGGCAACACGGCCAATCTATCAGGCCAGGCAACACATCAACTAAGTTGATGTTGCCCAGCCACCCCCGATAAAGACTGCTCGACCACCAACCAACCAACCACTCCATGGCCAGATTCATATGGCAAACTGGCAATGGGACATGGACCTCAAATGGGCAAGGGGAGCCAGCAGTTGGAGGTGGCAGCGGCTGAAATCAAATGAAGCGAGTCTCGTTCTCATGTTTATTAACGGTGCTTAACTGGGATATTGTAGAAGTGTGTGTGTGTGTGCGAGTGTGGGTGTCATTAAGTGCGCTAGATAAAGGGACCGCCCAGGCAACACTTCATTAACAACGCGACTTATTGACAACGGCTTTTTCTAACACCCTGTTAAGATACCCCGAACAGAATGAACAACTTTGACATAAAGTGTTCTAGCAGCGCTTAAACTTAATTGTTTTGATTTATACGATTATTAACTAAGTCAAAGTTCTTTTTTAAAATAACAATTTTATAGAAACTGTGCTTTAACATCATGATTTATTGACAACAGCTCTGTAACACCCAGTGCCTTGCACATGATAGCTTTACGTTACATTTGGTAGTAGATCTTTAAGCATATTCAATTTAGTATTTAAACTAGCAAAGGCTGTAAGCTATTTACAGGGTATCTCAAGCGTCAGGCATACGCTGTTTTTGCTGCTGCGGGTGCTTTGCATATGTCATGAGACGCTTTCCATACTTTCCCTAAAATGCAAGGCTGATAAAAAGTTTTTTTTTTTTTGGCTGCATTTTTCTTACATTTCTTTTCAATTTTTTTTTATTTTTTTGTCGGTTTGCCACGCCCCACTGAGTGAGTCTTAGTTTTCGTGTACTTGTACATTGTTGGTAGCGTGTTTTGTCAGCAGCAGCAGCAACAACAGCGACAACAAAAACAAAGTAAGATGGTGTCGCTGCCTGTCGATAACTGGAGATGTTGATCTTGCAAGAAGCAAAGCAGAGAAGAGGACAACAAAAGCAACGATGGCCGCAGGCAGTATAAACTTGTTTTGCTTGTAAAGGGAGTTGTTGTTGTTGTTGCTGTTGCTGTAGTTGTTATTGCATTGTCTTGCGTTTTGTTTCAGGTTTCATCTGGCAACGCCAAGAACGGAGCAAGCAAGAGCCCATAAAAAGCTCGTAGGAGTAAAATGCAACACACGACGACGAAGATGTGTCAATTGTGTGGGCGAGAGGGAGAGAGAGTGCGAGCGGCAGACGAGCAGCCACATACATAAGCGTGTATATGTCTATATATATTTGTACGTGCAGTTAACGGTTAATGCAAAGCGAATGCGTAGCGCATATGGCACCAGACAGCCAGACAGACAGACAGACAGAAGAAGAGACGGACAGACAGACCAAATAAGGCTGTCAGCACGTATTCACGTCGAGTAGAGCAGCACAGCTCCAAAAGCGGCCATCAATTCTGCTTTTTGGTCAAAATACGCGAACAAGTTGTAAAGCGAGCAATGCGAACAAAGCAGCAGCAACAACAACAGTTGTAAAAGTTCAATTGGGAGAGGAGGCAGTGCAGGCAGAAAGCATTTACTGTTATGTACATTGAACTTTTTAGTACCTAACCACTTGCCACCCACTTGCAAAGTGCGTTTACTACTACGCACGCATACACACACACATACAGTCACAGTCACACGCACACTCACACACACACACACATGCGTACATACACAAATTTAAGCTTAGTGCTAAAAAAAAAAAATCTGCAACAACTGTGACAAAAATATGAAAATTACCATTTTAAAACGTGGATTTTTGCAGCAACTTTTATGAAGAACTCTAAAGCTCACTTGAAACGAGCATTAATTATATATTTTGCATAAATTGCAATTGATTTTGTGGCATTAAAACGCGTCGGAAAATTCTGTGCAAATTTCTTTTGCACAAACATACACACGCACGCACACAAACTAAAGTAACACCAACACTAACACCGACACACACAAAACAAGTAAAGCATATGAAAAAGGCAGCGCAAAAAGTTGCCGCTGCGGCGGCTGCGGCTGCTGCTGCTGAAAGAAACGAAGAACTAGCCGAAAAAAGGCGGAGCGTGCACGAGCCGACGGCGACCGCAAGTCAAAGCGTATTGAAAACGCGGCTCAAGTTCGAGTCCAAGTCCTCCTGCTGTACATTACCAAAGTTGTTCAAAACGAGAGAGAGAGGGAGAGAGAGATAGAGAGAAGAGAGTAAAGAGGGAGAGAGAGTGCGCGTAATTTGCCGCACTCACAACTCTTCTCAATTTAGTTTTCGCTGCTAGCGGCATAGACCCAAGCGAGCCAATTTGTTGCAATTGAAACAATAACAGTTGCCTGACAATTTATTGTTGCTGGCAAATTAGTTAATAAACGAAACAGTCGGCCTCCGTTTTGATTATAGGCGTGTGCATACAATTTCGCCGTACTGTAGAGCTGAAGGAGCGAAGCCTGAGAGAAATGCATTCATTTCCAGTTGTACAATTTACGCACAGTGCCCCAAATTACATTTAAACAAAACGGAAATCTATCCAAATGATACCTTATGAATATTTACCACCTGACATCGTTTTTTTTTATTTCCCCTGATCGGTATGATAAGAATTAGAGGTCAGTCCATTGAGGCGGGAAAAACTTAATGATCGTATGTAATTTGCATTCAATCGTGTTTAGCATGGGAAAACTTGTAAAACTTGGCCCAAACCATTAACGTAACTCAAATTCAAGGGTAAACATACAAACTTTAGTTGTTTAACTAATTTACAACTTGAAATAGTTTTAACTGACTTAATTTTCATTTCATTGAAATACCTCCCAGATTGCATATTGCAACATAAAATAAAGTCTATCATTAAATATTTTATTATATTAAACATTGTTTATCTATCGAATACTTCAGTTAATAATAAAGTTTTAACACTTCCAAATATATATGTATTTTTTGTTAGTACATTTGTTTAGCCTCCTTTAACAGCAGTTGTTCCACTGTGCGCTGTATGATACAAAAAATATCCAAACACACGCACACATACACTGATACATATGCAGAGACAGGCTAGTCAACCACTTTGTTTGCCGCATAAGCCAATAAAGAGCTAAAGACAGACAGCAGAGAATATGAGAGATAGAGAGAGCGAGCACGCGCTCCACACGAGCTTCACACAAAAACTTCAAAAAGGCTCCAACTTTATTAAATGGCCTGCGCGCGCTGCCGTTCTCTCGCTCTCAATTTTGTACTCTCTGCTTTTACCATTTACGCGCGCTCTCTCTCACTAAATGAAAAGACATCGACGCTTGCTAAGCTGTCACTTTACCCCCCCGCCCACATGAACGACAATTCTAACACTTCATTGGAGTCGTTTGCGTTGCGTTGCGTTACGTTGCGACGGCAACGACGCGTCGTCAAGTCATTTGATTCCCACACAAATCTCTGCATATTGAGCGGACGCGAGAGTCGCTCCCCATTATGGCAAGTGAGTTATGAGTCTGTGTATGTGTGTGTGTGTTGTTGTACTGCGCTTTCTATTGATTTATATGAGCTTTATAGCGCAATCTGAGTGCTTTGCAACGAGTACAAAGCTCAGCCAAGTGAAGAGTTAAAGTAAATGCGCTTTGAATTTTCAAGTGAACTGCCAAAGACAATGCGTAAATGACAGCAAAACATTTAATTGCCGACGAGCGTGTTTTGTAAAACAAGCAGGGGGAATAAATTATACTAAGCATCAGCACAGCACAGCACAGCACAACATAGCTCGGCCAGAGTTGCCACAGCTCCATTGTTGTCTGCAGCACGCGTCAGTATCGGCGCTCAAGCATAACGCATCGCTGACACGTGTTGGTTTATTAATTACATAAGCAGATGCAGCTACAGCAGCAGAGGCAGAGGCAGCTGCATATTGTCTGGAAACAAAAACCAATTTCCTGCAGAAGCGTATGGCTACTCTTCACAAAGGAGCTGAACAGCTGGCAGCCACTGTATACAACAGGGTATAAGAAGAAGCATACAAAATGACAGATGGCGAAGTCGGCGCCGACGCCGGCAGCAGGACACGAGTGTCAAAACAAAAACATTTCAAACTCAATTGCGGCCACAAACAAAATAATGCTCACCTTTTAAATGTGTGGAAAAGCTATTTTACACTGTTTACGTCTTTCTATTTCCAAAAAGCAATAACAAAAAGCAAGTTAATCACATTAAAAGACAACCGCGACGAAAGTTGACACACAAAAGTAAACAAATGTAAAATTGTAACAGGGCATTAATTATTGTATTTGTCGTTGCCTTTTTATGGTATTTTCTTCTAGCACTCTCTCACTCACGCACACACACGAACACAAATGTACAGATACAAATGGCGCGCGCGCCTCATAAAAGTAAAACATAAAACCAGATTAATTTTTTGTGCAGCCGAAAAGAGTTTATTAAGCTGCGCTGCTTACGTAGTTGTTCCCGAGTTGTTGTTGTCGTTGCTTTTTATTGTTTGCTACGCCGCCATTTTCTTAGTTGTGAACTCGTTATTTTAACTTATTTTGCGCTCACAGCATATTGGTCTTAATTTATACAGATTTTTGTGCTTTTATCTTAAACATTTTTTAATTGTACGCGATCATATTATTAATTTATGCGATTTTAATCACAGTTAGATCTGCGCGACAAAGCGACGCGAGCCAACTCAACCGCTCAGCAAGAAAACAAAAACATAACTGAGTATGGCTGCACACTTAAAGTGGTAAAATACCAAGTAAAAAATTATATTTTCCGATAACATAATTTACTTTGGTATTTTTTCCAAATTTTGATAAAAAAATCATTTTTTCCAATTCAAATCAATTCAAATATTTGTTTGTGTAGTCTTTCCAGTGAGCTCACAATTTAAATTATTCTCTCAACCTGAGTGCAGTGTGGGGGAGTATCACTAATAATTTTGTAGTCAAACAACAATCGATAATTCTATTGAATAAAATTCTAGCGATAGGTATCAAAATTTGCGCCATCGATAAATATTTAAATTTATGTAGTCCCACCATTAGTTTTCAGCATAAAACAGCGCAATTTGTTAGCAACATACAGCCACACTTGTTGCATTCATATAAAATGTTAAAATTATTTAAACAAAATTGATGGCAGACAATAAAATTAAAAGTGCGTGGCCTTAAACCGTTTATTTAATTATGTGTGGCTCTTTAGTTGAGTGCAATTAAGATTTCTGTTTCTGTACGTGCCGTGTTCCATTTACATTAGTATTTTCTCTAAGTGTGTGTGTGAGTGTGAGAGAGTGCGCTTATTGCCATTGCCTTGTGCGGCATTTTTGGTTAAACAAATTGCGACGACTAACAAAAGTAAGCATAATTAGGTGAAATTAAGTAAGTCGACGGTTTATTGTCTTGCAAAAATATAAATGCAAATAGAAATTCAAGAAAAAGCGGCAACACAGCCCAGATTTTAAATGCAAATGAGGCAAAGAGAAGAAAAGAGGAAAAAATACAGGTTGTCGCTGCTACGCTTTGGCATTTGTTGGCTTGGCTTGGCTCTCGCTCTGCCGTTGCTCTTATTATTGTTGTTGTTGTATTGGACTTGGCTGCCTTTTTAGTTGGTCAATGCACGGCGTTAATTAAAGCTATATAAATTCTCGTTGTTTGTGGGCCGAGGGCCGTGTTTGCGCAATAAGTAACTGCTTAACGTTTCTGTTGTTAAGCTATGTGTTCTAATTTTCCTTCTTATTTTTATTTCTTATGCGCTACTCTCAGCAGTGGGCGTAACGCCTTTTAACATTTGATGCTATGAATCATGGCATTGCAATGTTAGTTGGCAGTAAAAAATATTTTCGGCACAAACAACGGCAGCAACAACAACAGACACCTGTGGCATCTTGTTTATGCTGGGCAGCTTGAGCCGGTGCGGTTCGGAAGTCAAATTTGACAGCTGCGTGGCGCATCCTAAAATGAGATTTGAATTAAAAAAGCTTTGCATGAGAGAAATACGCTTTTCATCTTAAGCTTTACCGCGCGTGTGTGAGTGTGTGTCTGATGCAGCTCAAACGGGTGGGGGGCAAAGCAAAGCACTGTTAAAGCACAGTATAACAGCGCTGTTAAATTTAACGCGAATATGTTATCGTTCAAGAAGGAAAACTAAATTTCAAATATATATTATATAATTATTGTTTTTATGTAATTAATTTTTTTGCTAATTTTATATTCTTGCAGTTCGTTTTCTGTGATTCCTGTACCCGTTTGAATACAACTTTAAGGATAATAAATATTTATATATATATATATATATACAACAAAGAGAGCTCAATAAATTTTACGGACAATAAGTTCACGCCTCCGTCTCAATTGTCGCTGTGTACGTTTCCGTCCCAATGCAGAAAATGCCCTCGCAAATATTAAACGATGGCAGTGGGTCTGGCAGTTTGAACAATGCGGCTTCATTGCTGGGCTCTTCGCCCAATTCCATTACAGTGAAGACTGCTTACAATGGTCAAGTCATAATAACGACCATCAATAAGAACATTACCTACGAGGACCTCTGCTATGAGATACGCAACATTTGCCGCTTTCCCATCGATCAGGTGACTCACATCATATCCGTAGCATTATCTTGACTTTATTGTAATTGTGTTTTAACCTTCTGATATAGCCCTTTACCATCAAGTGGGTGGATGAGGAGAACGACCCGTGCACCATATCAACGGACATGGAACTGAATGAAGCCATACGATTATACGAGATGAACTACGATTCCCAGCTAGTTATACATGGTAAGTGAAAAAGTTATCGCTTATCTGTATCAATATATAAATATATATGTGTAAATGCTTATGCTATTGTAAGCACTTTATTTGATCAAACTGATAAGACCAAGACACACTGCCCAGTTATGTGTCACTCGTGGGTTATTCTTGAATGTCATAAAACATAAAAGATATTCCGACTTAAGCTGTTGCTATATATAATGAGGAAAGACATATATGAAAATATTCATTCCATCTTTCTTTATCAAAGTATTTTAACTATAAATCTTGATTCTAAAAACATCAATGAACAAGTTTATGATTGCTTGAATGAAATTTTTGTGCCCGCATATTATGCACACACAGCTTGCAAGCTTTGTATATATATAAATTGTAATTGAAATGCTTATTTGTTAATGTGTTTCAAGTGTTTTCTAAATGCATTTCGCCAATCGTTAACTAAATGAGGCAACTTCGCCACAGTCTGGCTTGGGAGCTTACTGTTCATAAATTAAGTTTCTCATGAAGTTTTTTAAAATTTAAAAACATTTTATAATTTGTGAAGTCACAATTGATTATTATAAATAATATAAAAATTATATAATAATGCAACATAAGAAAATATAAAATTAATAATAATAATATATAAAATATATAATATATATATAAAAATAAAATAATAAGTAAATACTATTCTCGGACTGCCTCCCACTTTGGCACCAGGTCCTAACGCGCATTAAGCTTCTAGGTAGAGCCCTGCAGACTCTTTTCCATTTGCTCTAATATAGTCGCTGACTTCAGCGACAATTTATTCTTAACATAATATTTATAACTCAACATATATATATATATATATATATATATATATATATATATATATATATATATATATATATATATATAATAAAAATGATATATAATATAATATAATTCTGCTTATATGATTTCGAATAGAATTGTTTTTAACTCGAAGTTCAACTAGAAGTCTTAGATAAACGAACTGAACTATGCTCCATATATCATGTCTCCATAAAGATTTAAGTTAAAATGGGAGCTTTTAAAAGCTGGTTATACTACACTTATAAAAATCTACAACTTTGTCTAACTTAAATTCGTATTTCCACATTTTAGTAAGAGCTAAAATTTTTGTAATATGGCTGAATTTATTATTTTAATTCAGATTGCATAATATTGAAATATATAAAAAAAAATAGAAACTTGAAAAGAAATTAAAACACTTTTTCAAGAGCTTCGAGCAATTTAAAGATAAATTAAGAACAGTTCAAAATATAAATAAAAGCTAGAAATGCATTGCAAGGAATTCACATTTACTAACGCTGAATGTTTATGTGCCGTAGTTGCCATAATAAAGTTAACAAAAACCGTTAATTAAGAAGTAAATTTATAAACGAGCTTGTTTTCGGCCACAACAATTCTTTGAATTGTGGCTTAGGTACATGTGTGCACAGCTAAAAAGGGATTTGTTTTATGTTGCCAAAAGGCTTTTAGTTGGCAAATAACACACACACATACACACTCGCACACACACCCATTTGGCTCGAGCGAAAACTATGCAAAAGTTTTCTAGTTTTTATTTTTGTTGTAATTTTCACAAATTTCATTATCAACGTTTGAAATAGGTCGACTGCCTGGTGCTTTGGATGTAGCACAATTTAACCGCAATTTGGTGCACATTTTATCCTGGTTAAACAATATGCTGCTGCTCATTGCTTTATTAGCTCAATAAACCGTGGCTGCCATTGCCTTTTGGCCAACGCCTGTAGCTCCCTGCGGACCTACAGCATGCGCAAATTCAAACAGCAGTCGGCCATGTTAATAACATAAAATATTAATTAACTTGTGCAGGCAGATACACTACAGGCACACACACACACATATACACCCACACACACACCCACACACACTCGCTTGGCTGCTGGCTAAATGCTTTGCTCGCCTCCTTTAGGTAAACTCTGGTTTCGTTCGCATCTCACTTGTCTTTTCGCTGTTGTTCTTAAATGTTTTTTTTGCTTTTGTTGCTGGTCTCATCATATCTGCTCTTTGACCCGATTTGCTGCTGCCGGCTTCGTTTATAATTCATTATAATTAAATTGTTTGCTGGCAGCTCGGTTAGCTCCGTTTTCAAAAATTTAATTTTTGTGCGGCTTATTTTAGCTGCTTAGGCAGTGCAAGCACGCCTCAAAGGATACACTCACACTCGCACACACACACATATTCCATCTGCTTAGTTAACTGTCTGCGCTTAATTATCCTTGCCGCAAAAAGTTTTTGGCTTGCGCCCCATTCGAAATTTGCCTAATGACAAAAACAAAATGTTTCGACTACAACAATAAATAACTGCAAAACACGTTCAACAACAACAAAATGAGACAACACCAGAATTTTATTATGTTTTTGCTACCAAATTAACATTTTAAGAGCTTACAAATTTTTTTTATTTTTTATTTTTACTTCGTTTTTGCAATTAGTAAAAAGACTGCCTTAACTCTTAATGCATTTTAATTTAAACTTTTTTATAGAATGCTTTACGAGTAATTAAGAATTCTGTAAGATATAGATTTGAGTTAAATTATTTTATATACTAAAAATATAAATGTGAATAAAAATCAGTCAAAAACTATATAAAATATATTTAAATTAAAAATTTCTAAATACTCTAAAGATATAAAATAAATATTTGATTAGATTGAAACATATCGAAACAAATCTGAATCGGAATCTGGAATATATTAATTTTTCAATCAAAATGCCATTTCAATCAAATAGCTGTGTTAGCGCACACAGACTGTACTTCTATAATTATGCTTGAATATATTTTTGAGGTTTACTAGCTAAAAAGTTCAATGTTTGCTTATCACTTGCCGTTATCTATATTTGATTTATGAACAGAGAAGTTTGGGTTTTTATAGATATCGTTGGGTAGGTTCAAATTCTAATTCATGCTTCGAAAGTTTATCGTTATTACGGCGTAGTTTTTTTAGGTTGCAGCAAAGAGCACAAAACTGAGTTCAGCTAGCAAAAAAAAAACTGTAGCAGATATAATTTCGCCACCGCGAAACACTCAGCAAAGTTTGAAATGTTTTAGGTGTTTTTTTGTGGCAACAGGGGCAGCAGGAGCAGCAGGATTCCGGCTTCCTGGTTGTCCTCTACATATTCCTATCTATGTATATTTCCACGATTTGCTGTTGCTGCTCTTGTTGTTTTGTAGCCACGTGTGAAAAAATGCGGCTTAAAATGTATTAAAAGCATTTTCTGTGCGGTTTTCTCTCCGGCTCCAGTCTGTGTGCTAACATATTATGCTACAACTACTACAGAGACACATGTACATACATATACATATACAAGCTTGCCACAAAACTCATACAAGCGCCTTAAAAGCATTACACGACGCGACTGTTGATGTTTTGCTACCTTTGCATGTTTGTTTTTGTAGTTATTGTTATTGCTGTAGTTGTTGGTGCTGTTGCTGCTGTGTGTTGATTAGTAAATGGTCATGTATGTATGTGTGAGGCTGGCGTTTTTATAAGTCGTTGTTTTGGTTGCCTTGTGTTTTGTATTCTACCTTCCGGTTTCATCTCCGGCTAACAATGAAGCGTCTGCCCTCTTTGTTCCGCTCTCTTGTACACGCGCGCGCTCTCTTTCTCTTTATCTCAGTGGCTGTCGTTATAATTTATGCGCCTGCAATATGGCAACGCTGCCCACATGCACACACATGCACAATCAAACGCACACGCACGCAACAAACTTTATCCAGGCGTACAAGCTTTGAAACACATAAGGTCGATATACAAGATGCCCTCACGTGTGAGCGAGATAGACTGATTGCGCGAACAAGAGAAAAATTTCCCTGGCATAGCGGTGACTGTGAAATAACAAAAAAGGAAAAAAACAGCTGAGCGCTGGCTGACAGCATTGCCAGCTAAGCTTTTGAGTACGCTCAACTGCTGGCAATGCTGCGCCGGCGTTTGGCTTTTACTAGGCGGCTGCCAAAGTTTCAAAGGAAGTGAAATTGAGCGCAAGTGCAGGAGCAGAACTTTAAAAGGCGTCCGGCGCTTTTTTTGCTGTTGCTGCTGCCTGCGTCACCTGACATTGAACAGCGGGCAGACACACACACAGAACCATACACAAACACACAGACCTTCATTCTGTGTGTGTGTGCGAAAATATCCCTAGCAAAAGTTTTGGTCTGCGTCGGCATTCGTCGTCCTGTCGCAACACTCGCGCCGTAACTGTTCGCCTGTCTGGAAGTGCCGTGCGGAAAGAATAATACGGGCCGAATAATAAAAAAAAGCTTCGCTTTTTTCCTGCTGTTGCTAACGTCGCGTCGTCGCGCACAGCAAATATACCAAACCTACACACACACACACACCCGCATATATAAATTATACATAATAATATAATATATATAAATATAAAAACTGAGTGAACTTAACTAAAACGTTGTCAATTGTCGACACAAAAACGTGAAACACCAAGTTAAAGGGTTTGCTAAATTTTGTGGTATAAACTCCAACTTCATTTGCTGCAAAAAAAAAAGAAGAAAAACGAAGTAAAAAAAAATTGAATGAAAAAAATCAATTGGCCCAAGGGAATATATATATATATATATTATTTGACTGGCATCGCATTTGGATCTGCTTGGCTTTTTGATTAGTTTGCACCCGCCCCCGTCTTATATGGCCGTGTGCAACGGGGCGTATGAATGCTGAACTGATCCGAATGGCAATCAAAGTATATTTTATTGTATTTATGCGGTCTTTTGACTGCCTTGAATTATTCAAAGGTCTGACTGAGGCAGCGCCGATTTGAGTGTGTGATTAAGCAGTGCTTGAAGCTTGTGATTTGGGAACTTGAAATTGAGTTAATATAGAATATAAACTTAATCAATCAAAGCGCCTAAGACTGCTTGATAAAGACTTATTGACTATCTATGATTAAGGATATCTTGACTCATTTTGAAACCATTATTTCTATATATTTGTAACCTTTGCACTGCAATGTTTAGTCTAAAATCTTTCTTTAAAATATTAGCGAATCAGCTCGAAAGTGTGTGCGGGCGCTGGGGAACGTGAACGTGTTGTCGCCCTTCAATTTGGAGCTATACCCGCAAGGCATGTGTCATGTTTTACATTTGTCACTTAATCAAATTCTTGGCTGCGTCTGTGGATGCGGTTGATGTTAACGGCGCACCTCGTCGGTGGCGCTGAGCACCAAAATCGAATCATTGATTTTCATTTGCTTCGCTGATTCGTTATTTCGGCTGCTGTGCCGCAGACACAGGCAGCCAAACAAACAAACACACAGACAGGCGGCAGAGGCAACAAAATTGAACGAAAAAAACAGTCAGTGTGTGTGTGTGTGTGTGTGTGTGGCAGTGGTATGCTCACACCAAACTTGACCCTAGCAGGCATTTGCACTTCATCCAAGCGTTGATGACGCCGTCGCCTGCCTGCATTACATGCCCAAAAGCTGTCTAGGCCAAAAAGATGCCCAAATACTTGCTACTTGACCAGGCTAACACACACACACACAGACAGGCACTCACATGTGTGTGTTTATCCCTGTATGTGTGTCAGTGTGTTGCCAAGACGCTGCAGGGCGCACAATTTGCTCTTACTCTCACGCTCTCTCTCTCTCTCTCTCTGCTTTCTCTTTGTGTTTGTGTGTGAAAATCAAAAGCCCAAATCGACAAATTTGTTGGCCAAGCTGTCGCCTTCAAACGCGCTGCCATTTAAACTCGTTGTTGCCGTTGTTGTTGTCGCTGGCAATCAACACATTTACATTTTGACATTGCATACTTTTTGGGGCCAGCTTCGGCTTAGCCCGACTGGCTCCTATGCCCGCCCCTCTTCCGAACGTGGCACATTATGATTGTTTGGCTTATTTTAATGATGCCATTGGGCTTAATGAAATTATTGTTAGCACTCAGAGCGGCCGCCCTCGCCGTCGCCCGGCCTCTCTGGCAAAGTAGCCTCGTTTCGAGTTACCTCCACGAGCGTTACTTAAGTATGCACATGACGTACATTTTGACTCGTTTTGCATGCATGGCCAGCTTCAGCTTCAGAATGTTTCGTTCTCTGCTCCTTGGCGTAATGTTGTTTCTCGGGTTTCTTTTTGCTTACTTGAGTTTGCTCTTTCTTATTTGTGGCGTGAAATTTTACAGTGTGAAGTGTTTCCGCTTTATGCGAAGGCGTCCAAATATCGGACGCAGGTGGCCCAGCAAAATGGCCAAACATCAGGCAGTCAGGCGGTCAGGCGGGCAAGCTGGCTCCCAGGCACAGGCACTTACAAATTTACGGTCCTTGTCGCCGCTGACGTCATTCGCAGGCAAATTTTTTGTTGCTTAACTATGGGTCAGAGAGGCTGCAGGATAGCAGAACGAAACCAAACCAAACCAAACCGAACCGAACCGCACACAAGAGCAATACACGGAACGTGGCTTTAAGATGGCCGCGTTTCGTTGTTTTATTTATCGTTATTATCGCTGGGAACTTGAGTGGATTTCGCTGGGGCGTGTCCTGATAAACATCAACGCTTGACTACACTGTGATGTAAGACCATTGTTTGCAGATACTTAAGCATTGTTGATTTGCCAATTTGGCAATTTGGCAATTTGGCAATTTGCTGAAGTAGCATTCCACAATATAGTTGAATTGATACTTTGGCCCGGCCAGCATTTAATCATTGAGCGTTCAATAACAATGGACTTTCAGTATATCATAATGCATTAATTATCAGCTATTATGCTAAGGGGTTTTGTGGTTTGAATAGCACTCGCTGTCGGTCGTAAATTATCTTCGCATCGTTCAGTATTCTGTGTATATATAAATTGATTGATTGGGCCATTAACAGCATTTCGTTTCGTTATGATTTGTTGACAATTTATGTAATTAAGAATTACTCAACGTGTTTCACATCAATTTCACTTGGATTACGTGTCGTATGAGTAACGTTGCTAATGTGCTAATCCTTGGCATTGCTAGAGAAGCTTCACAGTATTGAATGGCAAAGTTATCAATGGCTACGACTTATGATTATTGATTATTATTATGTATAATATTCACTAAGAGCTTACGGCTTACAAATATATATGTCATTGACTGAAAGATTTAATTATCATAATATATATGTAATATATACAATAAATATATTTAATTTTATATTTGAAAGTCGCTTCAATGAGCTCATAAAAAATGATAAGCAATCAATCAATAATATTAAATATGTTAATTAAATCTTTTTCTTATTTGTGCGTTTATTTTTATGATTTATTAATTATTTTTTATTTAAATTTATTAATTATTTTTAAATTAAATCTTTTTCTTATTTGTGCGTTTATTTTTATGATTTATTAATTATTTTTTATTTTATTATTTATATTTTTAAACCATTTGACTAGTCAGGGTCTTAAATATAAGGTAGATTCATATAATTTTATCTATCTATATTTTTTATACTCGCTTACAAAGTGAAAAAAGAGTATATTGGCTTTGTACAATGTACGTTTGTCTGTTCATTTGGCTGCTAGAGTCATTAGAGAAATTTGAGTACCCCTTATAAAGAATTCAAATGTTCTCGATGCGCTCAAAAAGGGCCTGGCTATGGGAAAATATATCTGGCATAGCTGAAACGCTATTTCCTAAGTGGCTTGGGACTTGAAATTAATCAAATATACATAATAAAAAAATTACAAAATATACAAATATATATATAATATATTCATATAAACAAAGCAAGGCCTAAAATGTATGGTATATACATAACTACACCAATAAGAGGCAGCTCGAATAAAACTATTATTCTATAGTTTTAAAGTTAGGGCAATTTGTTATGTGAGTGAGAGCTAACCAAATCTATTGGCATACCAAAAATAATATACATTCAGAGAAAATCTCTAAATTCCAAAGTTTTACAGCTAGAGTTACAAAGTTGGACAAAATTTAACTATATTGGAACTATAAAGTCGTATTATGCATTTATAACTATTATTATTATTATTTATTTATAATTTATAATCATTTTATAAATTATAGAAATTTTCAACTTTTCCTTTATAAAATCTTGAATTTATGAAAGTTACATATTAAATTTGTATATTTCATTAAAAGACAAATAAGGCAATATATAATCAGTTTTATGGCCCTTTTAGTAACTACTTCTATTTCAATTTGCATATACAGCCATAGAGCACACACTCTAAAGTCTAGCCAAGCCCAAATCGTATTGCAATAAGAGCCAATCCCTAAACTCGAAATTGTATAAATTTGTTTTTAGCCTAGGGCAATTAGATCATTAATTCATAAACTTTGTTTCAACGCTTTGTAAACACATAAATAACTGTTTAAGTCGCATAAATCTGCCAGCTATGAACACTCTGAGCTGTTGTCCCATTAAAGAGATAATAATGAAAGACTTTTAAACTAACGAATCAAATATTGTCTTTTTCAAGACAAATAACTAAAAATTCATAATTTCACAACTTTGTTGTGTTTGTGTGTGTGCGGAAAAGTTTGTTTCGTGATTTAATTGTGGCAGTTGGAAAAGTTTCTATTCAAGGATTAACCTCGTTTAGCTGAGGCAGGAAAGCGCACAGTCACTCGTATAAATTATATTCACATTTCGAGTTCATAGCAACGTCAAAGGATCTCTGGGGTTAGCCACTGATTGATTTACCGCACAAACTGTCGCTGATTGGGGCGCGGGGGTGTTGTTAATGCTGTGCAACTAACCAACTTGTCAGTTCATTCGCTGGCCCCCGCTCAGCCAGCCATTGCCAACCAACTGCATGCCCCAGCAGGAGCCGACCAATATTCATGCTCCAATTGCAGTCGCCAAACAATGCCTGGGAAGTGTGTTTATATTTAGCAAACGATGTTACCCAAAACACACGGCCACCCAACGGGCGGTCGGGCGGGCGGTCTCTGTGGGGCTTTATATTCCCAATTGGTATGGGCTTTTGGCCCTGGTCGGGCTTGCAACATCAGCATAAAAGTGGGGATCGACTGGCTTGTCACGACACAAACCACTTGCCTCAAGTGGATGCTGCTGCAGCACTGGGACCCCGCCTCCTTGGTCGCCTCGTTAATCATGTGAATTATGCATGAAAGTAGAGTACTTAATTTCAATTGTCTCAACAAGCTACAAGACCAACGACAACAACAACAACGACAACGACAACAACGTCAAGTAGTTTCGATGTGACCTACCAATACACTTGAAGAAATTTTCTATTTACACTTGACTGCACTGGGGAGGATTATATTGCATAGTTTCTCGGGTCGCTCTGGGAGTAAAATTTCCCTGCGCAGCCTGGCCATACACGCTCTCGCTCTCTCTGTCAATTCGATTCGCTCTCCTGCTCTAAATCATTTCGACTCTCTCTAGCTTCTTGGGCCTTCACGCCTTTGACAATTTGCAGCAACTTGTGCGCTCGTTTGACTTGGGTTCAATTGTTTGTGATTGTCGCAGCGTCGCTGCTTGTGTGCGCGTCTCTGTGTGATTGTATGGCTGGTCGTATATATATACATGTGTGTGTGTGTGTGTTCGCTTGCGTTTGTGTGCGCGCTTGAACAGAGTTGTCAGCTGTTTCGCTTGCATTTCGCCGCTTCGCTCCCTTTCCTTGCATAGTTTCGCTGCCTCTCTTTCGTAGCTGCTCTATGCTGCCCATTATTACACAATTTATATTTTTTTTAGGTGTGGTTTCTGCGGCGACAGCCGCGTCTGCATGACGCCCACTGCCGGCAACGCCCCGAACCGCCCATTGCCTGCAGTTTTTAATCAATCATTTTAAACTATAGAATTTGCACGCCAGGGGGCGCAGCTGTCGCTTGGCTTTGAAAACTTTTGCATTGCATAGTTTTAGGCGGCCCGTGGCGTTGCCTGTTCTCAACTGTAAATGCAGCAGCTGCAACAGCAGTTGGGCCTTGTCCCGGTTCTATTTTCCTTTTTTTTCTGCTAGCTTTCGTTTGTTATGTGCTGCCATGTGCCGCACAATTTGCACTTGGGCCAGCACAGTGGGACAGAAGTTGATTATTTTGTGCTAGTTGAAATTTATTTGCTGAAATGCTATTAATTAAAATGAAAGAGCGAAATCTACTGAGTAAAATATGAAAAACATTATTATATAATTTTATATAATTTTAATTTCTTTTGCTTTATAAATATTTCAAAACTGTTCTATTCATTGATTTAGATTTTTGATATTTTATTTAGCTATTTTAAGTAAGCTATAATGATAGGACTTGGTATATTGAGTATGACCTCTTGCAGCACATAAAATGATTGTTGAAATAGTTTTTGGCTAACAACACGGTTCGAGTTATATCACTTTTGTTCCACTGTGTAATTTGGTCAAAAGTTTTCATTCCCTTTGCCTTACTTTGTAATTCACTCTTTGTTGTGCTTGTTGACATTGCCAGTTTATGCAAATTTGCGGCAATTAATCGCAACTAACGGCAGTAGAAGCAACAGCAGCAGCAGCAGAAGCAGCGGCAACAGTAAAAGTCAAGTGCAAAACAAACCGAACCGTAGCGAAGCTTCTACGCGCCGCGTATAAAACTGAAACAACAACAACAACAACAGCAACAGACACACACGAAATATGGCTTGGGGCTATTGGTCCGCCACAACAGTGGATCGTGGACGCTCGCCACGCCGCTTGACGCAGTGCACACCGTTGCCTGTGAATCTCGTGCAGCAGGAAGAGGAGGAGGAGCAGCCGCCATGTTTGCCACAACAACAACAACAACAGCAGCAGTCGCAACAGCAGCAGCAGCAACAACAACAGTCGCAGCAGTCACAGACCTGCCCCAGCACCCCCTCGGCCAGTCAACAAGGCGGCGGCACTCTCTGCTACAGTCCCACATGTCGTTCGCGCTGCTCCAGCCCCTGTCCGGGCTCGCCGTGCGGCTCGATAACGCCGCCGCCGCCGCCGTTGCTCACATCCTCGCAACAGCATCTCCATCAGCACTCGAACAAGAATTGTCCGGCCGCACAGCAATTGCTCACGCATTTGGATTACGCGGCACGCAGACAGTCCCTGGACCAGCTGGACAGTCCGCAGGTACTGAACACGGTACTACAATGAATAGGGCACTAGAGCTGAGCATGATTTGAGCAGCCATTAAAGAGACATCCATTCATGTTTAGAAAAGTCTAGGAAAATGATTCTGAAAATTAATTAAAATCTTTTGAAAATTAACTATAATTGCATAAGACTAGAAATTGTTAAGCTTCGATAGAGTTTTAAATAAAAAATAGACTGAAAAAGTTATTTGATAGAAAAGTTGTTCAAAAAATATATAGAAATATTCAGATATCTAGTTCGATATATTTTATATGAAATTTGTAGTAGACAAATTCTATCAATGAATGAATTCATATTGCAATCGAATCAGTTTCAAATTACTATATAATATTTCTAATTCCAGAATATATTTTTAGAAAATATTTTAAAAATTTTAAAAATTTAAAATAGTTTAGTTTATTTTATAATGAAACTGAAATCAATCCATCTTAAAAATTAATTCTATAAAATTCTTATAAAATTCCTATAAAATTTGGCTAAACTTGTGTTCGAGCCAAGAAGTTTTGAGGCCAAAAGGCATGGCAGTCGTGCCAAGGTAATGAAATAATTGATGTAACAAATTGAATGGGTCAAGTCAAGGCAATGAAGGCTATAAATCATGCACAGCTCTCTCAGGACTTGAGCGTAACCAACTGACATTTGTGTTCCTTTTTGTGTGACAGTCGAAGTACTTTGATATCCAGGCCAATCAGCTGTCGGACATCATGTGCCGCGGCGCTGTGGTCAGTTCCATACAGTCGGCCAACAATACGCTGACCAGAGGCGTCTCGCTGCACAGTCGCAGCGGTAGCGCCCATGGCAGCCATCACAGTCACAGTCATCATGGCAGCGCCCACGGCTCGTTGGGCTGCCTGCAGGGCGGTGTGGGAGTAGGCGTGGGCACAGGCAGCACCGGCAGCATTGGCATGATGTCCGCCAGCCACATTGACACCGGCGATTACGATGTGCCGCATCCGCATCCATATACGCATCATTATATGCAGACGACGGCATCCGTGACGCCGCCGCATGCAACGCTCAGCAGGCCGGGATCGGCTGGTGCCGTTTGCACCGGCCACGATTCGGGCTCCGACTCGAGCCAGGGCTGCGGTGGCTCCATCATGGGTGGCATGCTGGTAATGGGCCATGCCGGACACATGGGCAGCCTGGGGCATCATAGCACCGGGAGCGGTTCGCTGGGTCGCTGCTCGAGTCGCTGCCACAACACCACCACCACCGACGACTCCGGTGGCGGCAGCAGCGGCGGTGGTGGTGGTGGCATCGGCGCCACTGTTGCTGTCGGCGGTCCCGGCATGCTCATGGACTATCATCATGGCCATCATAGCGGCAGCGCTGGCAGCGGCCTTAATGGCTGTGGCGCCGGCGGCAGCATCGCTGGCGGCAGCATTGGAGGACGCAGCAGCGTCCTGGGCACCATACACAATGGCCACGGCCATCATCATCAGCAATACCATCACGAGTGCATCCACTACGAGCGTCTGCCTATTCCCGTGCCTATTCCCACGGTTCCCATGGGCGTTACGCAACAGCAGCAACACCAGATGCCCTCGCAGCATCAGCTACAATCGGAGGAGGAGATCGAACCAGCCTATGCAACAGGTATGCAGTCCATGCAACTTAGTTGAAACTTTGCCGCCTTTGTTCGACTCAAAAGTGAAGCGAATGAAGATTTCTACAATTTTGAATGATTCCCTTGACTTCAGTATAGAAAGTGCGATGTAAAAGAAAAATTATAATATATTTATTTAAATTGTTTTTCGTTTATTTTTTGCTTAACTTAATATGAATATTCATCTTAAGATGTTGAAAACATAGATGAAAATATTCACCTGTTATCTAAGTTTATATAAATATTTATAACAATTCCTGAGTCTAAAGCACTTTAAAATAGTTGAACACATTTGAATATTATTTTGTTGAACCTGAATGCAGATAACGTTTATTGTAGGTGTTGAAAACCCGTTTTTATTCCAGCATGTGCCGTGATAGATTTAACAAATTTTGTGATTAATAATAGTTTTGTTATTATTAAATATACATTATATATTTTTAAAAAATGTTTATGTAAATATATTAAACAATTTTTTTATTCATACAAATATTAAATTAAGGTCTCAACATCATTAAGCAGAATCCTATAAAGATCAAAAGTCTTAAAGAATTTAATAATTTTTGCTGAAAGTAATTCCCTATAATAAACTTTATAAGCAATATATATGATGACATATAATATAAAGTATTAATTTTTCCATACATCAAATCAATTTAAATATCTCATAAGAAATTCAAACATCATATCTTGGTTATAAAACCAGTTTTAAGCTCTAAACAAATGTCGCGAGAAAATCTTTAACTAAATCAAATAAGACGCAGTTCTTATTTGAAATAGCCCAATAGGAATTTGCGCTTCTTTGAGCACACTAATTTCCAACCCTGATCTTATCGTCTGCGCTATTCGTTGCGCTCTCACTTGCTCCCAATTAGTCTTCTGCACGTCGTCGACCGATTCTTGTGACATTTCAATAGCCTCTTGAGTCTGTTAATTCTGTTTTCTTTTATTCTATCTTTTCCTTTTGTTGTACTTTTTGATTTCGGTTCTTTTGCTCGCGTTTGGCTACTTTGCCGCAGTTCGCAGCTGAAGCTCGCGCGGTTAAGACGGCTGTCGCGTGCCGCAGAGATACAAAAAAAAATTCGTAAACATAATTTCTGTCACTTGTTATTGGTTGCTTGTTGTTTGTTGTTTAACTAATTTCAATTGGCAACAGTTGCTGACGCCGCTGTCTGACCCGCGCTGAACTGCCGCACAGAAACACGATGATCATCTGGAGCGGTTTCTGTGAGGCGGCACAAATTTACAGCAGCCAAACAGCCAGTTTTATGAGCGGTGGAGTCTCGTGTTAGTATTGATCTGATAGAGCCACTTAAAGTGTCAATGGCTGTCTCTATTCGAGCGTGAGATCAGTGTGGAAGTATTTATGAATCAATAATAGACCCATTGACAGCTTATGGCCTTTGTTTTCTTACTTTTGTTGTTGTTTTTTATTTTTATTATATATTTATTTTATCGGCAGCAGCAATCAATATTTGTGTTTCTTATATGCCACATAGCTTCCATATGATGTTTGAAGTACATACAAAATGCGTTCCACATAGGTTCCACGTGCCTTCTGTATGAAATACATATTGCACATGCATAGCGCTTACGTTCCACGCACCTATTACACGCATGCCATTTACTGCACACACACTAATCCACACACGCACACTAATACGACCTTCGCACTTGCAATCCACTTGGTTCAGGGACTAAAGCGACTGCTGCATTGCGCGCCTTCTTAGCTAAGTTAGCTACTTATATTTCCCAATATTTTCATCAGGTCTATAAATTTACGGCGTTATCTGTAGCTATGAGTATGCCTATGCCTATGGCTATGGCTATATAACAACACCCATACAGATAGCACAAGCCAAACAAATTTTGTCATCCATACCAGAGTGTTCTGATAAGGCTGGCACCGTCGACCAGCAGCGGCAACAACAACTACGCACAACCTTCTCTGTGTATCTCTGTGCATTGTAGATAAACGCCTACCAGATATGCTATGTATGTACGTAATGTAGGTAGTCGATAGCTGATATGACATTAGAAACTGAGAATTCTAGGTCAATGCAAGGCATGGACTCTACTCGATCGGATTGCCACAATTGTGTGGCCTTGTGGCGAGTCAAATGTTGAAAGAACCAATTGAATGTGTGACTGATGTAGCTGAAACATCAAAACTCTTTGGCGCTGCGAACAATTGAGCTCAATTGAGACTTGGGACACTGAATCGTTGGTTGGACTCCTCGCCTGCACGGAAAACTTAATTAACTGAGGCAATTACTTGGAAAAGCTACTCAAAGAGAGCAGCCCTCTCGCCGGTTGTATTTTGTATTTTGTATTTTGTACATGGTGCGTGGCCGCCGCTCCGGAGATAAGAGTCGACCGACCGCTTAGTGTTTGTATGCCTCAGTCATGGAGTTGGTTCCGTCATGTTAACAGCTCACATCAGACACACAATTCACTGCAAATGTGGCTGGGCAAAAATCCATTTATAAGTAAACCAAAATAATATATATAGAAAATTCACGATAAAGATTAATTCAGTCTTCAGTCAATTAGATTGATAAGGCCAAGCTCGCACATGGGCAAAGCAACGGGCCGTAAGCATGACAAATAATTGAAAGTTAACAAATTGGACAATTATTCGACAACGACTCACATACATAAACTAATGTGACACCTTATTCAATTTGTATTTTTGCAGTATTTCCGAATGTTCCTCAAGCGCCGGGCTTGTCCTGCGATGGCGAAGATCGTAAGTAGCTAACTAGACGTGAATTCAATTAGCTCTGCTCTGCTAATCATGCCCTTCCCTTCACTCCCCTACAGGCAGCATCTACAGAAGAGGCGCTCGGCGCTGGCGAAAATTATATCGCGTCAACGGACACATTTTCCAGGCCAAACGTTTCAATCGCGTAAGTAGACACACATGGCTATCTGTTCGATATCTAATGGATACACCATTGCACTCTGGCTCAATGCAATAAAAACCTAAAGTCAATTGAAAAGCATGAAACGAGAATAGAAGTTAATAATAATAATAATAAAACTGTGTGATGATCTAATTTTTATGATTAATCGAAAAGCCCTTTGATTCGCCTCTTGACTTTATCGAACAACTTCAAGTTTCGTCAACAGACAAAAGCAAAGATTTGCTTTTAATTTATGCCAAGATTTTAGCTTTATTTTATAATTTATCTAAAATTTTTAAACTCAATGCTATTCTTTGAATTATGGAACTTTATGCTGAACTTGTTATACCAATAATAATTTTTATAATCCCCTTTGCAGCGCGCCTTCTGTGCCTATTGCCAGGATCGCATCTGGGGCCTGGGCCGTCAGGGTTTCAAGTGTATACAGTGCAAGCTGTTGGTGCACAAAAAGTGCCATAAGCTGGTGCAGAAGCAGTGCACCGATCAGCCCGAGCCGCTGGTCAAGGAGCGCGCCGAGGAGGTCAACGATCCGATGCCGGTGCCATTGCCACCGCTGCCATACGAAGCGGTTGGCGGCGCTGGCGATTCGTATGAGCCGCACGAGCATGCGCACATCGTTGTGCCGCCACCGCCGGAGGACTCCATGGAGCCGGCCACCCAGCGCCAGTATTCGTTGAATGACTTTGAGCTGATACGCGTCATTGGACGCGGCAGCTATGCCAAGGTGCTGATGGTGGAGCTGCGGCGTACGCGTCGCATCTACGCGATGAAGGTGATCAAGAAGGCGCTGGTCACCGACGACGAGGACATTGACTGGGTGCAAACCGAGAAGCATGTCTTTGAGACAGCCTCGAATCATCCGTTCCTCGTGGGCCTGCACTCTTGCTTCCAGACGCCCTCGCGCCTCTTCTTTGTCATTGAGTTTGTGCGCGGCGGCGACTTGATGTACCACATGCAGCGGCAGCGGCGCCTGCCCGAAGAGCATGCCCGCTTCTATGCTGCCGAGATCAGCTTGGCACTAAACTTTCTGCACGAGAAGGGCATCATCTATCGTGATCTGAAGCTGGACAACGTGCTGCTGGATCACGAGGGCCACATAAAGCTCACTGATTACGGCATGTGCAAGGAGGGCATTCGTCCGGGTGACACAACCTCCACATTCTGCGGCACACCCAACTATATTGCGCCAGAGATACTGCGTGGCGAGGACTATGGCTTCTCTGTGGACTGGTGGGCACTGGGTGTGCTGCTGTACGAGATGCTCGCTGGCCGCAGTCCCTTCGACATTGCCGGCGCCTCTGAAAATCCAGATCAGGTGAGCTTTACGGGTTTACCTTGTCGTAACTGTCTAATACCTGTTATTTGCCATTTGCAGAACACTGAGGACTATCTGTTCCAAGTGATTCTGGAGAAGACCATACGCATACCGCGTTCGCTGAGCGTCAAGGCTGCTTCCGTTTTGAAAGGTTTCCTCAACAAGAATCCCGCTGATCGCCTGGGCTGCCATCGCGAATCCGCCTTCATGGATATTGTAAATCATCCCTTCTTCAAGGTCATCGACTGGGAGATGGTAAGTCCAAGGCCAGCTTAAGTGGGCTCTATGTGTTTCTGTGTGTTTTGCGATGATGTCAGTGTTGATAATAATGATGATACTCGTTGTGCTTCAATCTGTTTAGTAAAGCTTATTTCAACATCTCAAATTGAATATTTGATAGACTCTGTTTAATTGAAGTTGAAGTTTGTAGATATTCCAGTTTTGTGAAGATTTTTAACGCCTTGAAAGATAAGTCTAAGATTTTCAGAAGCTTTAAAAGTGGCTGTAATTCAATCTGACAAACTGTTTCCATCTCTTTAATAAGCCATTTAAAATATAAGAAGAAACCTATATTCTATATATTTAAAATATAAGAAGAAACCTATGTTCTATACAGATCTGATCTGATCATTTGCTATAAATAGATCCCTTATATATCTGTTAAGAGAAAGAGAGAGGGTAAGACAGTGACTTTTATCGCAGAGTTATACCTTTAGATAAGCAAGCGAAAGGTAGATAAGAGAGCCCAAAACAAGTCTTGAAACTTTATTCGTTTAAAAATATAGACAATCATTTGATTTGGCAGGCAAGACCATAAATGCCAGAGGGAACATACGCTTGAAAAATCTGACTCAATTTTCTTAAAGTTCATATTCTGTGTTATTAATGTTGTGGTTATATTTATCAATATTGAGCCATTTGCTGTAATTTATAATACTAAGTGTTTATATATATATATATAATTTTGTGTATAAAAAGATTGCACAAAAGGAGGTACAACCGCCTTATATACCAAGCCTGGATCCTGGCGATCCTTATATGACAACAAACTTTGACGTTCAATTTACCAGAGAACCGGCTGAATTGACGCCAGACGATCCGTAAGTTTTGTGTCAAGAAAACAAAAAGAAATTTAAAAATACAAAAAAAAAAAAAACAATGCCTTCTAGTTTTGGTTATTTTGTTCTAATTGTACCACGACGCATGAGAAAATATCCTTAAAAAACTTTTAAACTGTAAAATAAATAATAATTTCATAGCATTAGTGGTCAGACTAACAGCAGGTAATGTTCGCTCTCAGCCACATTGTGAATTCGCCCCGCTGTCCCCTCTGTTATCAGTAAAGAACACGCCCTACTCCCCCGCTCGCTCTATCTACTTATCATCATTATCATCATCAATACACAGACACACCTACACATACACACACACAAGAACTCAGATGGACATGCATTTGAAATGTGTCCTGAGCCTTATTGAATTTGATTTTTACGTTTGCCGAAATTGGCTGGCACTATCTTTAGCTATAATCATATTATTTTTACTATCTTTGCATATATCCTGCGCACACACACACACACACATACACACTCTCGCAATATACGCACAACCAAACACACGCCAATTTCAACCTCATGCAGCTCGAACGCAAACAGGTTTCGCCTCCATTCAAGCCACGCCTAGACTCAGATCGCGATCTGGCCAATTTCCCGATCGAGTTTACCGGCGAACCGGTGCAGCTGACTCCAGATGATGAGTAAGTTTTTTGTTTTTTTTTTTTCTTTTGGTATTCCTTTCTATCCAATTCGACTATGACAATTTATGAACGCTCAAATGCTGATCTTGCTAATATATTGCTCTCTTCCTATAGCCATGTCATTGGCAACATCGATCAATCGGAATTCGAGGGCTTTGAGTATGTCAACCCCTTGCTGATGTCATTGGAGGATTGCGTCTGACACCACGAGACGTGTGATTTGCATCCATATAATATGCGTGTAAGTTAAGTTAAGGCACAGAATGTGGCTTAATTAAGTATTAAATATTTTTTTAATTAGTTTGTTTGAAAAGTTGATTAATTTCTTGTTCTGCTTTGTTGCAGCTTGAAGTTTAGATTTTTTTTTAATTTAAATGAGATTTAGTTGTTTTTAATCAGTCAAATGCTTGACTTGATTATTTCCTTTTATTTATATTAAAAGTAGCTTTTAGCAGTGTCCACAACTCAGACTCTTCCGTTTTTAGATGAACTTCCATTGTGTGCTCCCATTGTTTATGTAATTCAAATAAACTTTAATTGACAGCAACTGGTTTAACATGTTGTTAGATGAGCTGCTCACTTTGCCAGGCAAATAAAATTCTATGCAAATGCTTGCCACGTATATGTCCTTGCTTCCTAGTTTAGTTCGTTGCATGCCACAGCCCTGTAACATAGAAACATTTCATTTCATTTCAGTCAACGATTGTAGAAATGTTTTTAGCTTTTTTTTGTGTGACAACAAAATGTTGCAGATAGCTAGGTCATGTAGCTAACATGTTTCTTGCAGCAAATATGTAAGGAAAAAGTAACATGCTTTGTCAGCGACTGCAGAGCTAAATAAATGAACGAAAATGTCTCTCCTGACTGACTGAATAATATAAAAAAAATATATAAAAGCTGAAATATAAATTAAAATTAAACTAGAATATATAACCTTGTTAAATGCAAATGTTTGACAATTTCAAATATATTTTAATGCAGTTTTGTTATTTATATTAAAAAGAATTTGAACTTTTGCAGCTTTACGGCGAGGATTCCAGTGATTACGATTCTGTGGCTGACGATTTGAGTCTCCTGCATTTGAATAGCGCGGGAGGCGCAGCCAATACCAATAATAATATAAGCCAGCAGCAACATTATCGCCAACAGCAGCTGCCACAGGCGCAGCAATATCATCCATACTCACAGCAGCAACAGCAACAATTACAATTACAACAACAGCAGCAGCACCAGCAGCAGCAGCATCATCATAATGGTAACAATAACAATCATAATAATCAAATGCAAGCAAATAATAATAAAAGTCTACTGCAGCACATGTTTTGCCTTCCATTGAACTAATTAAAATAACGAATTAGATATTGAACAGCAACAAGAGCAACAGATAGCAGACAGCAACAACAACTAGCAAATGCAACAAAAATAATTAAACAAAACGAAAAAAAAAACAAAAACGTATATTAACAAAATTAAACAGTTATAATCTTCTATATAATGAAAAATGTCTTAAAGCAAACTACTTTCATACCAAAAAAAAAAAAAACAAAAAAAAATAAGTAAAGAAAACTGTCACAAGCTGCGAGTATTAAACTAAACTACAAATGATTACTTTACTATTTAAGCACCTAGGCAAGCTAGGCAAAATCTATGCATGCAACAAAAGAAAATAACAACAGCAACAAAAAAAACATTTCAAAACTCAATGCAAGACTTTTCAGCAACTTCACCCAAAAAGTATGCAACAAACACATTTTTAGCTAAAAAATTTACAACAAAATTATACATACAAGCGCGTCTAAACAAAATATATACATATACATATACATATGCATATAATTTTTAAATATTTAAAAGCAAGACATTTAATTTTACTACAAATTAACAAAACGAAAGAAAATAAAAATAAATAAAAAAATCAGATAGATAAACTAACAAAAGAAAGGAAAATCAATCGATTATATTTAAGCGCGTAATTATTATGTAAAATGTATGTGTGTTAGTGTTAGTGAGCAGAAAGGTTTTTAAAAGCAACAGCAACAAATTGATAATGATACGTGTGTGTGTAAGCAGGAAGTGCATCAAAGTCTAGACCTAATCGAACTGGCAAAATTATCAAAAGCAAAAAAATTAATTATCAAAATTTGATGACAGGAACAAATGTTGAATCGCTCTAAAACAAAAAATAAATATAAATATATATATATAAATATATTTCTAAGCAAAGGATAATTTATGTATTTTCTGTATTATGATAAAAATTTACACAAATCGTCATCGTCATCGTTTACTGGCAATATTTCTTTCTATTTTTGTTAAGTATTAGAAACTTTACGTTTTCAACCCACACATTCCACATTGTACTTACTATACAAAAATTATTGTTGTTAAATTATTGTAAACTACATATAAGTATGAGATTTTCAGCAAGCAATAAAACAATTATTTTATATCCAACTCCCAATTTATTGCTCGTTGTGCAACAAATCAAAATTGAATTATTTTCCCAGCACGCGCATTTTGTGTGCTCCCTAGAAAATTGTTCCGATTTCTGGCACTGCGTGAGTTTTAAACATATTAATACAAATATATGCATATTCATATATATTTAAATAAAATTGTAAATTATGTTTTTATAACCCCTAAATGAGTAGACATATTGCGAGCAAGCAAAAACGAAACAGAATTAAATTAGTAATTAAACAAGATATCATTGTGTTGCTTTAACTGAAATGAAAATTTAAACGAATTGTGTTTTTAATTATCTACAAAATATTTGAAATGAATCGTATATGATACATAAAAAAAGCAAAAAAAAAATGTTGAATTGTTAATGTATTCAAAGTGACAACACACTAAGCAATTTAAAACTATTAAACACAAATACAAAAATTCCAACAGCATATTTTGATTAAACAGAAGTAATAGCAAGCAATCAATTAACATAGTAAATCATTTATATACATACATACATACGTACATACCCAAAAAGGAAAGTCAAAACACACTGAACAAATTTAGTATGCACATATTTTAATTGTAAAAACAAGACGTAGAGACAGCATAAGAATGGAAAAAATTGAAAATGGTTTTTAATCTAAAAAGGGAATTTTCCAAAAAGTTTTCCAAAACTTAAAATTAACTGTAGACGGCAAAACTTTTCTAGACAACTATATTTATACAACATTATGTTAATTCTTTTGATTATTTTGTTTAAATATATATATATATATTTTTTTTTTTGACTTTAGTAATATTTGTATGTCTTTTGCCACAAGCTGTTTTTTGATACATTTATTCATCTCTTTTGTATTTTGTGTTTTCTATACTAAATGCACTTTGAGTACTTTGAATGCTAGCGAAATGTCAAATGAAATTGAGAACGTAAACCATTTGCGTTACAATTATGCATATAAGCAAACGAATAAATTATTGTGTAAGTAAAACTTTAAACACTTTCAAGTTAATTATGGGATGGTGGGGGCTCCAATCATATGAATTAGCCTGAGGTATGCCTTGTACCCCTTAATCAAATGGGAGCGTGAATGCAAATGCAAATTGTGATCCCTTTTGTCTGTAGCTGGGACTTCAATTAGTTTGCAGTATGGAGACGGGTTCCTGCATGATTTGCTGTATCTTTGCTTCCGGCACGGGTACCCCGTTAACGAGCAGTGTGTGAACGATGCCGTCGTGTTTGTTGCCACTGGAGCGTGCCTGTAATACAAATGGTGTGTCCTGCAGCACGAAGCTCGTGTCGGTGCCGCCCTGCACAAAGACGGCCTGGAAAACGGCAAAGGGGGGAACCATGATTGATAGGCAGCCTCGTTTTTCGGTCCACATCCGGTTCACTTACCGCCTCCTCGCGCAACTCGTCGTTCACATACAAGCTGAGCGTGTCCAGCTTGAGCATAATGCGGTATTCCTGCGACGCATCCGTTGACCCAGCCTGCTCGTTGCCACAGGTGCACAGCCAAAGCCGATACTGACGCGTCAGCTCCTCGGTGTACTGGGCATGCGGTTTGCCGTCTATGTAAAGCGAATACTCGTACTTGAAGCCTGGCGCAGGATCGACGCGTATAATGCAGCGCGCCTGATCGATATCAAACGTGTCCTCGCCCACCAGCTTGAACATCCAGTCGCGACGCAGCACTTCCTGCAAGAGTCAAGAGTTTGAGAATGTGAAACTTTTTCAAGCAGACTAATAGGGCTTCATGTATGTAATTTGATTCAGATTTGATAAAGCTTAAGTAAAGAAGTAGTTGCAAAAAGACAAGAGTGAAATAGAAAGTTTACTTCGGTAGTGCTCGACTAGAAAATACCCTGCTGGCAGTAAAGAAATGTCGATGATTATCATGTATTGCTTTATAAAATAAAAGTAAAATATTCATTTTTATGAAAATCAAATGTTAAGCCTTATGAAAAAAAATTAAACTGATTGCAAAAAAAATTTTAATAAATTAAAACTTTTTTTCATTTTCATCTCATGATAGATTGATCAGCTTATATTCATAATCTAAGGCAAATCTGATTTATGCTGCATTTGCACATGGCAAATTTATAACTTTATTAACAAATATTTTTTCAGCATAAAATTTTATATTTTTAAAATGTTTTTGGAAAGCTGGAAAGCTTTAGTTTATCAATATTTAACTCGTTTCAGAATCGAGTTAGCCTGAAAGCAGCTAAGCAGTTTTTATTTACTGCGGAGTAATTATAAGAGCAATGAAGAACTAAAAACATAATTCAGAATATTTTTTTAATAGTAACTGAAATTTTATAATTTATTTTCAATATTTATAAATTTTATGGTAAATTATGAATTTATTGAATTGTGAAATTATTGAGAGGAATTATTTCTAGGGCATCATTTTTGGACCTCAGTTGACATTTTTATATATTTATAAGCAATTCCTATTCTTTCACTCTGCTGATTTGCACTATCAAAACAAATAAGAGTCAGCTTTAGATACTTCAGTTGAATGCATATATATTAAGATATTTTTCTGTATTCTAAACATATCTAGCTCACAGTGAACTTTTCCTTGAACTTTGACATATTGCAATCAATTTTCATTAAACCACGCGAGTAACTATTATAATAATGACTGTTAAGTATCATGTGAGATTGCCTAATAGTTACAGAAACATTTGTCCAACAAATTATATAGAAGTGTACTTCAGCCATTTTCCATAAGTGCATAATTTTAAACATGCATGGCGATTTGTTTTTCCATGGCTGCTTGACTAATTGCCGTGTTATTTGGGCCAGGCTTGGCGAGTGCATTCACCACTTACCCGACCGTTGACCCAGATCATGCGGCGTCCACTTGTGGTGCCGTGTTCCAGTTCAATGCGGTACATCTGTGCGCAGACATGGACGACGGACGAAGGAAAGTTAATTAAATGTTAATCAACATAAGGAGGGGAATAGCATTTGTCTAGTTGAAAGTGATTCGAACCTTGCCATTGATGGGCGCACACCATTGGGCGACAATGTTGTCTTTGTTGTAGCGCTGTGCCTCGGGCACATGATCCAGACTCATGATGGGCACCGTTGACAGATTTTCCATGCGCAGCGTTGGCGACAGAAACGACATGGCCGGGCAACTAAAAATCGATTTCACTTAATATTATTTTAGTTAATGCATTCAAAATGCAAGCGAATTACACAATGCAACAGCGTCGCCGATAATTTCAACTCACAAGCCAAACGAATAATAGCCTTCGTTAACAGTCGATATAGTTATGGCTTATTAACAGCTCTGCACTTAGCCCCGCTAGTTAGGCTACGTTTTATTCAGCGCTGAGGCGGCGGCAGGCAGGCAACGCGAACCGTTAGCATTCAGCGCCAATGGCACACTAAACAACACACAATAATGGCAAAGGAACTGAAGAAAATTTGTATAGTTGTTGTTGGCGCCGGGTCTGGTCGGTTTCTGGTCGAGTTGCGTTGTCGATGGCTCTTTCTGTTGTGGCTAGAAAAAGTGCACAGCCAAAGCCAAAGCCAGCGCCAAAGCCAACGCCAAAGCCGGAGCCACAGTCAGAGTAGGGCTGAGCGCCGCATGGCGCCAAAACAGAGTTGATTTGTTTCACTTTGAGTGTGCGTGTGCCAGTGTGTTCATGTGTGGGGTTAAGCCCCACTTCTGTTCCACATGTGTGTGTGTGCGTGGGTGTGCGTGGGTGTGCTGGTGTGTTGGTCGTGTGTTAACATTTGCACACATGTCGCCGACGTCGTCGACGTTGAGCATAAAAATAAACTTTACTTTTTGAGCAGACCCCAAGCGCCGCCAACTATGCAATTGCTATAGCCAGAGCTAAGTGGGTAGCTTAACTATTTAATGCGCTTGCCATGTGTTTGCTGTTCAAGCAATAATCGTCCAGCAGCTTTAGTGCTCAACAAAATATTGCCAGCCATCAATCAATTGAAAGCATCATTACAAAAGAAAAGCAAAAAGACTAAACTATATAATTAAGTGATTTCGATGACATATTAAAATACCCTGTAAACAGGCTTATGAGTGGGTTTGGCAGGTCTTTACCTAGATGATATACCTGCAGCATTAATAAGCTTATTTATAGTATATAACTCACTTTTTATATAAAAGTATTTATGCAGCATTTCTTGGAGGAATTTTATAGCTTAATCCTAGGAGGGCTTTATGCTTGCTTTAATTACAGTTCTCTTAGCTACAAAGTTCAGTAAGTCTGCTGGAACTGCTGTGCCTTAAAGTCAGTTAGGGTATTTGAGAGCTGTGCATACTCCGTGTTTGCTCACTCGCTTTGGTCTGCTCGTAACACATTGCAATTGAATAGAGCCGAGAGCCTCTAGTGCCCAGAGCCTTGCCTCCAATTGAGCGTAAGACAACACTTTTTGGCTGCTCATATCAATTGGCTGCGCCCCCCCCCTCTCTCTCTCTCTCTCTCCTTCTCTTTCTCTGCGCCCTTTGCCAACAGCTTTCTACATATAAATGTGACAATTATATTGCCCGCGTTGGGGTGGCATAAATTTGGAGGCATTCAACAAACGCCCAATACCCACTCTTCCTCCCTCCCCCTCTCTCCTTCTCCTTTTTTCGTCACTGCTGGCTGAGGGGCGTAGCAAATTTGTCGCATTTTGTTTTGCTGTCATGTTTATGGCGTAATATTTTGCGGCCGTAAATACACGCCAAAAATGCTAATGACCGACTCCAAGGGCAGGGGGCGGGCCCATTGGCAGCTAGAGCTGGTTAGACGCATGGACAGATAGTGTGACAGTTTGCGTTAGTTTTGTATTTCAATTCGCCAAATATACCAAAAAAAAAAACAAGTATTGATAAATGTATTTGGCACACAGCGGAGCTGCAGGCACATCATATGTCAAATTTGGGCCTTGGCGATTATTCTTAGCACTTCGATTGTGTCTGTATCTGTGTGCGTTTACAACAGAGAACAAAATGAAAATAACAAGAAAAAAAGAGAGGGAAAAACAGAAGGAGAAAAGCTGGCATTTTCCACACGCGAAGGTCAATGGAAAAGCGCCTTTTCAAACCGCTTACAGTCGATGTGTGTACTTTTACAGTAGTTATTGTTGTTACCGCCAAAACGGCAATATCAGCAACAATAACAACAACAACAACAACAACAACAGCAACAACAATTACAACAATTACAACAACAATCACAACAATAAGAGATAACGAAGCGAGACATGACAAGGACAAGGCCCCCAACTGGCAGCTGGTACGAACTTAAAGCTCTGTGTGTGTGTGTGTGTGTGGGCGTGAGTGCATGTGTGTGTGTGAATGCTTGAATATGTCTTAGTGTAATTACGGTACATATAGATTTTGGCAAGCTAATCAAAATAGTGAATCAAGGGAAGACTCCATTAAGTTTTTAAACAAGTCATCAAATTTTCATGTTTCTATGAATTGAATGAAAATGGAATTTACTTAAGGCTGAGACATGTTGGCTATAAGTCTGGATTAAAGGCAAATATATACTGGGGCCACTGCTAACGGAAATCTTATTCTCTCAGTCTCTCACAGTCGGCCGAATTCTAGAAACTTAAATCTGCTTGAGCCAAGTGAAAACTTGAGTGCAAATAAACTCTCCATAAGTCAGGAATTAAAGACAAACAAGGACAGTGTATACTGCCTAAGTTCTTCTTTATCTCTTATGTAAGTTACCTAATAATCTTCATAATCATTTCAATCCAGGGTCGTTATGGCAAAGTGAGTTGAAAATAGTTTAAAATTGTATTTTACCAAAGGATTTATATATAAAAAAATGTTTCTATATAAATTATCGATATTTATAAACCTTTAGTATCTAGCAATTAATAGTATAATGAAATAGCCAAATATTTAGCGAGCAGCTGTGCTCAAAACGAACGAGTATAGCAGCTTGACAAAAACACCTGTACCCCATAGGGCACAGCATTAGATTTAAGTTATTTTTCGTGGCGTGGCTCTTTGTAACACAATCCCTAATGATAGAGTCCTTAGCATTTTCCAAAATGAAATTCTTATTGGATTCCCATTTAATTCTCATTGGAATTTACGAAATATTGGCTTTTTTATTTTCTTTCTTAAAAATAAAGTAAAAAGCATTGAGGATCAATAAATTTAACACGGATACTAATACTAATACTAATAATTTAAATCAATTTTTTAGATATCAGATAAGCTGTTTTTTGCCTTTTAAAAAAATGTTTATACTTTATATACTCTTTTGTCATATTTAAAATATTTATATATTTACATTTACATTTACATATAATAATAAAATTCTAGAAAATAATCGTAGTTCAGTCTTGACTTCAATTATCTGAAGTAATAATTCCGTGTTTGATCGATGTCCACAATGCTGCCAGCTGTAGCGTCCCTTCTCGTATAGCTCGCGACAGGCTATTAAAATGCACTCTGATACATAAGAACTTTAGCATAGTCGCTATAATGTGTTCTGCTACAAACAGAAAGCTTTCATATGAGCTTTAAATATTGTTTTTTGATATAAGATGCATTCGATTTCGTGCTGCTCCTAAAGCTTTTGCCAATCACGCTTGTAATAGAATAAATAATACATAAAATTGTATTAAATTGTAAGTTTTTTGAAATTACAGAAATGATTTTCCAATTGGATTTCGTATGGAGTGCAAAAGAATTTTTAAGATTGTTATAAATCTACTTAAGGAAGAAAACGAGAATGTGCAGAGATGTACAGGAGAAGTGGCTAATTGCGCGCGCTTCGTAAAAGCTTAAGGGAACAGCTGTTAGATGTAAACAAAATTGAAAACAATGCACCAAACTTTTGAAGAGCTTTTCACACATTTATTATGAAATTAATGCAATTTCGTAGTGCGAGTTATATTTAAGCTCTTCAATAGTAACCTCTGGTCAGTCAGTCAGTTGTGTCGCTTCTATAGCTTTCATATTGTAAACAGAATTAAGCGAAAGGTGAACATGAACAAAAATGAGACAGAAATTTATGAGAAGTCAGGTATTAAAGGCATTTCAATATAACAAACAAATATATCTGATTGTTGTGATACTCACTTCCAGACGAAGTCAAAATAACATCAACGACAAAAGTCTTATTAATCGGAGATGACGAATGGACAAGTGAGCAGTCTGTTGGGAACTGTAACATAAACACTTCTGAAGAGAACTTAAGAAAGCATTTATGTCAGCTCTTAACTGGCAGCCGAACATGCATGGACGTTGTCGAAGATTGGAGTAAAGTGGATAGATTTGCAGCAGCGAGCATTAAGGAAGGCAATCAACCCAGGCGGTATCATTTCTATATTGTGCATGGCAACAATTACAAGCCAGGTGAGATTATTTCGGGGCCAGTATTTGATGGAAAGGCAATTATGAAGACAGTCAAATATCGACTAAAAGAAGAAAATTGGATATCGGAAAATGTCATTGAAACTCCTCTCAAAACAAAGATTGATGGTAAAGACTATTGCAGTTTCGATCAATACATTCAACAAGTGGTTTCAGAAGCACTCGAAACAGAATCACCAAAAATCTTTAGGTTCCTGCAATATTTACATAGAAATTATAAATAAATACTCTAACATATCCTGTACATATATATATTTATTTATTTATAATTTGTAAACTGTTTTTCTATTTAATATTTTCTTAATGTATAATACATAATATATAATATAATATAAATGTCTAATGCTTCTATTTCCATTTTTATTATTGTTTCAAATTGGTTAAGCGGGTCAGCTAATATTATGTGCTATGAGAATTAATTTTGAAATATTAATTATATACTTAACTGAATTATTGGTGTATAAGTAGTATTAAAATAATATGCGTGTTATACATACGTGCTTGCGTATTAGACGTAAACAAGCTTGAAAGCTTTACTATTTATGACGATAAGCATTTGACAGTCACAAAATTCGCTTACATGTCACAGTCATCGATCGACAGAGGGTTGCTAACTTTGTGGCATGCTTACATGAAACAAGCAATGATTCCGGTTATATATATAAAAACACAGTGTTGGCGCTGCTGTAGAGCTTCTGCATAGAATGTAAGAAATTGAATTTTTATATATTGGGGTAACTTAAAGCTTGCTCACTGTACAAATAAGCTATTAATTAAAGTATTATTCAAGCTTACTTTCTGACGTCACAGGTTGTTTTAGCATTCAACAGTGCAACCTTTTTAATAACCTCTATCAAAGCTTAGGTCGAGCTTTCAGCGTATTTATTGTGAAATGTTTACATTTCATTCATTTAGTGTATTTATGCCGCCGAAAGAGAGATATTTTGGCATAATCAAAGTGAATTTCAACCGAACTGTGAGTCAAGTGGTATTTATCAAACCAAAACAATGACAGAAACTAAAACAGAATCAGTTTTAGATAACAATAGTAAAGAAGCAGGCGCAAGTGAGTTATAATTTCTTTATTTGTATTGTGTTATATTGAAGTAAAATTACTTACAGCTGTGGCTTTCTTAACATCAGATGTCAAAGTATTGTCTATCGAAAATCAGATGGAATACTTCGACACAAAAAAACCTACAATCAAATTTGACAAACAAATCTTTATGGAGGACAGCAGAAAGCATTTTGGCCAACTGCTAATGGGAAATCGAGCGCCCTTTATGCCCAAAGAACGCTTTATGACGGATTTGTTTGATATGAATACAATTGAGAAAGATAATCAACCCAGACAATATCAATTTGATTGTTATCCCTGTGCTTCCCCGGGTAGTTCCATGGATAGTACATTTGGCCAGACATTTTACGCTAAGGCAGTAATGCACGAATTGAGAAAGAGACTGAAAAACCACAAATGGGTTTCAAATAATGTATTGGAATACCCAAAGAACATCATTGGTCGTTCATACTACCGCTATGAAGAAGACTACTACGTTCAGAATATCGTCCATGACATCCTCCAGGAACAGAAACTAAAAGTTTTTCAGTTTTTGCTTTATTTACACAGAGAATATGTAAACGAAAGACCAAATTCTAAGAAATCTTAAACCTTTTATTTATTATTTAATATATTTATAATATTATTATTAAATTGATGACTCTGAATTCTAAGACCTTTTTCAGGATTGAAAATAATTTACATTTTCAAGAAGCAATTCTAACTTAGAGAGATAGATTAATTACAAATGGGAATGGAAACAAATATTTATAGATGAAACGAAATACTCAGAGCATGAAAAGCGTGAAAAAATCTTAGCATTTGAAATGTAGAAACGATTGTTTCAGGTTTTCATATTAAGAATATTATATATAACAAGAATAAATACAATCTGATAGATTTAATTTATACATGAAAGCATGCAGCTTTATCTAGCTGAAACAGAAAGCTTTCTTAGATAGCTTTTGCCAGAGTTGTATAATTGCTAATGTTTAATATTTTGTTGTTTGCAGTGTAGATATAGCTTCATCCAAGACTGATGAGAAAAACAGCCAAGTCGATCATTGCCAGTACAGGAATAATAAATTTACCGAAATAATTATGAGTACTGACAAGGAGACAGAAACTGACACAGGTAAGTTAGACTTCACGTATTGTAAGACAGGACGAAATTAATCAAAGTTTTTCTATTACCTATGTAAAGCTGTGGCTACACCAACGTCAACTGCAAAGGTTTTGACCATTGGAGAACCGAAGGAAGTTTTCAAATATAAAAGCCCTGCACCGAAATTAAACGCGATAAATTTGTATAGCTACTGCGCAAATCACTTCCGTTTAGTTCTATTGGGAAGTCCAACGCCCATCGAAGGTGCCGATGGTCTGTGTCCAATCGAATGGTTTGGCATGGAAACCATCAGCAAACAGAATCAGCCCACTTGCTATCAGTTTCACTGCTTCCCATCACAGAAAACAAAGCCTAAGCATGTTAATATTTATTACTTTTACCAGACAATTAATGCAAATGCAATTTTGCGCGATGTTAGGCTGTTTCTGAAGGATGAACATTGGAGATCCAAGAATGTTTTAATGGGGCCACTCAAGGGAAAACTAAATCCTTCTGACGGTAGACCGGAGCAAAGTTATATTGAAAGAGCTATTTCCAAAGCCTTCGATATTGAAAGGGCGAAGGTATTTCCGTACATGATTTACTTACACAGAGAATATGTACAAAATAAAAATAACTAAGTTAACGACAGCTCTGCCACTGGAGTTTACTTATTTGCTGGTTTTCTCTCTCTCTCTCTCTCTCTGTTATGGATACATATGCTGAAATGCGCGCGAACCAGAAAAGCTTAAGCGAACAGCTGTTAGATGTAAACAAGTCATTTGAACACAATACAGCCAACTTTGAGAGAGCTTTTCACATATTTATGAAATGAAAACAATTTCGTAGTGCGAGTTATAATTAAGCTCTTGAGTAGTAAGCTTTTTTGCCAGTCACAAATTTTGTTATTGCGTTTCAGTCCGCCAGTCAGCTGGGTCGTGTCCTCAAGCATGGAAAAAAATGAAACAGAAATTAATGAAAAATCAGGTAGTAAAAGCATTTCAATATAACAAACAAATAGATATGATTGTTGTGATATTCATTTCCAGACGTAGCCAAAATAACGTCCACGACAAAAGTCTTATTAATTGGAGATGACGAATGGCCGAGCGACGAGTCTGTTGGGAACTGTAGCATAACAATTTCTGAAGAGAAATTAAGAAATCATTTCTGCCAGCTCTTAACTGGGAGCCGAACATTCATCGACGTTGTCGAAGATTGGAGTAAAGTGGATCGATTTGGAGTTTCTAGCATTAAGAAAGATAATCAACCCAGGCGGTATTATTTCTATGTTGTGCATGGCAATATTTACAAACCGGGTGATATATTTTCTGGGCCTGCATTCGATGGAAAGGCAATTATGAATACAGTCAAGAATCGACTAAAAGAGGAAAATTGGATATCACAAAATGTGATTGAAACGCCTCTCAAAACCAAATTTGATCGTAGTTTATATTACAGCTCCGATCAATTCATTCAACAAGTTGTTTCAGATGCGCTCAACTCAGAGGAACCAAGAATCTTTAAATTTCTGCAATACTTACATAGAAATAGACATAAATAAATACTATATATTATGTTGTGTAAGCACATGATCCCAACAATTAAATTAGATAGCATATCAAACTAAACTGGGATTCATGTCAAACAATCGAAATATAAACACAGTGCTGGCGCTGGTAGACTTTTTGTATATATATATATATATATATATATATATATATATATATTATATATATTATATTTTGACTGCAAGTAATTTAGTTCAAATTAAGCTATTGACTTTAATACTAATTACTTTAATAAACTATTTGTCTTTGTAAATTGTAATTCAGCATTTTTTGAGTAAGTGAAAAAGTTGTTTACAGGGCCTTAACTCTGATCTTAGATTGCTAATGGCTCTATTATGGGATTAAAAGATCTGTTGTTGGACGCAACTTAAAACTTGCTAATTTTATTAATAAGCCAATCTTGAGATTATCAAATTTATGTTGAGAAATAAATACTATTATTTGAAGTAATATTCAGCTTACATTTTGGCTTCACAGGTTGTTTCAGCATTCCATAACGCATCTCTATCAAAGCTTTTATGGAGCTTTCAGCTAGTTTGTTGTGAAATGTTTACATTTCGTTTATTCAATGTATTTATGCCGCCAAAAGAGAGATATTTTGGCATTATCAAAGCGAATTTCAACCGAATAGTGAGTCAAGTGGGATTTACCAAACCAAAAAAATGACAGAAACTGACACAGAATCAATTTTGGATAACAATAATAAGAAAACAGAAGGAAGTGAGTTACAAATTAGGATTTTGTATTTTGTCATAAATTAAATTTGTTAAATTACTTTCAGCTGTGGCCGTGTTGACGTCAGAAGTCAAAGTCTTGTCGATCGGAAAACGGAGAGAATACTTTAAGCCCAAGAGGCATGTAATCAAATTTGATAAACAAATCTTTCTGGATGACTGCAAGAAGCATTATGGTTTACTCCTAATGGGAAATCGAACGCGTTATGTACCCAATAATAATTTTCTGATGGATTTATTTAAAATGGAGACTATTGAGAAAGATAATCAACCCAGACGATATCACTTTGATTGTCATCCCTGTGTGTGTCCGGGTAGTTCTATGAGCCAAGGCATATTTGGCCAAACACTGTACGCCAGCGCAGTAATGCACGAACTGAAAAAGCGACTAAAGAACAAAAAGTGGATATCGAAGAATGTATTGGAGTTGCCAAAGAAAGAGAATGCTATTCGTTCCAAATATTATTATGGTGACGACTACTACGTTCAGAATATAGTTATTGATATAATCCAAGAACAGAAAATTAAAGCTTTTCAGTTTTTGTTTAATTTACACAAGGAATACGTAAAGGAAAGGCAAGAGTCTAAGTGATTTTTAGAACTGTAAAATAAATAATAAATTGTTAGATATAAGCTAGGCTTAATATATAAAAAAGTTTTATTAAATAGATTAAAGTGAGGAGGAATTTTAAGAACTATTGCTGAGCTGGAAAATACTTACATTACGAGTTTTATTTATGAGCAGCGCCGAACACATTATATATAAATAATATAAGGATATAGCAATATATATAATATATATAGACACATTGATAGTAAATAATGTAGTGCATTCTTCGAATAACTTTGCCCAAAGCTTTTATTATGAAATACTTTGTTTAGCCTTTCAGGCAACATATAAAAGCAATGGACGAGTGCGGGCTGTTATCAATCTCTGTGTGCACTTTGAAGAAACAGTCTGAAACAAAAAACAAGAATAAATAACTTTGGCTAACGTTAGAGAAGAAATGGAAACAAGTAAGAAAAAACTTATATTTCTTAAAATGGAATGTTAGCTAACATCCAATATGCTTACAGCAATGGACTCTGCGATATTAGCAATAGGCGATAAAACGGAACAGTCAGAGCATGAAAAGCCTGAAAAATCATTAAATATAAGGAATTTTAATGTCGAGTTTAAAAATTATTTCAGTCTACTACTAATGGGAAACCCAACGCCCGCAGACGTTGGCAATGTTGAGTATCCAATTGAATGGTTTGGAATGGAAACCATTTGCAGGATTAATGAGCCCACTCGATATCAATTTCACTGTTTGGGCCCACAGAAAACTAAGCCACAGAATGTGAATTCCTTTCACTTCTTCATGACAATCAATGCCAAGTTTTTAATGCGTGAAGTAAGAAAACTCCTTAGGAACGAACGTTGGCTATCAAAGTATGTGGTAATTGGACCACTCAAAGGCCCATTAGACACTACGCGCTATGATCCCGAGGAAACTTATATGCGTAATGCCGTTTATACGGTAATTAATGCCGAATGGCTGAGAGAAAAGGATATCATATTTCCCTATTTGTTCTATTTACACAGCGAACATGTTAAACGTAATTTAAGACGCTAAGCACAGATTGTTTTTAACTGTGGGATATAAGAATTACTTCATTATTTTTTTTTTTTTTAGATTTTAGAGCCAAGTTATTAACCTTTACTTTACTAATGCATTTCAGAAAGCTTTCCTCGAGCTACATATGTTAAGAAAGAAATATTTGTTGTTTATATAGTAAAGCTTAGTTACTGTCATACAACCAGAAAATCAGCTGTGCCACACTTGATATTTTTTGGACATCTGGAAAAAGTAAATAATCAGCATTTCAAATATACAAACAAATGTTTCAGATTATCATAATAAATATATATATAAGCTGATCGATTTAATTTATTCATGAAAGCATTCAGCTTTATCTAGCTGAAACAGAAAGCTTTCTCAGATAGCTTTTGCCAAAGTTGTGTAATTACAAATGTGTAGTATTTTGTTGTCTGCAGTGTATATATAGCGTCATCGAAGACTGTTATCAATAACAAACTTAAAGGCAGTCATTCCGATCATTTTCAATACAAGAATAATAAAATTACCGAATTAATTATGAATAATGAAAATAAGACAGAAACCGACACAAGTAAGTTAGCTTTCATGGCAAGAGCAGCAAAATAAATATAGCTTCAACTTTTTACATGAAAAGCTTTGGCTAGACTGACGTCAACTACACAGGTATTGACCATTGGAGATCCGAAGGAACGCAACAAGCCTAAGCATGTTGACACCGAGAAGAATTTCGGTGTGGACTGCACAAATTATTTAAGTTTAGTTTTAATGGGAAATCCAACGCCCGTGGACGATGTCAGCGGGTCGTGTCCAATTGAATGGTTTGGAATGGTAACATTCGCCAACAAGAATGAGCCCACTCGCTATCAATTCTACTGTTACGCCGCGCAGAAAACAAAGCCCAATCACAGCAATATCAATTACTTCTACCAGACAATTAATGCAAATGCCATTTTGCGCGATGTGAGGCTGTTTCTGAAGGAGGAGACGTGGAAAAACAAGAATGCTATACTGGGGCCACTCAAGGGAAAAGTATATCCTCACGCCTATAGGCCTGAGGAATATTATATTTTAGGAGCTGTTAGTAAGGCCTTGAAAATTCAAAATGCAAAGGTATACCCGTACATGATGTTCTTGCACAGAGAACATGTACAAAATGAGCAGAACCGTCAGTAATTAATAGCTTTAGATGTAACACAAACCTGCTGAAATATAACTGTAAACTGTAAATATAAATATGAATATGTATTACTTTGTAAACCTAAATAAGCTTTATTAAATAATAAAAATATATATATATATATATATATATATGTATATGTATATTTGGAAAGCAACAAATTTGAAATTGTATCGAGTAAGCTATAATATATATAGAGAATTTGTTAAAAATGAGATTAAACTAGAAATGAAAAAAAGAAAATAATTGGACATAGCCCCATTTAAAGTCCTGTCTATCTGCTCTTTAACGGCTTAAAACTAAATAAGACAAAATTCTTAATAATGCTTAGAGATATCTAATATAATATTCAAACTTCCATTGTGACGTCACAGGCTGGGATTGTTTCGCTGTTTCGTTTCGTCAATTCATTTTGCAACCTTCGTAAAAAGCTTTTATTAAGCTTTCAGCTAGTTTGTTGTGAAATGCTTGTATTTCATTCATTCAGTGTATTTATGCTGGCGAGAGAGAGATATTCTGTCATATTCAAAACGCATTTCAAGCGAATAGTGAGTCAAGTGTGATTTACCAAACCAAAACAATGACAGAAACCGAAACAGAATCAGCTGTGGATAGCAATAATGAAAAAGCCGAAGCAAGTGAGTTACAATTTCAATTTTTATATTGTGCTATTTTAAAGTAAAATGATTTATTTTCAGCTGTGGCTTTGTTGACATCAGAGGTGAAAGTATTGTCCATCGGAAACCGGAGAGAATACTTCAGGTCAAGAAAACCTACAATCAAATTTGACAAACAAATCTTTATGGAGGACTGCAGGAAGCATTTGGGTCAACTGCTAATGGGAAATCGAGAGCCCTTTATGCCCAAAGAACGCTTTATGATGGATTTGTTTAAAATGAAGACTGTTGAGGAAGATAAACAACCCAGGCGATATCACTTTGATTGCCTCCCCTATGCCTGTCCTGGTAGCTCCATGAAGTATAGCATATTTGGCCACACACTGTACGCCAGTGCAGTAATGCACGAACTGAAAAAGCGACTGAAGAACAACAAGTGGATATCAAAGAATGTGTTGGAATACCCAAGAATAATCATTGGCCGCTCATACTATTGCAATGAAGACGAGTACCACGTTCAGAATATAGTTCATGACATCCTCAGTGACCAAACCTTTAGAGTTTTTAAATTTTTGTTTTATTTACACAGAGAATATGTCAACGAAAGGCAAAATTAAAAAAAGCTTAATATAATTTATACTTCTGTGAAGGCATTTTTTTAAATTAATTTTTAATGATAATTTTAAGAACCGTAAAATAAACTGTTTATAATATTTTTAATTTTTTTACATTCAGTATTATAAATTATTCGTTATTCATTACATTTCTAACGAAAAAGTCGAACTGAATTATGAGAATCACAGAGAAGGAATAACTTTTTTGATGTTAGACAATATTATGTATGGTATGTACTAATACACAGGTAAGTCTCTTCTACCAGTTAAAACACGATAAGAACGAGTCGTCAATAATTTAACAAAGCTTTTATTGAGCTTTGAAGTCTTTTATTATGAAATTGTTTATTTAGCGTTAAAAGCAGTGAATAAGGGCAACTGAAACGATAGAAAATAGTTAGTCAACTCTGATCTTTAAAAGCCAGACAATGAAAGAAACTGAAACTGAATCAACTGTGAATAACCATAATAAAAAAGTAGAAGAAAGTAAGTTTTAATTTATGTTTTTTCTTTGCCATATTAAAGCTAAATTCTTTTCAGCTGTGACTTCATTAACGTCAGAGGTCAAGGTATTGTCCATCGCAAATCAGAGAGAATACTTTAAGCCAAAGAAAGCTCTAATCGAATTTGATGAAAAAACATTTTTCGATGACTGCAAGAAGCATTTTGGTCTACTCCTAATAGGAACACGAACGCCAGCATTTGAGGCGAATACTAATTTTATGATGGACATATTTGACATGAAAACAATTGATAAAGATAATCAGCCCAGACGATATTACTTTGATTGCCAGCACTGTGTCTCTCCGGCCAGTTTAATGTATGGCATATTTGGCCAGACACTGTATGCCAAGGCCATAATGCACGAGTTGAAGGTGCGACTGAAAAGCAACAAGTGGATATCAAAGAATATATTGGAAATTCCACAAAAGCAAAACGTTGGTCGTCTATACTATTGCTATGAAGAGGACTACTACGTTCAGAGAGTAGTTCATGATATAATCCAAGAACAAAAAATTAAAGTTTTCCAGTTTTTATTTTATTTACACAAACAATATCTAAACGAAAGGCAAACATAGTCGACATCATAGGCGGCATTATAGATTGGAATATGATGGATATATTTGTAGCGACTAGTTAAGAGCGAAAGTTATTTTTATTCAGGCGTTATGTGTGAGAGGTAACTGAAATATGAAATATGAATGTTAAGGAAATTTTGAAATACGTGAGAAATAGACTGGAAAACTGGATATCAGAGAATGTCATAGAAACTACATTTAGAGCATTGTGAAGTCTTTTTAGATGAAAATCTTAAAAAATATTGTAAGAAAATATTTCAAGAAATAATAATAGCTATAATAATTTACAAATAAATATAAAATTTGTTAGATTATTATAATTAAAATATTTTAATATTTTATTTTATAAATTTTATAATATAAGAATATACACTAAGACAACATGAAAGAAGGCAGCTTTATCTAGCTGAAACAAACAGCTTTCTGTAAAAGCTTTTGACTGTGTTGTGAAATTGCTAATAGTTAGTATTTGACTGCCTGCAGTGTGTATATATAGCGTCTTCGAAGGCAGATGTAAACAACAAAGCAAAGGACGGTCATCTCCAGTATTTTCACCGCAAGAATAATAAAATTGCCAAAATAATTATGAATAACGAAATTGAGACAGAAACTGACGCAAGTAAGTTAGATACAAGCTGTGTCAAACAACACAATCAAAACAAATAACACTTCAATTATTACCTATATAAAGCTCTAGCCAAATTGACGTCAACATCAAAGGTATTGACCATTGGAGATCCGAAGGTAGTCTTAAGTCCCACAGGCCCTGAGAAAGTTAATCACTTGAGGAAATTCAAGGCGGACTGCACAAACTATTTGAGTTTAGTTCTAATGGGAAATCCAACGCCTATCGACGATGTCAGCGGCTTCTGTCCAATTGAATGGTTTGGTATGGAAACCATCACCAAGCCGAATCAGCCCACCCGCTATCAATTCTACTGTTTCGCCGCACAGAGAACACAGCCTAAACATAATCATATAAAATACTTCTACCAGACAATTAATGCAAATGCCATTTTGCGCGACGTTAGGCAATTTCTGAGAAAGGAACGTTGGATATCCAAGTATGTTTTAATGGGACCACTGAAAGCAGAAATAGAACTTAATGCCTATAGTCCTGAGGAAAATCATGTTTTAACAGTTATCTCTAAAGCCTTCGATATTGAAAGAGCGAAGGTGTTCCCTTACTTGATGTACTTTCACAGAGAACGTGTACAAAATAAGCTGAATCGATAGTAAATTCATATATATAGATTTATTAATTATTTACATTTATAAAAAAAAAAATAGAACACATACGCAATGAGTTTTTTTATTGTTGGTGTTTCTGGTACTCTGGAGGGCTTTATACATATAAATGAGACCGTCTAAGTTAAGTCTATATTGAAACTAAAAAATACGAATATTAAAAATTTGTTGGAATAAAATTTAAGCTGATATTGTGACGTCATCCGCAGTTATTCATTTCAATGTGCAACCTTGTTAAAAAGCTTTCATTGAGCTTTTAGTAATTTGCTGTGGAAAGTAAGTTACAATTTGAGTTTTATTATTAAAGTTATATTAAAGTTATTCTATTTTTAGCTGTGACTTCATTTACGTCAGAAGTCAAGGTATTTTCTATCGGAAATCAGAGTGAATACCTTAAGCCAAAGAAACCTGTAATCACATTTGATAAACAAATCTTTTTGGACGACTGCAGACAGCATTTTGGACTACTCTTTATGGGAAGTCGAACGCCCATTGTACAGAATATTCCACGATGAATGTAGTTGACGAGATCCTTGGAGAGCAAAAAAACAAAGTGGTTCAGTTTCTGATTTATTTACACAAAGAATATATAATCAAAAGGTGAAATTATAAGAGATTTTTAGACCTTTTATACCACATTATATTATAGTTTTTTATTTAAATTAATTAGTAAAGATATATTTAAGAATTGTAAAATAAATTACTATATAATGCTTAAGGTATTTTCCATTCTTCTTCGTTAGATATATTGTATATAAAATTATTGTAAAATAAATTTATATGAATCAGAACTCCAAGAAGTTTTTTGTGCTTGAATTTATGAGAATCGCAAAGAAGGTCCAATGAATAACTACTTTGATAGTAGATCACTTTATGGTATGCATGCATAATCATATAGAGCATGTACAGTATATAATACATAATGTATATCGATATATAGGGATAAGAACACCTATTCACAGTACATCATAAGTATGTAAGTCTGTTTAGTGTTTAACACCTATAACAAAGTCTTTTCAATAACGTTTCTCGAAGCTTTTGTTGAGCTTTAAAAACTTGTATTATGAAATCGTTTGTTTGGCGTCAAAAGTAGCGTATAAATACAACAGCAGCCAGAGAACAAGTGAAATACTTTGACTAACGTCAGAGCGGAAATGGGTACAAGTGAGAACTAAATCATATTTTATAAAATATTATATTAACTAATACCCAACATATTTACAGCAATGGACTGTAGGATATTAGCTATAGGCGATAAAACGGAACACTCAGAACATGAAAAGCCTGAAATATTATTAAATATTAGGAATTTTAATGCCGACTTCATAAATTATCTAAATGTACTCTTTAAGGAAACTCGAATGCCCAAAGACGTTGTCAATGGTGAATATGCCATTGAATGGTTTGGAATGGAAACTATTAAGCGGATAGATCAACCCACTCGATATCAGTTTTACTGTTTTCCCTCACAGAAAACACAGCCTAAGCATGTTAATCCATTTTACTTCTACCAAACAATTAATGCAAATGCCTTGATGCGTGATGTAAGAATATTTTTAAAGGAGGAACATTGGCTATCAAAGTATGTAGTGATTGGACTGCTTAAGGGCAAATTAGATGGTTGGGGCTATAATCCCGAGGAAAATTATATTCGAAATGCGATTCATATGGCATTCAACGCCGAAAGGCTGAGAGAAAAGCAGGACATATTTCCCTATCTGCTCTATTTACATAGGCAACATGTGAAAAATAATTTAAAAGGTTAAGAATTGAGTATTCCTTATATATATATCTGGAAGTCAGTGCTTAGAGCATACTGAATTCTTTCGATCTTTATTTTTAATTTCATACTTTTATTTCCAACAGTTTTCTGTGATATAAAAAAAACGCAGATAAGTTAAAGTGAAAATGTCTTGTTTTTATTTTATTATTAAATGTTTGTTTTTTTTTTAATTGTTTTCTGGGTGATTTGTTGTAGCGCGTATAAATAAAATATTTTTTTTTGTAACGTGCGTCCTAATACTACCTAATTTTTGTATGTGTGTGTATTTATGTATTATAAAGATATAGAAATTTTCAACTTTCGCATAATTTGATATTGATATCTGCTAAATAATAATACTGTTCACAACGCCAATTTGTTCAAGAATTTAACAATTTTACATAGAAAAATGATCGGTACAGACAATAAATATAGAATACATATATTTATATTTTTATATATCTATAGAATTTATATTGCTGCTTCATAACAACTAACATAAACAGCTAATATCTTTGTTTAACTTTATTCTAAGCACATAATCATTTCAATTTGGAACAAATTTAAACAACGCTGGGCGTAAAATAGGCGCTAATTGTAAATATATATACTATACATATATATATGTATGTACGTATGTATGTGTGGTTGTAAATGCTGTCTATATGGTACTCGTAATTGTATGTACGTATTATCAACGCTAATTGCACTATTTATTATATTATCTGTATGTTTGCTATGAGTTACACTGGCGGTCAAAATAGAGGCCATCTTTTAGATAAATACTAAACATAAAGCGACCGTTTGTTTTCTATATGTATGTTATATTAATTCGTTAACTGAAGTCTGCCAACATAATATAAACGATAAGAATTTGATACAAATAAATATGTTTAATGTTTTCAAGAAATATACATATATTAAACGAAAAGAAAAAATATATTGCTTCACTTTGAATACCAATTGAGTACTATTTCACTTTGAAACTTCACACGAAAACCTAATTATTTCTTAATTAATACTTAATCTACAAAGTTTAATACAGCTATTACGATCAAGTAACATGTTTGAAAACAGTTTCGGAGGCGAGAAAGTGAAATACAATTAACTTACAGTTCGAATACTTAAAATATACCACTTTTTCGCACATGATCATAAGTGAAAGAAAATACAATACAAATACAATTTTTTAAGAACTCATAAGTGAGAGAGACACATACATCGCGTTTTACTGCGTATCTTAAATGGCATTTGAAATTGTATCTAACTAAATGAAATGCATCAAGTGGAAGCTGGTTATGTTATTTCGTCTGCGACACTAATTATTATAAGTTTAAGGCGCCAGTGCAAAGGACGTTTATGGCTTGGAAATGCATTTGTTAATAATTATGGTTCGCTAAATTATTTTAGCGTATTTCATATTGCTTTAGAAAAATGCGCAAAAGTCTTCGGTCTCGGTATATAGAGGCGTGGGGGGAGTGGGGCATGGAAGGGGCGGTCACTTGCGTGACAGCATTATGTTAATAACTGTGCCGCAATTATGCAGGACACGTTTGGCATCGCTCAGATTGGCATTGGTCAGGTCATAGCCGTCGATCTCCAGCAGTTTATCGTTTATGCTCAGCAGCCGCGCAGCGCTTGAATTTGGCGTTATAGCGCTAACAAAGATACCCACCTGAAAGGCAAGAGAATAGTGTTAGATTTAAGCTCAGAGCAATATACAAAATCAAATATTCACCTGATTAATCAGTTCGGCAACGTCGAAGCCAATGCTGTGCTCCCATTTAAGAGTCACTTGCTTAACAGTCGGATTCTTGTGTACACCAAATATCCAGGTTGACTTTTTACCTCTGGACGTGTTGTTGGTGGCCGTGGAGTTTATTGAGTGCTGCGATAACGTATCATCCATTTCTTGCAGCTGCTGTTCATCAACGTCCTGCTGTTCTTCCTGCGTCTGCAGTTCCAGCTGCTCAATGTTAATATTGTTTTGGTAGTCCAGCTCTTCAGATTGCGCACCAATTGCCGTCGTCTTGAAGTTGCTATTCAGTGCATCTTGGTAGCTCTGGTTGCTCTGCTCGTAGAGCGGTTGTGTTGGCGACATTTGTTGTTGTTGTTGCTGCTGTTGCTGTTGTTGCTGTTGCTGCTGTTGTTGATGTTTGCGCTGTCGCATTGACTCGTAGAGCGTGAGATCTTCAGGCGTCTTCTTTGTATACACCCGCGCTATATGATAAGGCGGCGGTTCCATGCGTGGTGGAGGCGCCGCCGGTGGTTGTTGCAGCGGCTGCAGCTCATAGTTCTCCTCTGTGCCATTCGACAAATGCGTCGTTGGCAGCGGCAAAGTGTTTGCATCTACATAGAGCTGTTGGTAGTGCGCATCGTAGTTAACCAGCGGCATACCATAATATTCTTGTGGAGTCTGTTGCTGCGCTGGTTGGTAGACACCATAAATGTGGGCCGCCTCGGGCGCAACACCATATATTGCACTTGCTGTGTGGTCCACAGCGTCCTGATTGCTATCACAGTGTGGCATGGCCACTTGGCCATTGGGCACCACGACACGCGCTTCGCGCACCTCACTAGATGCTGACGCCGCCGCCGCGTTCGCCGCCTGCGCCTGTCTCATATATTTGGCCATTTGACGAAGCTCCTTGGGGTATGGCGTGGGTGAACGCATCAGACGCACCGAGCTGCCAGCAGGCAACTGTTCCGGAGTGGGCGGAGCCGTTACATAGCTGGCGGGGTAGCTGGGCGCGGGTTGTGGTGCACTGCTGGTGTTCGCATTGGTATTGCTATTGGTGCTGCCCGCACTTAAGATTGTCGCCTCTTCGGCGAAACAGATACGTCGTGATGGGCTCGACGGCTGCTGTGGATGTTGCTGATGATTCGCGTAGACAAATTCATACTGATCCTGGACTTGCTGCTGCTGTTGAGCCTGCATTTTAAAGGTCACCTGTGGCAACATAAAACACGTGAGCTGCGTTTTGCTGCTCGCATCCAAATACTGAAGTGGCACCAACGGCTGTGACTGATTGTCGCTAAGCCACAAAGACGTGAGATTAACAAGACTGAGCATAGAAACAGGCAGCGCATTGATGTAGTTATTAACTACATTTAGCACCTTTAACTTAGCCAAATGGCCGATATTTTGGGGCAACGCAGATAACTGATTGTTGGCCACGCTTAAAACACTCAGTTGATTGCAACTGCAGAGCTCGTCAGGCAGCTGGCGCAGCTGATTGTCATCGGCGAAGAGGAACCGCAGCTTGGTCAGCGAACCAATAGTGCTGGGTAGACGCATCAGTTTATTGTGGCTTAGCACCAGTTCCTCCAGTTGCTCCAGATAGCTTATGCTATCGGGCAGTTCACTGAGGCCGTTCGACTCACATTTAAAGGTGACTAGCGACTTAAGCATACCCACGCTAAAGGGAAAAGCTTCCAGATTATTGGAGCACACAGACAGTACTTCAACATTACGCCAGTTGCTCAGTTCGTTTGGAAGTGTATCCAACAAATTACCATTAGCTTCAAAGTGCTGTAGATCTCGCAATTTGCCAATATTGGGAGCAACACGACGAATTTGATTAAAATCAATCCATAGCTCGCGCAGTGACTTTAGTTCTCCAACGACCTCTGGCTTTGATAAAAACAAAATAAGGCTTCCATGCATTTGAATGGATTATATTATACTTACCAGTTCGGTGAACTCATTGCCGCCAATATCAAGTCGCTGCAGACTAACCAAACGGACCATTGACTTGGGCAAAGTGATGAGATTGTTGAGCCGCACTTCCAAAATTCGCAAGTTGACGAGACGTCCGAAATTGGCGGGCAAGAACTCCAGGTATGTTTCATTTAACAGCAGCTCTTGCAGCGATATCAGCGATGTTATCGCATCCGGCAGACGCTGGAGGCTGTTGCAGCTGAGATCCAAGTGGGTCAGGTGTTTGCACGCCTTTATCTCTTCCGGCACATTTACAATAACTGCAAAGGAAATCGTGTGAGAAGATAGATCTTTAAATACTCATATTTTGTCATAGTAACTAACGATTGCGATTCAGATCCAAATGCTGCAATTGACGCAGTGAACCAATTGCCTGCGGTATGCTCTCCAAATTGTTGCTGTTCACTTGAAGGACTCGTAGTCCTTGGCAGTAAAACAGCTGTGGTGGTAATGTTTGCAGCTGAAATGATGATTCAAATGTATATCAAGGATATAATTAATATTCATTTTATTTGTGTTACTCACCCGCGCATTGCTCAGGTGCAGTTCCTCGAGGGTACGTTCGTGTTGCCACACCTCGGGAAAGGCATCCTGGAGTGGTGTGTTGCTATAGTCCAGCTTGTCGATGACCTCTTCACGTTTGAATTTGAAACAAGGGAAGCATTTGGACAGCAGCGGCATTTTACCGTTTCGTGTGTTTTTTATGTTTTATTGCTCTACGTTCGATATTAAGGCACGGCCGTTGTTATTGTTGTTGTAACAATTATTGCGGGCTACAAATAGACGTACACAAGCCAGACCCACACACATCAAATTATATATATAGAAATAAATATGCGGTAAGCCAGTCGCATAACTTACCTATGAATCATCGCTGCTTCTGCTGCTGCAGCAGCACAAAGGCAGCGGCCGCATTGAACGCTGCTCCGTTATAATTCATTGGCATTTTGCTGGGCTTGTTATTGTTTCAATACTAGCGCACATATACAACACACACGCATACATATATATGTATATATATATATACATACGCACAAGCACAAACAATAAGCAGGCTACTTGTGCTCGGAGCCGATTGCTTAGGCAGCCGGCACCTTGCAAGCCTTAACGGTTGCTAAGTTACGCTATTTACGCGTCCTGCCTGTATTTTCTGTTTATTTACGCACTTGATTTCGATTTTCTTTAATGTTTTTCGCTTTGAAGAAGACAAGTTGCGAGTTGGCAACAGCCACAGTGCACAGGAATGCACAGCAACAAAAGTATCGATAGATGTGATTATGGCAATCGATATATAATTGGACAAAGTGCGCGCTATTGTGCAAGTTCTTTAAAGGTTACATTTTATTTTTAAAGTTCATTAAGTAACTAGATATTGTAATTAACTTATGAACAATGTACAAACAAATTAAAAACTTTAAATAATTATAGGAACATACTTCATTTATTTGCTTAAACTGTATTTACATTTGCCGCCACCAGTGTTGGTAAGTAGGTCGAGTGATGCAGGAACTCGTTTTTTCTCCACCAGATGTCGCCAGCACGAACTGTTGATATTTAAATTTTGAAAAGAAAAACAATAATAAAAACTTTAGTGCAGTGGCTGTTGCTAATTGAATAGTATTTACAAGTAAATATTTGCTTTTTACTTCCTGACTGCGTAATATTTTGTGCATATTGTTAATCGCAAGTGTCAACAAAAACTCTACAAATAAAGGAAGTGCAAATTGAGCGTTTCAAGCTCGATTGCAAACACAGTGCAAGTTTTCGAGCAAGCCGACAATTAAAAAAATAAAAATAGAAAATAAAACCCGAAACTCGAAACACAATTTAAAGACTTTGACCCTCCCTCTAAGCGCGCGCAGTGCGAAAATTATACAAACCGCGTCCACTTTTCGTTTCGTGTGGCCTCTGACGAATTTACACTTTAAACAATTGAAAAAATTGTACAGCGATGTGTAAATAAGCGCATAATAAACATTGTTGTTGTTGTTTGTGTTGTTGGCTTTTGAAAGAGGCAAAAAAATGTACTAACTAATCGCGACGACAAGATGGTAAAATGCATTTGGCTTTTAGGGTCTCAGTTTCGTTTTTCAACTCGTGCGCTGCAGTTGAGATTTGAATAAAAGTCCGTTAAATATTTGAAATTGATTTATTGAAAATCGCTCCATTTGGATATTGGATTAAGTGAATTTCGTAAAGCATAACATGTACGTGTTGTTATAATATAAATAAAATTTAAGTTAAATAAATTTAAAGTAAAATAAATAAATAAAAATAAAGTATAAATAGAAAAAAAAATTTTTTTTTAAAATTTATAATGATGAAAAGACATGAATTGGTAAACTATTGTTAAGTATACCGAATAAAATTTACGAATTTACTAAAAATAATATTGAAAAAAATATATAAAACTCAGTATAAAAAATAAATTATAAAAAAAAACAAAATAAATAAAAATAGTAAGAAAAAATGTTTCCAATTTCAAATAAACTATTTATAAGAACTAAATATGCTCTTAACAATTACTTGTTTATTATCCATTATTAACACGCAATTGAAGCAATTTTAATAATTATTCTCTAATGAGGACAATAGCTGTCAAATACAATATCAGTTACAATACATATATCTATATACGGAATGTCAATTTGAATTTTCAATTAACATGCAGCTGCTACATTTCTCTCACAATAAATTAGTTATGCGCTCAGCCTATTTAAAGTTTGAACTGAGCCGACAGCCCGATAATGCATAATTTAAACCACCTGTCGCCATGCTTTATTTCCATTGACGTAACCGGTACGCATGAAATATGAGTCACTTCAAGAGCACACCCCCGGTCACCAGCTGCCACCCCCTCCTGTATGACGTGCAAGAACCACCCCTTGGCGAGAGCCAACAAAACGTTTTTAAGAGAGCAGACAAAATGAGGGAGAGAAACGGTTTTGGATTGCCGGTTATATTTTTATTGTGAGTTGCACAAAGTTAATTTTTTCTAGTGTTACATTTTCTTTTAGTATTTGTCATATGCCATTTTCAATGTCTAGATTTTTTCTTATTTTGATGTTCAAACTTGTTTCGTTGGGCGACCTCTTCCCGGCCAGGCATTCTTAATATTGTCCTGACAAATTTTTGGTATAAATCCAGCTTTTAAAAGGAGAATTCACACTTTTGATAGTGAAGTCCATTGTTCTGTTTCTCATATATCGTATTTTGTGTTTCTGAAACGAAGTTAATCAAATATATAAATAAAATAAATCTTTAGTCTATCAACCTGAATGAATTTCAGTGCCTGGTTACTATTGGTGCTTATTACGTGTCCTGGTCGTCGGCTCAGCTTATTCTTTTTTGCTTTTGGTTTTAGATTTGCTCTTACTACGGTTCTTCTTCACCTCAGTTTCGGCCATTTTAGGAGAAGGTGCCAGCGAAACTTCCGGAACTTCAATAACAGTCTCCACTTCTTTTGCAACGGGACTAGTCCGCTTCTTAGACGAGCTGCGCTTTTTACCAGGCATGATTAAACACTTTATTGAAAAAATAACACGAGACGAAAAATCACATAAATTTAGAAATAAAAAAAATAAAAAATTAGACAGGCCAAATGGAGTGTAGCTCACACAATTTTGTAATGATGTGAACTTATGGCAGCTGTTGAGCACTCCAAAGGATTTGTGCTTCGAAAATTCCATGGATTGCTAAACTTTGTAAATTTTGTGATTTTCATTTTTTGTAATCCGAAAAGTTTGACAATATTTTCAGTTTCGTTGTGTAGTCGCAACCGTTTGGATAACCGATTCGCTCTGCCCCATCCCCCAGACATTGTGCGTGCCCTGGGGGCTGCTCTCTCTTCAGCTCTCTCTCGCTCTCTGACATCGTGGGCAGCGCTCTCTCTATCTCTCACTCTCTTATTGGGAATGACAGTCGTGGTCGAGATACCGAAACCAAAGCGCGTGCAGCAGCTGCCGCATAGTGCTTTCTTCTTTTTTAGTGGAATTTCTATTTTAATTTAGTTTTTAGTCATTTGCTAAGTACGTGCAAATATTAGACTAGAATTGTACTAACTGAAGGCACAACAATTAGCCAACCAATAGCAAATTTAATGTGGCCGCACCTCGTCTGCGTTTACATAGCAGGCCCTGTTATTCTGAAATAAAAACAAATTATCGATTTTTGCGCTCAGCGACGAGCTGACAACGGGCTGTGCAATAATTAAATATTAGTCGCAATCACAATCGCCATCGTAAACAATCCCAACAGAGACACTACACAGCGAGATGGCAGCCAAGCGCAATACGGTAACCACACAAATACCGGAGACCCCGCCGGAGGGCACGTCCCTGGCGCTGGATACACGGCTCTCCCGCCACGTGGAGAGCGTAATACCCAAGAAGCGGTAAGTGTACATACATGCATATATGTATGTGTGTACATTTGACATCTATTTGCAGTTGCCATTCTAATTTCTGTTGTTGTTGTTCCTCACTCTAGCCAGGAGGCGCTCAAGTGGTACGGCTGGGGCTACAATGACTCGCAGTTCTACGGACAGCAGGGCATCATCTGTTTTAAAGGCGACAAGTACGTATCGTCCATGAGTCATATTTTAATTTAATTAATAGCCTCAAGATTCTGCAATAATACGGCTCATCTTCGAGTCTCTCTCGCTAGTTTGAACCGGTGGAAGCTCAGCATTAAATAATGCTTCTGCTATGGTAGGGCCTGCAGTAATTTATACTTTGCGAGAAGCAGGCAATGTGACTTGTGTTGAAAGTCTATATGACTACTTTATATAGTACTTTGATCTGATTTAACAAGTATTTTTAGCAAGAGAAGTTAAGACTGTAAACTTAGCTATATTTTTAGCAATTCTGGTTCTATGTCAGCTGCCATCTGATCTGATAATAGTATTAAAAATTCTGAATAATCTTTAAAAAAATGTTCAAATTAATATAATTTAATTTTGTACTATATAATATAGTTATTTTAAAGTGAATTATTGCGCCATGGTCTCTACAATTTTTAATTTAATTTTGATAAAATATTTATTTAATTTAATTTTAATAAAATATTTATATTACATATATAGAACTCAATTTCATATCTAAAAAATATCTTGATAAATATTTGATCTTCAATTTAATTTTAATAAAATATTATTTATTATTTCAAGTCTTTAAGCGTGGCTTAAGATTCTGTTCGAATCTTCTAAGTTAGATCGGGAAATCTATTAAAATGTATATTTTTAATGTGAATAGAATTATTAAATTAATTATATAATAGAATATACAAAATTCCTATACCATTATATTGTGTGCGTTCTTATTAGAAGTAGATGGAACTATACATACAAAGATCAGCTGCTACTAAGAATATTGAAAAGGTCTTACAAACGAAGTCTTATAAGAACTGTCGCTCAATTTGAACTCTGTGTACAAATATCAGTTTCTGCTTAAGTAACGCAGTCTTATAAACGAAGTCTCATAAAGCGATGTAAATTCTCATTAGAACTTGTACTCCAGTTGGAACCCTACACACAAAGAAAAATACAAATGCATTCAAAAATTCGTATTGCTGTGCACAATTTCTTTAAGCTTTATATTCAAAAATTTATATTATTTGTAAAACATCTTCAAGTTCATTCTTCAACATTTATTTCATATATTAAACAACTTTCTTTTCAATCATAATTCAGATACCCACTGTCTGGCTGTGAATTGCCCAACTTTACGAAATGGGTGAGAAGTAAATTCGATCTGGACGTCGATCACAACAATGCCTATCCCCAGCTGCCGCCCACGTACCCGAAGCCCGTGCAGAATGCGCCCTTTCTCAACGAGCTGCGCGGCTGCACCAAGGTGGATCACTCTCAGGAGGGCGTGGATCGCTTGGTGCGAAGTCATGGCCAGACGCTGAACGATATCTACAGTCTGTGGCATAACAAATTTGAGCGCATACCGGATTTGGTGGTGTGGCCGCGCTGCCACGACGAGGTGGTGCAGCTCGTGCAACTGGCTCATAAGCACAATGTCATGCTATTGCCCTTCGGAGGCGGGACAAGTGTATCCGGTGCCGTCAGCTGTCCGCAGAAGGAGCAGCGCATGATTTGTGTGCTGGACACGTCGCAGATGAATCGCATGCTGTGGCTCAATCGTGAGAATCTGACCGTTTGCTTCGAGTCGGGCATAGTGGGGCAGGATCTGGAGCGAGTGCTGCGCGAGCAACATCTCACAGTCGGCCACGAGCCGGACTCGTATGAGTTCAGTACGCTGGGCGGCTGGGTGGCTACGCGCGCGTCCGGCATGAAGAAGAACGTCTATGGCAACATTGAGGATCTGGTGGTGCGCGTACGCATGGTGACGCCCACGGGCACCCTGGAGCGAGAGTGCAGTGCGCCGCGTGTTAGCTGCGGCCCGGACTTCAACCACATCATACTCGGCTCCGAGGGCACGCTGGGCGTCATTACCGAGGTCGTACTCAAGGTGCGTCCACTGCCGCCGGTGCAGCGTTACGGCTCCCTGGTGTTTCCCGACTTCGAGCAGGGTGTGCTCTTTATGCGCGAGGTAGCCAGGCGTCGCTGCCAGCCCGCCTCGGTGCGTCTCATGGACAACGAGCAGTTCCTATTTGGCCAGGCGCTCAAGCCCGAAAAGAGCTGGCTGGCCAGCTGCCTGGACGCGATCAAGCAGCGCTATGTAACGGTGTGGAAGGGCATTGATCTGACGCACATATGCGCTGCCACGCTGCTCTTCGAGGGTGAGCAGAAAGATGTGCAGCGCCAGGAGGCGATCATCTATGAAATCGCCGCACGCTACAAGGGATTTCCGGCAGGTGGTCAGAACGGGGAGCGCGGCTACTTATTCACCTTTGTCATTGCCTACATTAGGGTGAGTAGTTCACTATATACTATATACAGCATTTGATATGTATGTGTTACTGAAAGTAAAAGTAGATAGAATTTTCGGTACATCCGAAGTGATCTTGAATGTATTTATGTATTTATTTGCTCTAACAATTAGCGCTTGGCAAGCAAATAGCCCATGGAACAAGTATTTCACTTTTATATGTGTACATATATAGGCAACTTCGATCTTTTCCACAACAATATTATTAGGTGCCGCCTTTCTTTGGCGTAAATATTATGAAATGCTTAAAAATGTTTGTTGTCATTAATATTTTGTGTCTATAAAGTCTGCGAAATGTGTGCGCTTTGAATCTACATGTTATATTTATTGTATATTTTGTATATATTAAAGGTTTATGGTTCTACGCTTTAACAAATGATTTCGTATATGTGAAGTTTTAGGGAATTTTTAGGTATTTGTTTGGTTTTTCTTGGCTTTACTTGAAATTTGAAAAGTGAATGGTTTTTATTGAATTCTATATCGCAGACAGCAAATGGAGTTTCGCACTTCCAAGAGGCCTCGATTTTGAATAGTCCCATTTGATTGATATGAATATAAAATTTAAAAAAAATTAAAATTGAAATGTTAAAATATTCATTTAATATTTCTAATATTGATTGAATATAAAAAATTTAAAATTTAAATGTTTAAATATTTTTTTAATATTTGTTTATTTATTATTTACGTTTTTTTGATTTTTATTTTTTTTTATTTATTAATTTATTATTTTTTATTTATTTATTTTATTTTTATTTTATTTATTGTTTCTAAAACTTATATTCTTTATTATTCAATTTCTTCGTATTGTTTATTTACTATTAATTTATTTTCTATTTTAGTTTTTTAATGTTTTTATCTATAATTTATATATAATTAAATAACGATTTATTTATTATTTATTTATTGTTTATTTGGTATTTTATGATTTATTTTATTTTGATTTCTATTTACTTATTTTTATATATAATTTGAAGTAGAATAATCCAATAAATCAATAATCCAAGAATAACAAATTGTCCAAAAATTAGCATTCGTAGATACTTCTTTTTATACCTTTTTAAATCAATTATATATATATATATATTTCTCTATTTTTTGCAGGACTTTGCACTACACCAGGGCATTGTGGCTGAATCATTTGAAACGTCTGTACCCTGGGATCGTTGCAGCATGCTGTGTCGCTGTGTGAAGCAGCGCGTTGTCTCGGTTAGTAGAACATTCCAGCTCCTTAAGTACGATTTCTATTCCACTGTGCTTGCAGGAGTGTGCCAGGCACAATATTTCGCACTACACCATCTCGGCGCGGGTGACACAGACGTACGATGCGGGTGCGTGCGTGTACTTCTACTTTGGTTTCCGTTACTTGAACATACCCAATCCGGTGGAGGTATTCGAGGCCATTGAGCACAGTGCACGCGAGGAGATCTTGACCTGCGGTGGCTCCCTGTCACACCATCATGGTGTGGGCAAGATACGCAGTCATTGGTATCGCAATGCGGTCACTGAGACGGGCAGCGCGCTCTACAGCGCCGCTAAAAAGCATCTGGATCCACGGAACATCTTTGCGGCAGGCAATCTGCTGCCAGCGCAGCTGGAGAAACCAACACAGAATTCAACAGAAGCAGCGACGGCGACTGCGACTGCCCTGAAAGCCAAACTTTAGAGTAACATTCTAGATATCTATATTCACGTACATATAGAAATACTAGTCTAAATCTCACAACAAAAACCTTCAAAACATTTCTAGCTGCTTTAAACCATTTGCATTTCGTTTGCAATTTTAGTCGGGCTCACTTTTGTATGGGTGTTACATTTTTGATAAATAAATGGAATATTTGTATAACGAAAAGTCGTCGTTTTGGCACATGCCTGGGGGGGTCTAGCCTTGACAGTTTGCAGATAACTAGAGTTAGCATTGATCCTGGCTCCATTGGCTGTTGGTGGCCCTTGTCTGCCGCTAAACCACAAAGGGCAACAGACTGAAAGACTCGACGGAGACGTCGGTGTCAGTGTCGCGGCATGTGCGTTAGCCTTGAGGCCATGGCTCTATGACTAGCTGTAGGGCACTTGATGCTAGTGGACCTTTTGAGAACTGACTCTGTCTTTTGGAGCTGCCTTGGAGCAGATGTAGTGAGGTATGAAATGCATATTTAAATAACAATTCAATTTTTAAAAAACATTTTGCTTACGAGGTACAAAAAATACATTAGGTGCACGAGCTCACGAAATTCATTTGAAAATATTATTTTATAAAATCTATATTTGATTTTACATATATACAAATTATATAACTTAAATACAGCTGTAACATTAATTTTAAAAATATCTATCATTTGGATTAAAATACACATTTTTGAGGTAAATTAAGTAATACATTTTTACCAAAAATAGAATTTATCATTTGCCATATTTGATGAATGCAAAATTATGGTAAAAAAATTTAATTAAAATTTTTACATTTTTATTTTGAAAATAATGAAATCAAAAATTAGTTGTAAGACTACAGCAACCTTTCTCGATTTTATACCAAAGGCATTCATAGAGTAATTTCAATTGATTTCATAGCGTAATAACAAGTTCTATGAGCTGCAGCTTTTCATATTTTTATTTTTTTTGACAACTTTTTTTTTCTAGATTTCTATTTTCGGCACGTGCTGACCATTAAAATATTTTGGTTTACGAAATCAATTACTCAACATTTTCTATTTACATTAATCAATTATGCTCTTCTTTCTCTATTTCAAATGGCAAAAAAGGTTCACGTATTTCTAAATTTATATCTAAAAATATGTTGAATGAAATTGAATGAATATAAAAATTAAACTACGAAGCGCACGCACTTCAAATTAATTAAATAATATTTTACATATGCTTCAATCAAATTAGTTTATTCTATGCACCTATCTTATACCAACACATTTAGCTTTAGTCCAGAAGGATTTACAGTGTAGCGCCCTGCTGAGTGCATGCAATCGAAGTGAAGCGCTAACTCCAATTGCAAATCCAACTTGAATCCAATCTGAATGTGTGCTGTGCGTGCCTAGACCAATATCAAGCCAACTGACCGTCTGATCGTCTGATCGTCTGATTTTCTGAACGTCTCATCTGATCATTGCGCTGTCATTTGCGGTTTGCCTTTGCTTAGGCTGTGCAGCGCCTGTCTGCAGCGTCGTCGTTGCGATCGTTTGGGCCCAGAGATCAAATGTCATCAAGTTGTCAACTTCGTTAGCTTGCCAATGGCATCAACAACGGCTTGCAAATCTCTTTTGGCCAGCTCCTTGTGCTCGTTAATAGGCGAATGGGGCGCATAGGAATAGGAATGAGACGCATGCGCAGCCGGCAGCTGCTTATTGATGGTCGGAGTGTCTTGTCTTGTTACCGTGCCAATGCCAAATGTTAGTTACTCCCCAAAAGACTTTCAACACGCACACACTCACACACCCATACATACATACATGTGGCAGGCACGCATGCCAGGCCTATAAATAAAGATTAAAATCGGAGAAGTGTGCAAAGCTTAAGTCTGGTCTCTCTAAGCTGTTTAAGTTTTTCTTTTTATTTATTTCCTCTTTTTTTGAGTGCCAGCCTCAGAAAATTGTCAGCAATTAACCCTTGGGTCAGTCGCCAGTGCTCGTAGCCGCTGAGTCTCTTGCTTTCGCTCTCCGGCAGCGCCTGCAGTCCTGTGATTTATGCCACAAAGTGCCTTCAAGTCAAACACAATCAAGCTGGCAAATTTATGGCACAGTCCAAATCGCTGTTGCAGTCCTGCGCAGAGGCACGTCTGCCAGGTCTACCCTGGAGATACGTATTCATTCATATGCTCATAATGGCCATTCACATCGTGCACTGTCACATTACTCAGCCTCCGGTTTGTTCTGGTTTCATTTTTGTTTGCTTTTGACGAACATCTCTCCGAAGCCTTGAACTACAGCGCTGCGTGCAGCACACTTAGCGCTAAGGATTTGCCTACCTGTTCTCTGGCTTAAGCAAATTAACATAGGTGAGCTAGAAGTCGAACCTTATAGCTGTAATCGAAAACTCATTTATACCTGTGACAGTTGTTGGGGTGAAAGAATATTAGTTTGTAAAATGCTAGTTTTGTTTATCCAAATTTTAAGATATCAGAGTTGTCATAAATATTTTCGCTAAGAGGAAATATGAAAGAATTAGAATTAAATAAATATAATATTAATTATGAGGACTTAAAAAACTTCTTAATATCACATTCAATTAAAGTCTTCAGTGTAATTTTTTTTATTATTTTTATTTTCTAATATATATATGATATATACTAGATATTTTGCTGAATATTTTGTTAGTTAGCATTTTTAATTGAAATCAGGCCATAAAATGGATGCCATAAAGTTTTAACTCATCTGTTTAAGCTAAATGTTAGAGCTGCGCAAAAGCTAAAAGCAGCTGCTGCAATATAATAATATTTAATTTGAAAACTGTTTTTATGCACATCTGAAGTATAAACTGGGCCTTAATGTGCTAAAGTAGTTAACATTATATGCCCTTCATTTATTTTAATATTTATGTACAAATATCTTACATTTAATTTTTTTATAAAAAATTTTTGCTTGCTTAAGAAAAAATGTAAAAGAAATTCTGATTTCATTAAATCTTAAGTAGTAAAAATTATAAAAATAATCATAATTTGTATAAGAACATTTCTGTATCAGCAAAAACACTTTAATAAATTCTTTGCTTCATACTTCGCCTAATATTTTCGCACAGTGTATTCTGGCTTACGTTCCGTTTCACACGGCGCATGCGCAGGCAAACGGGGCAACAACAACAAGTTAGTTAACCCATTGAAGCCTAAACTACTACCACATACATATGCATATGTACGTTCGACAACTGCGCTGCTGCGGCTGGCAGCGTCGCCGTCGCGACGACAGCGCGCGCCCAAGCTGCGGCTGCGGCTCAGTTGCTGTAGCACCTGGCGCTCAGTTGTGGGCAGCGCGGCGAGCTAACAACAACGGCAAACAAAACACAAACGCAAAGGCAAAAGCAGTCGCAATCGCAATCGCGACGTGCTCAGAATTTTGTTATTATTTCCATTTTTTTCGATGAGTTAGAACTCAATGTAGAGTTCAATTGGGTGCGAGAGAAAGAGTGCGCGTACGCAAGGTAGAGAGAGAGTCGAGAATTTAAGGAGCCCACAGAGCGAGAGAGAGCGCGCAAGTGAGGGAGTGTGTGCATACGTGTGTGTGTGTGTGTGTCTGAGATCAAGATCTACTACAGGCAGCAGCTAGCTGCAGCTTCTCATCGCCTGGCTGCAGCAGTTACGATTCGTGCGCGGCGCTTGCAACATCAAATTGTTTTTCGGTTTCCGTTTCGGCTTCCATTTGTTGTGTTGTGCTGTGCTGTGCTGTGTTGTGTGTGTGTGGGAAAAAATGCAACAAATATGTGTGTCCATTAGTTGTAAACGTTTTGGCGCTTGTAATTGGCGGCAGCTGCTTTTGTTTTGCCTTTAAGAGCAACCAACAGTGAAACAGGTGCGTCGACGCATGAAAACCTCCCAAAAAAATACAAAAATTAAATCAAATAAAATTGAAACGAAAACCAACCCAAATATCCATTACAAATGTAGCTATAAAACGAGTTGAGCTTAAGATAAAAAATAGTAAAAAAAATGAATCTAAAAGCAATTAAATCATTAAAAATGCATTATAAACAACAACTCAAGGGAAATTCTCAGATCCACGTTCGGCTAGTGGTCGAACAGTCAGTCAGAACACCTGCCATGACTGGTAGAAAATTTACCAACCATGTGCATGCATCTTGAAGATGCTGCTTACTTCTGTCTGATCTACCCCTAGAGCGTAGCTTCGACCTGTTCCGCACTGACTCATTCTAGCGATTCGCACTAAAAACGTACCCACGCCATTTTAAAGTGTTTTATATCATATGCTTTTTAGACTTTTACGACCAGCCCGTAAAGCCAAAAAGTCACTAACTCATACTCATACTCGATGATGTTTCGAGGCATTGGACTTGGCTTAAAAGAATTACCCGAATTGGCCAGCACAGCTGAGCCAACACCAACGCAAAATACTTGATTCTTAGTGTTTCGGCTTATGGTTTCATTGTGTGGGCTCAATTTGCCTGGCTAACTCAATGGCCAGAACGGCCAAGCGATGGCTAAATGTTCGTTAATCAAATGCCATGATATGAGTGTAAACTTTTAATTGTTGTAATTGAAAAATAGTTGGCACAGTTCCACTGCGTGTGGGCGGAAAGATTAAGGCACTTAATGGAGCTCAGTTGCGTCTAACTAGAAGTTGAAGGCAATAAAGACTCTTAGAACTTCTTGCTTTAACAGTATACTATTTCTTCTAATTAAATTTTTTTTGTTTTCTAATTATATTTTGCAGTTTTATTTCTTCTTGTTTTTATACATTCTAATTTTAAAGTTTTTATCAAACACCAGTATAATTTATAGAATACATAAATATTTTATGAGCTCATAAAACTTGAAAATATTTTGGTTTGCTTTGTATTTTGTTTCAGATATTTTAAGAAAATTATTTTTTTTTTTAGTTTTTGTGATTCAAATGCTTTAAATTCAAAGTTTCTTAAAAATTAACACGATTCACAAATATTTTTTGCCGGATTAGTTGAACCATTTGTCATCGAGATTGGGAATATATTAAAATTTTTATGTTGATATTAAAAGCTCATAAAACTCTGACGATATTCTTTAAAAATTTAAAAAATTCTATTTTGGGCAGAAATTTTAATCTTTAATAAGATTTAAGAGATAAATGAATTTATTAAATATTTATTTAGCAAATAAAAAAATCGATAAGCCGATCAGAAATATATATTTTTTTAAAGGCTTCGTTGTATTAGGCCAAAATTCTGATATTTGGCTATAGCTTCTATATAACATGAGCTTCCAGCTATTGTAAATTTAATAGATATGAATTTTAGTTGGTTTAAAAAACAAATTAATTACATTAGATATGGAAACTTAGACTTATGACTCGAAATCTGAAATGATTTTTAGTTATTTTGAAAAACTTTTAAGTATAACTTATTAAATTACAAATTTCTTGTAATCTGTTATGCAATCTTATATCAAAATTAATATGTAAACGAATTCTAAATATAAGAATATTTTAGTATTCATTTGAAGTGAAAAATTAAATTCTTATATACAAAAAATTGAATATGTATTTCATTTTTTAGTGAATGCGTAAATATGTTTTATAGTAGTAGGATTATTATTATTATAATTATAATTACTCTAACTCAATGGGATCTCTGAGTATAACATATCCAACTGCAATGTCTGATGCATGACTTTATTATTGATTCATGCTCACGTCTTTGGCCATAGTTTGAGTAATTTATCTAATGGATACTTGAACTGCTCATCAAGTTGACATAAAACAAATGTTAGGCTTAAAGCTGCCTGCTCAGCATAACGAAACATGAACAGCAATAATCACAACAATCACTATAACAACTTTACATTTGCAGTGAACTACAACGACAGCCACAACAAAAAAAACAACAGCAATAGCAGCAGCAGCAGCAGCAGCTGAAGGCAAATGCATTCAAGGTGCGCTTAATTAACATGCAACTGGCAACTGGTAACTGGCAAGCAGCAGCAACGGCAACGACAGGCTAACGACAACAGCACGTCAGAGAGTGCAATCGAAGTTATCAAAAGAAACTAAAATTGCCGGTAGGCAGCAACATAAGCAACAGCAGCAACATCAACAAAACTTCGCCAATCAGTCAAAGGCTAAAGATGAGTTGTGCAGCTGTGCTTAGGCTTTGCCCTGTAGCTGCTAATTAAAGCGCGCAACAGCAACAATTGCAACATCGATAGCAACAGCAACGACAGTATCAGCGACAATAGCAACACTAACAACTGGCAATAGCAACAGCAGCACGGCAACTTCAACAGCAACAGCAACATGTAAGTAGCAACATGGCATTTGACTTTCTTTCAGGCTGCCTTCAGCAGCAGCAATTGTTGACTTTCTAAGCCAGTTGCCAATTTGGTGCAATGGCAGGCAGCTGTTTTGGCAACAACAACTAGCAACTGGCAACTGGCAACTGGTAATGGCCATTGCCAGTTGTTCATTGTCGCTTAGCTCCCGACAATTGTTTGGGGAACCACGGCGACTGGGTCGCGTGTTTGACACAAATGCCGCGCATAGTTTTGAAGGCGGTTCGGAGCAACTGCGCCTTATGGTCAAAACCAGCAAAGAGCTTAAAAAAGTGTATATGTATACATGTATCAGCAGATACTGCTTCCTGCGCTGATTGCATTTTAATAAGCCTGCCGCGTATCTCAAAGATACTTTTGCGGCCTGGCAAAATGTTGCATGTTTGCTTAAGTAGCCACAAAAAATAATAAGCTGAAGGCGGCACGCAAACAATGTGCAGACAAAATGCGGCTGTCGGGGGCTTCGGATCGCGTGCCAATGCCCATACCATGGGTCACAATGGGTTAAGCTGCCACATAAAGTGTGTTGAAGTTGCAAAAAAGAAGAAAAGAGCAAAATAAATTATTAGCTAATTCTGTTGAGTTTTTATTTGAAAGACAGGAAGACAAGCTGGATATAGGGTATTTGCCTAAGATTAAATTTGTATCTTATATGATATAGTAGAGAATAGTTTAAGATATGTAATTAAATTGCAATTTTGTACAAATCCCTAAAAACGTCACTAAACAATTTTAAAAAAAATATTAAAATAAATAAATTTTTTTTTAAATTTATTTGTTTACTTTTATATATATATATTTGTAATATATCTTAAGATTTTTTTCGAACATTTTTTATGTTTTTAAAATTTGTTGTATAACTTTTTAAATGTTTTTTTTTGTAATATATTTTTATTTTTCAAATTGATTGTGAAGTTTTTACAGCTTAATTTATATATAATTTAATCCAAAAAATATCGTACCTAATATATATATAAAAGCACTTAAATTTCTTTACTGATACGGTCCCCTTCATAAAGTGTTTCTTGCGCCATTCAGGTAAATGCTTTGAAAGTAAAACCGTTTTTTTATATTTTTGGAATGATTTTCATTATTTTCATGTCTGACCCACTGTAACTCACATTTCATACTATTGAATGGCGGCAACTACTTTGATGCAAAGATCGCGGGCTTCAGTTTCGACTTGGAGTATTGGTTTTTTATACTCAGTTATTTGGCAATTTGTCCGATCGCACATTACGGGTAAAAGAGCCTTTTGTTATTGTTGTTGCTGGCATAGTTTTCAAAGAGTATCTTTTATGAGCTGTGCACATTGCCTGAGTTGCTCAGCTTTTAATAGGCTTAAAGTGGTTGAGCAATCGATGCAGCGGCGACTCTCGACTGAGTAGTCGTTCGCTTATCCATCAGGCTATTTGCCACGCCTCGCACAACTGAATTAACAAACAATAATACCGACTCTGCTGACCCTCATGCAGGAGTCTTGCCTCAACTGAACTTGGCTCACAAATAAACATATAAACAGCTACAAAATTATAAACAAGCGGCCAGTAAGCGTTCGACAGTGCCAAAGGCCATAATAATAAAATTAAATAAAAACACCACTGAAAAAACAACAAACGTTGAGTTTAATGTGAACAAATTTGTGCGCTAGTCAAGCCATTACAACAACAATTATTGCTGCAGTGTTGCTACTGCCGCTTTTTATGCTGTTCTCGGGGTCGCTTAACATTTTTTTTAGTGTCAGTCATTAGCCAAAATATGAACGGCAAAGCAACGGCTACACGTACAGAGCAGACTAGACTTGAAATTAGTAAAGTAACATATTTATGCAGGTAAAGCGGGCGCGCATTAACATATGATGAATTCATATTTGAAGTCTATATATTATAGTTTATATTGATATAGAAATAGTTAAGCATTTGAAGTTCCGGCTTGAAGTTGGCATTCCAGTTCTCAATCCAATTTTACGAGACTGCAAAGACTGGCTTAGAAGTGAAGCCAGCTAAAGCCTTAACAGAAAACTAATATTTTATATCCATAATATTTTTATTTTGTTGACATATTATAAATAATATGCATTTCATAAAACTGAAAGTATTTAGAATTTGGTTAATAATAACAAAGCGATGTTTCGTGCAGAGTTACACAAGTTTAAATCATAATAAAACTTAGAAATATAATTTTAATATCAATTAAATTAACTTAATTAAATATAAATAATAAATAGTTGTTAAGCTTTAAAAAGAATCTTCATTACTATATAATTGAAATAATAATTCATTTGTATTTATTTCGAATTTCATATAATTTTCTTTTGTTTTTTGAAATTGTAAAAATCAGCTGAAAAACGCAGTTCTTAAATTGAAATTAAAATAATATAAATTTAGAATTTTATTCCAAGTGATTTAAATAGCTAAGTTTATGCTAATTTTGTTGTTGAAGGCAAAGCTAAGCAAATTAAAATAAGCTAAAGATGAGCAAGAATGTTGTTTATGTCGATATATTTTATGTATTCAAAATACAAAAATGAATATCGTAAACATGTTCGCTAAGAGCTGATGGGTGCTTAGTTATGCAGCCTCATGTGTTGGAGGAGCTTATCTAAATGCACACGTTTTTCTAATCAATTAAATGAAATCTGAGCCGGGCCAAAAACGCATTGTGCGGTTTTCTAATATCTCAGCCACAAGTTCCACAAAACGAGGCAACAACAAGCGCTAAAGTTGCGCGAGTCGTGTCAAAAAATTGCTTTGTATTTTATTATAGTTTTTTTTTCGATGCTTTGTATTTTTCGTTTTCTTATTTTCGATTTTTGTTGCTGCATTGTTTGAGCGATTTGTTTGAATTTTGCCGACGATTGGAAACTTGGAACTTGGGAGATGTCTCGCCGTTGCCTGGGTCCGAAGGGGTCCGTCCGATAGGTCTGCGCGTTGAGTCTGTGTGGCTTGGCTCGGTCTGGCTTGGCATTTTATCCAGTCACGCTGCAAGTTATTTGCGTCGTGCCCAAGAAGTGCTCGGTTCTCTGTTATTATGCCAGCCGGTTCCATCATCAGTGCCATCGTGAGGAATAACGCTTGCCTCTGCAGTTCTGGCCCTGGTAACTCGAGCTTTCATTTTGATTTATGCAGTTGGCAACACAAATTGTTGCGCTTGGGTGTATTGGTTTAGCCAAGTTGTTTGTATATATATAGGAACGTTTTTTAAAAATTCTGCTTAATGTTGTTGACGATGAACTTTCTTATCTTTTTAGATTGAATTGATGCCTTGACATCATATGAAAAGTCTTTTGTAGTGTATTTGAGCTTCGGTTACTTTTCAATTGCTCCATTTTTTTTTGCATTTCTGGCTGATTTAGTTTTGTATGTTTATATGATATGAAATCCACTTGATGCTGCACTTGTTGAATTTTGATATGTTGTGGGAAAGTCGTTAAATGGGTTCCCAATTATTCTTGAGTTGCAAATATTTGTGGCAGCTGCTTGCTGCTGTTGCAGGGCCATCAGAATATGCCAAAATGTATGCTGAAATATTGATGCTCATTTCGTATGCAGCAGCTGTCTGAGATTGTGGTTTTTTTTCGAAATATATATCTCTGCCCCTTGCTTTTGCCATGTTTTGAGGCAGCAATTTGCACGTAATTTAAGTCGAGTTTTTATTTTGAATGAATGAATGAAATCGACGTAGCCTTGGAGACAACTTCCGCTGTTTGGCTGCGAGTGAGTGCCAATTGCGAGAGTCACTTGTCGACGCGTTGTCTATTGTGTAGATATGACGGAATAGCACTCCAGTCATCAGCTTAATGTCCAATTATAATTTGTAGACTGAAGGCTGTGGCCCATTGTCGTGAAATTCGCTCAAAGTAATGAGCACTCGTAACCATAATGGCATAATTATAGGGCCTGCAGGCGCGATTTCAAGTGTTGAGCCAAAAAATACTTCCATTTCGCCTGCGGCTCAATTCGTGTTGCGGTCAAGTGTCTGATGATTATGTACAAACTGTTTGTATGCACTTTAAGGCTGTAGCGTTGAGAGTAGAAGTATCTATTACAACACTTTAGATATATTGAAAAGTTAAGAGCTTTTAGGGAACTTGCTCAGTTTGAAGAGCTCAGATATTTAATCATAGGGCATTGATATCACGTGTAACAATCCCTTTGTCCTACGCCTCTGTGTGAAACAGGTTTTCGCACTAACTGCGAACTGTCAACAAGGTTCTACGTATTCACAACTCATTATTTACACTCCACATAGTTGCTATTTTTGGGCTATCGAATTTCAGTTCTGTCTGTGTTGCTCTCACTGCCTCGTTTGCATATGACACAAATACGATTTCCAGATTCCATAGCACCGCTTGTATCTTATGACCAAAGTCGGCTGGCGTTTAAAATATTTACAAGTTGTCACCATTTCGGGGCGATTCGTTTGGCCTCCAAATATTTGCATATAAATATTTTTATTTATCTGCGGCCTTTAGAAACGTTCCACCTGCTCAATAAGCCGAGCTTAAGCAAAGCTGGCCAATTGCGCAGCAGCAGAAAAATAACAAAAAGCAAAAATCAATTTCAACTCGGAAATTGTTTTGAGTCAACTTATTTTTTTTTGTGATTTGCTTTTGTTTATGCCCTCACGACTGGCCAGTAAAAAAGTGGCCAGATATAACGAAAAAGGAAGCAAAACACATTTTGTGCAGTCGACGTCATCGACTGCGGCCACTCACAATTGAAATTTGCGACTTACTTTCACCGATGTGCATTTGAAATTTGAAATTTGAAATTCAATTACGAAACCCAATACGCCCAGGTCTTAAAAGTCGCTTCAACTTATCGCTGGCGGGCAATCAATGCAAAGAGCGTAAATGTTTATTAATTGGCGGCAACGGGCAAAGCTGAATGCAACATTGGCAAACGGGTGGCGTCGACTAAAGAGTTATCCAGTATTTGATACCCAGTATATGCTGAGTATATATGAAACTCTTGTTAAGAAAGTATATTAATTTTGAGGAGTGTTAGCCAAAGACTTATATTTTAAACGATCATAGAAATATAGTTAAGGAATTGTAGAAGCTTTAAGAACTCTCACAAATTCGATAACTTTTTCAGCATATATTTTATATAAGTATTAAAAGAAATTTATAAATTTGTAGACATTTTAGAACTATTTGTGCAATATGAAAATATTTAAAAAAAATATATATACGTATTTTATATATAACACCAATCAATATTTAGCAGCCTTACGAACTTTAAGACTCTTCTCAACTCACATTTCGTTAACATGTCAACTTTTCATTTATAGCACTAACTTGACTTACAAATACCCTGTATAAGCCAAGTCAGTTATCTAAATTGTCAACATGTTCGAAATCGATTAATTAGCAAAAAACTCATTGCGAATATAAAAACATTACTGATTACATGCAACATGCATCATGCATCATCTATTAACGCTTTGATGGGAACTAGTTATAAAATTCGCAGAAAGATAGAGAGAGAGAGGTGGAAGTCAAGCGAGGAGCTGTTGAAGGTAACTATATGCAATACATGTGCCTAATGAAGCGGCGTCATCGCATCACCAGCTGTGACATATGCAAATTGCGTATACGCCCCTTGGCTTTAAATGCTAGCCAAATGTCGACTCAGTGTAACAGCATTTAGTTCAGCTTTGTTGCTGCCTGTAATCAGCGTGCAAATTGTTTGTGCAATGATGCAATAAGCGGATTTGTCTCTGATTTACAGTCCAGATACGTGCAATTGAACTGGCAGCGGATCGGTCATTGCGATAATTGACAAATAGCCGAGCCGAACCGAGCTGAGCTGAGCTGGCAATTGTTTTGCGAATGTGGGTGGGCAGGTCGCGAGTTGATCTTGCCAGAGATGATAAAGCTTTAGAGTTGCTCACCTTTTCTAGCCTAGTCACACAGCCAGCGCCTTGTTCCACAGCCGATTGTAATCAACTTGAATACTATATTTATGCCGCCTGCCCCACGGCTGTCGCAGCCTGGCATTGCAGCGAGTATATCATAATTTACGACTTGCAAGGCAGCCAGGCAGACACAGGCAGGCGTCAGGCTTCAGCGCACGCGTGTATTCTGTTTTCGATTATGCGCCTCATGGCATTTGGCAGTCATAAGTTTGCGATTGGGTCGCCGGCCTTGATGGCAGCCGCCTTTGGCGTTTGTATCTTGTGCTTGCATCTTGTATCTTGTATCTCGCTGGCCGCCGTTTGCTGACCACATGGGGCGGCAGCAGGAAATTTGTTAGACTGCCATAAACAGCGCCGAAACGTATAAATTATGATTGCAACGGGCCGCGACTAGACGCTTATCGATTCGCATAAAGCGGGCATAAATGAACAAAAAAAAAAAACAAGATACAAAAAGCAAATCCAAGCTCTTTGGGCTAGCCAGCGAAAGTGTTGAATGATGTTCTAGCAAAACGTTTTCAACAGCAGCCCAGCGGCTAAAAACAATTTCCTTTAATTAATTTTCTACAACGATGCGAGTTGCTGTCTCGTCTAGACGCAACACACGACAGACAACTCGAAATACTTCACACGCCGACGCTCGAACCGTGTGACAGGTGCTGATTGAAATGACCCCAAAAAGCGGGACGTCGCTCAAAGTGGAAATCAAGATGGAGTTGCCTTTCACACTTGCGCGGAAAACAAGCATAAATACTGTGAATACAAACAAGTTAAATGCCTGAAAAACTCTTAATAAGACAAGAAATTTCAATTCACTTTATTCCAATAGCCGAGACATGCGCTTTACAATTCAATTCATTCACTACGCTTAGGAGAACAAATCTTTTACTGCGTCGACAGCATCGTTCTATAAAATATATATAATTATATACAAATATAATATATAATATTTATGTTATATGCACACTTACAAAGGTATCCTTGATGCTGTCCCAAAGGTCACCTTTGGCTACGTCCACATTGACAGCCAAAAGGATAGCAGTCAAAATTAATAAACCATTGTAATTCATATTGAAATTGTGTTCTGCTTTTATTTTCTTTGAGAAATATTTTGATGATGCAGATGCTGCTGGTATTATACGACTGTCGTCTTATCTGGCCTGTGTATAAATAAATAGCTTTACAGACGCAATGAGGCTGATAAGACTTAATTTGCCAAAAAAATAAGCAATTTGTGTTTGTAATTTAACGAATGTTAAATGCCCTGAATGTAGCTAATGCAACTGCTGAGGACTTAAGTTATAAAGGGAAGACCTTTCGTATGCCTCTAGGATTTAAATATAATTTTTAAAATAATATATTTACATAAGCAATCATTTATGGAAGCTAAATCTGTCAATTATTATTTTAAATAATTTTTCATAAATGTCAAACACAATTTCAATATGTAATTTATCAAGTCCATGCTCTACGTCTAGTCGCAAATGCTGCTGCAGTGTATCTAATACTTGTTGATTCCAAACTTGACTCCAGCATTCTTGTCTTCTATTTCCATTAGCGGACAAAGCAGAGTACATAAAAGCAATTGCCATAAATGTGCTTTACATATATGAGTATATATATATTTAATCAGCTTAATAAGTTGCTTCCATCATAAACAATTTTGTTCAGGTTGGGTATGCGCGACTGCAATATTTACATTTTTTATTTAGCTTAGAGTTTCTACATATTCATAAGTTCAAATCATTTTTAAATTATTCACAAAAATTATTAATATTTTTAATGCTGGCTAAAGAAATTATCGGCGAATATTTTATCCTAGAAAGAAGATGTTTTTATCTACTAAATAAATATAGAAAGTTGTGACTTACAATAGCTTTTCCCATCTCTTCGACTTCTTTACCAGATTTTTCCTATATTAAACAGTTTTCTTAACATTTTTAATGGACTTTTGTTTGTAAATTCTACTTACAACTTGAGCGCCAATATCGTCTATCCAATTTGCATGAATTTGAACCATATTAATGGCCAAGAGTAGAGCTATTAATGCTAAAAAGCTGAGGCAGTTCATCTTAAACTCAAATGTTGCTTTTTCTGCTACTGCTGCAATCGAACTGAAAAGATTTTAAGATCTGCGACTTTTATATGCGACGTAGTTGAAGCTATATACAGGTATAGATTATCATGGGGTTTTCCAGTCAGTGCATAAAGTTATATGAAAGAATGTTGCACTCGGATGGAGCTGACTGTCAAATACCTGCCCAATATTTAAACAGTAGTTTATTTTAAAATTTCTTAAAGTTTCTTTTACGGTTATATATGCCTAGTGTAATTTATACAAATTTAATTTTGGTATCTTCAGCTGCTTCTAGTTGCAAAAGTCTCTTTGATATTTTATTTCCTTGCTTTATACCTACAGTTTTTATTAAATATTCCTGAACATCTTATATATATATATTCAATATATATATTTAATTTTACTTATAATCATTTTATTATCTTTTCGCCGCGAACGAGTATTATGCAGTTAGCTGCGCTCGACTGCAATGTTCTGATTAGTCTTGGCAGCAGACGACTCTAATTTCTGAAAATTAAAAATCTTGCCATTTCTGCATAATTGCTGGGTATTTCCAAACAGCAAGTGATTAGAAAAGCAGTTGATTATTACTTAAATTAATTCTAATAAAAATGACATCGTGTCTAAATATATTTGCTCGTTAAGAACTTTTTCAATATGCCAATCAATAAGTTGACAATTACTGGACAACTTTATTAAAGCCCCAATCTCAGGTTCAAGCAAAACAGTAGTCCGCTGCTCAGCGGGGCTTCGGTGGAAAAAACGTCGAGTCGCACAAGTTGTAAAATTTAAACAGAAAAAAAGATTAAAATGACAAACGTTATAAAAGCCGATCCACGCCGGCGGTCAAACAGGCACATAAAAAACAGGCAAAAGTAAAAAAAAATTAATGAGTTCCAAGCAAGGCGGCAACAATTTAAACAATACAAAATTACATTATCCACAACACATCAATAAAACATTTTCTTGTTGAATTTCATTGAGCCGGGCTCGAGTGCGGGAGAACTGGGGAGAATCGAGCCGAGACTCGAAGAGGCCCCAGGCACCGGCAGCTATCATGGCAAAAAATCGATTGGGTGTGACGCATAAATAATTGCAGCCATTTATTTAAACATTTACTGCGGTGTCCGCAATGAGATTTCCATGTGCAGAAATATCTAACGCATAATTAAAAGCCGTGAAGACAACAGCAAAACTTGTTTATGAAATCATAGATACATAAACCGAAAATACGCTACGATATATGAATGCGAATTATAACCGGCTCACTTATCGCTCGCAATCGGGTTTTTATTTTTATTTTTTTTGTTTGCTTTTAATTTTTATCTGCCAATAAGTCGAAGCTAATTTGTATCTACGCCTCGGCCCGAGGGTCGCGACAATTAATAAGCAACCAAGTTTCATGGAGCATGAAATTTTGCTGTTAGCTCATTAACAGTTCGGCGAACCAACTTAAAATTTCAAGCATTTTAATATATTCCGACGTGCTTCCATCGAACACATTAACATAAATTTATAAACAAACCCATAAATCAATATGCAACTAACTAAAACATTTGCCTTCAATAATAAAGAAATAAACACAATTTCATGGAATAGTTGATGTTCAATAGACGCCAAGCTGATAACCGCTCTGACATGGAAATCTATCTATTAAAAGGCGGCAATTGTGTAAATAGCCACCCATAATGAACCATTCATTGATAATTATAATTACGGCTATAGGCAAACATTTTATTTTCATTTACAATTTGAACAAGTAATTGACATAGCTGACGCTTTGTCAGGCGACACAGATAGAGGGTGCCTTAGTGTTTCAGTTATGGAAATTTATAAAAAGAAGTTTGAAGATTAATGTCTCTATTAAAATAATTTGGCATACTTATAGTAGTTTAATCTAAGAAAAAATTCCAACCATTTATTTCTCTGTTTAATACAAATACTTTCTTATAGACTCAAGCACTTAAAGCCTACCCCAATTTTTACATGTTTTCTATCATCGAAAAATAACTCAACATTTTATTTTGTGGCAGCAGATTTCAGCGCAATATTTAAGTAATTAAATTTTAAATTGAGTATATATATATATATATAATTTATAAGACTTTTTTATTGCAGTAATTATTTTCAAGCAATTACAAAGCTATTGAAATTTTATATATAATTTAACGATGATTATTAATATTTTTAATTTACATGAAAATTGAATGCTCATATTATATATATATATATTGCTGAGCGCAATGGCTAAAAAACGAAAACAAATTTTTGCCTAAAAATCATTTAAGTAATGATGGTTTTTAGGTATAATTTAACATAAAATCAAATTATAAATAATATAATATAAATAAATATATATATATACATAAATATTATTGCTTAGCTATAATAAATATTTATATACTTTTGAGAGCTAAAATACAATCAGATTCAATACAAAATTACATTTATTAAAATTTTCTATACTCAGGTTTAATTATACTAAACATTTCACTGGAAGATAAATTGACTTAAGTATTTGAAAACCATAATTGATTAATATGTTTATAAGCTTAATCACAGATAAAAATTATCTAATAAATTGTGGCATGCAGTGATTAAATGTTTAAAGTCATTATTAACTGCTTTTTTGTAGCCACTGGATTTTCATCTATTTGATTGATTTATATTTATTTATTTGATATATAAAATTTTGATATACTTAAAAAAAGTATATATTTATATTTGAAATGAATAAATATGTAATTAAATATATTGATTTATCTACAATATATTTCAACTTAAAGGTTCTTCAGCTTCACACGTGTAAACATAAAGTACTCTTGGCACATTGTTATGTTAACGGGCTCTAGAGTGTGTGCATTGACAGACTGCATGACATGCAGCTTGACACAATGTAATGACTGAAAGTGTTTAGGAGTTATCTTATCGCTCATGGGTGTGTGTATATGTATGTGTGTGTGGGGTAACCAATGTGTGTATACACATGCTTTTTTTGGGGCAGCAATAACAATTTTCTGTCGCGAGCTTGAATCCGGACGTTGTTGGCGTCTATTCTTGTTGTTATTGGATTTGCTTTGCCGGTTTTGTTTACAAAGTGGGCGAATGCACTCGAGTATTTACTCATGGAATATAGACACTCTGTTGGTTGTATAGCTATACTTGTCTGATGACTTTGCTAATTAAAATTGAAAGACTCGATAATTATTTTGTAATATTCCATCTAACAAATAGTAATTTTAAGTTGGGCTGTTGCTGCTGCTGCTGCTGGCTGATGTTAGAGCTATATAAAACCAAAATGACTCTGCATTGGCTGCAACATCAAAGTGAACTATGCTCCGCTGCCACCACTGCGACAGGCAGGCGACACCTTTTGGCTTCATCAATCACTTTTATGTTCATTGGAGGCGCAGAGAATCAACCATATCGACGCTTCTGTTGCCAGCCTTTCGAATGGGTGTACTCAACAGAGAGATAGAGACACTCAACTAGCTGTAAGCGCTTATCGGGCATGACGCTTGTTTAGGTGTTTCCAACAGGTTACGACGCCGACTCTGGCGAACTGTTTAACTGGTTTGCTGCCGCTGCTGCTGTTCATATTTATTAATTATCGTATCGATAATTCTTCCATTGGTGAGCTGAGCTTTAAGCTGGCCAAGAAGCAAAAAAAGAGAGAGAAAAAAGCACCAAAATCACTTGGCATTGTGACTTGGACAAAGTTCTGACTTGTCTTGTTGCTCTTTGTGGCCGTCAACAAACAAAATAAAAAATAGAAATAAAAAGAAATATATAAAAGCAAATACACACTTACACACAGACACAGATACAAGACAAATACACATGCATACAGAGCATAAAGTTCAGCGGCGACTCGTAAAGTTTTTCTCTGTTGTGTTTCAGTTCGATTCGAGCGATTTTCGAGCGCGGAGCGGTGCGTTGCCTCGTTCACGTTAAACTAAGAAAGAAAAAAACACTAAATAAATAATATAAAAAATATAAGAAAATCGTTTTCGTTTGCGCTTGTTAAGTGAAGTGTGGCACAGAGCTGAGTCAGCCGAAAGTGCAGCAAGCAATAGTTCATGAAATGCATTTCTAGTGCCCGAATTCACATTAAAATTTAACATTTTCGCTGTCGCCATGGCGTGAAGTTTTGCTGCCAATCAAATTTAATTAATTTCGGGAATAGAATTTCCATTTGGCCAAGAATAGCGCATGCCAATTAATTAGGCAGCTGACAAAGCTCTTCACGAAATTACGCATGCAGCATGAGTGTGAGCCTTGGTGATATTGGTATAGGAATCGGTAGTTTACCCGGCGATTTGCTTTCATATGATGAGTCAAAATTTTCAAAAAAGATAACGCACCTGACGCCCACGGAACAGGAAGCCGTCAAGCGTTTTTGGAGGTAAAAGATAAGCGGCAGCAAACACTATTTGCCGATATCCAATTGGATAAGGCCCAAATTAAGGCCGGAAAGTTTAATTAATTGGGCGCTGTTTAAAGATTAAAGATCGCTCGTTAGACACATTCGATGTGGCTGCGAGGCGATTGAATGTGGGTGTGCGTTGAAGGTGTGAGTGCGAGCTTGAACTAGCCGCGCAAAAGTGCCAAGTTGCGGTTAACAAAGCAAACAGCTTAAATATACAAGTCAAATATGAAATACTCCCGAGCTAATTGCTCAAAGTTGATAATGAAAAACCTGTTCGGTGGCTTAAAACAAAGTACCAAAAACTTTGATAAATTGATGACTTAAATAGACTTTGAGAAAAAACAACGAGTCTTTAAATATGCAGTTTTTTTTAAAAGCATTTGAGTTATGCTAGGCTAAAAATAGTTTTTGACAAAAGCTTAAATAAAAAATTTTTTTTTGTTTACTTGAATGAAATTATTGAAAACTCTGTTTAATAAAATATTTAAATTTTAATTAAATGCAACACAATTTGAATTTTAATATTGTAAAACCAAATAGTGTCATGGAATCTTAGGCATAAAATTCTGATTTAGAATACATTAAACTTTTTTTACATAATTAAATATTTTTAAAAAATTATATTACAACAAAAAACTGCATATATATTTATATTTATAACAAGAATAAACTAGATATCTTCAATATTCAATAATAATTGAAAGTAAAAATAAATAAATTGAATTCTAAAAAATAAATAAAATAGCTGAAATAGTCTACAAAAAATCATTGAAAGTTAAATATTATTGCATTCTTTTATATATATTAGTTTTTCGCTTGACGTAAATACGTTTTGATTTTTAATTGAACAAACTAAAATACGTCAAAAGCTGTCTATCAACTTTTTTTAGTCGCTTTGCACTAACAAAGTGCAGAAAGCCTGTGAAAACGCGTGTAAAACGCGAGGGAAACGCGTGCAAGCCGGTGCACAAATATTTGTTTTGTTATTGACAACTGTTCAAATAGAACTTATCTATACGATTTATAAATAAATCAATGCTCTGTTAGCCAAGGGGCAGAAGGCAGCTGTCGCATAGAATGTGGCAAAAATGCGCGCTGCAGTTGCGTAGATACATAGATACTAAGTTGAGGCGCAGATACAGATGCAAAGAGGCAAAGACGATACACTCTCGTTTAGTTAGCTACACACACTTGCTGTGCTTCAGGGAGTGTTGTAGCAGTTGCGCGACACAGGAAAATTATAATAAAATATATCAAGCTGTCAACATTTTGAGTTTTGCCTGCGGCCCCTTTTGTTCTCATTGTTGTCATTGTTGTTGCTGCTGTTGTCGTCGGTATTTTGAAACATCTTTGAAACTATGCGTGCCACAAAATCCACAATAATCTGTTTGCCATGCCATAAAGCACAAGGGTCTGCGACTATTTCATTTTCAGGCACTCATTAGTGAACTTCGCTCTCCCCTTTTGCTATAGCCCAACATTTAGAATATATATATATATATATAAATATGTGCTTCTTGCTTGTTTTCCTGGAAAAGTGTACATGCGTGCAGCATTTCTCATTTTCATTTGTTTCAACGGAAGCTGCAATTATTTATAATTTGTTGTTTTCGGCTTGGCCAAGTCCTCAACCTGATGCAATTAGCCCCAAAAATGGCGTTGAATGGGAAAAACTTTGCCAGCGGGCATATCTTATTAAATTAATTGCCTGTCATGTTTTCCACGCTTTCGGCAGCAACAAGCAGAACAGCAACAACAATGTCAGCTGAATTGAAATAAAATAAACAAATCATGTTGAAAGCCGTCTTGCGATTTGCTGCCATATTTTTCACATTGCGCTTATTTCGATTCCAAAATTTATGTAAAATGAAAATTTATGCGTCAACTGATTTATGCGGTTTTCCGTATCGCATGCATGACATAGCCATACAGCCATAGAGCCATAGAGCCATAGAGCCATAGAGCCACCTCCCCCACATCTGATCAGCACCTACCCCCTTGGCCCCGTCTGTCAAGTTGCATCCATGTGAAACGAGCGACGGCATCGCTTATTTTTGGAGCGCAGTCCAAATTAATATGTGTGTTTATGATTATGATACACGTATCATTATGCTTACACATAAATTTGTCTTTGCCTCTGAGCTGGGGGAATAACAACATTGTCAAGAAATCGCTAAGACTCGCTGAAGAAGGAAAAACATATATGCACAGATGTCCCAGGGAAGCAGCTAAAAAATCTAAGGCTGTGTGCAATATATTTTTATTAGCTCTTCTTTTCGAGCAGTTGGATTGTGTAATATGCATTTTCGAGTAGCTTTTGAATGTATTTTCATAAGTGATAAAAGTTTACAAAAAATCAATATTTTGTTATAAAAAATTGTAAAATGTAAATGTAAATGAAATGACTACAAAACCATTTCTTCCTTAGTTGTTCAATCCCATTACACAATCTATGAATAGCTAGTCCAGCAAAGATTCAGAACTTTGTAAACAAAATATTTTCTACTTAATAAACTTTTACTTTCAAGCAGTTTTAAACAAATTTTTGCCTAAGAAAATTTTTTTGCCCTTTTGAAATATATTTTCTGTGCTAGTTTTTCTCTCTCTATCTCTAACAATTCTACTAGCTTCAGCAATTAAAATTTATTTCTATATCCCAAAAGTCAATTGATTGATGAACATAATAATATTAGAAAATAAAAGTTTATTCAATTTATATATACTTTCTTAAATGCACAATTTTGTAAAATTTTAATATATAATTTTTAAATTCATATAAATATATTAAATATATATTTCCTCAATCGCTAAATCTTATAAGCACTTATTGCAGGACATCTCGAGGCTTTACTTAATATCGAGACTCTAAATCTCATATTTGTTTGCCAAGAATCACTTAAAGTGACATATTGCAATTATTTGCCAACATAAATAAATAAATTAGCAGTTAAAATGTTTTGGTTTTTGCATTTCTCATAACAAAGTTCTCCATTTACTCCATTTGCAGGTCACTCGTTTTGCGGAGTCAACGCGCCTTCATTGAGGAAAATGGTACGTAAAGCAGCTAGGCGTGGGTTTTTATTTGGCTATAAAATCGCGGCTTAAGCCCACATGAGTGCCACTCTGTGGAATTGGATGTGGGTCAACTTGACGCCCGCACGAATGGCGATGACGGCGGCAACACCCACCCACCACCATAAAAATGGCAATGTCTTTGCGCTGCGCCAATTTGTCGGTGCAGCAGCAGCAGCAGCAGCGGCTCTCAGATTGGCATCGGCTGCAAATGCAGGAATCAAAGCACTTTCCACTGGCCATTGACACGTGAAAAAGTCAGCTATGCAAATGCCTTTGGCTGTCGTCGATTACGCCTCCAGGCAACATTTGCAATTCCAAAAATTCACATCTGACTTTTAATTAAGCCTGAAAGCCAGAGCCGGTTTCGGGTTGCAAAGCTGCGACTCTGATTGATATAGATGGAGTATTTGATATTCATTAATTTTCGGCTACGGCCAATTTATGACAGCGGATGTGAGTTGACGTTTTTGGGTGTGTGGGCGTGGCCGGTTGCTTGGCGTTAATTGAGGCAATTAAATGTGAAATGTAAATGGCAGCCGAGTACTAGCCAAGTCTGTGCCAAATCGAACTCATTAGCCACACGCAGTTCACAATATTTTTAGTTTCATTTACATTCTCATTTCGTTGCGTACGCACATAAAGTTTATGGCACGTGGAGAAGCATAATGAAAATAATAATAGCCACAGCAACCAAGAAGCCGTGCATTAATTGGATAATCAAATGCATAGAAAATAACCATAAATTGGCCCACAGCGTCGTGCCGTGGGGAGCACTTTAAAGCGAATCAAAGCAGGACAGAGAGAATATCTTGAGGCACAACTGCAGCAATTAAGCAAAAATAGCTGATGCACTATAAAAAAGAAAATTGACAGTTCATAGGAGATGCCATGGCAGTAATAGGATCTTTTTTATGTAGGATCTTTAGGATCTATAAAAGTTCTTATAACTGTTATATGGGCTTTTAAAGCTGCTGTAGGACGTTTTTTTCTGGAAGCTCGAGTAGTTTTATAGGAAAGCCACTATATAGTCTTAGCTAATGCCTTTGCAGCCATCAATATTTATTTATTGTGTTTAATTTTTACTTTATTTAAAGAAACTTGACAAGATTTGATATACTTTTAATTTATGTATACATTTCTCATCAAATTAATAGCTAGAGAAGTAGACTTCGCTACCTTTGTTGCAGTAAATTTCACTTAAGGAAATTGGAAAATATTCCAATTTTATTTATATTAATAGGAGTAAGGAAGGGCAAACTAAATTATGACAAAAACGGAAATTTAGCTTTATATAATTTTTTCTTAAAATAGTTTCAGTAACCAACCTAATTCAGATGAGTCAAAAATAAATTCATGTTCTTTAAAAAATTGAATGAAAATCATAAAAAATTTATATTTTTATTTAACAGTTATTTTAAATTTGAGTTTTCGTTGAAGAGATTTTAATTATAATTTTTGGAAGAAAGCCAAACACTGTATATAAAACGCTGTCATAAGCCAAGTATTTTTGCTGCCTATAACTAAGCTGTGTAGTCTAATACTATATTTCATATAAATGAGCAACTATATTTCATATAGTAGTATATATTTCATATAAATAGTAAATACATATTACACATTGATTTATGTTCGCTTTTGCTTAAATAATTTTTCACTCAGATTTCAAGAGCTTCATGTAACTTCATGGCATATTCTGATTCATGATCAGCTGTAGTTGCTATAAACTCAGCTTTGCTCTTCAAATTTCAATAAATCAGAACCCAAATAGAATATTTTTTGTCTTTAAAAATATTTTGACTAATGCTGAGGGAAAGCATAGTCGCAAAAGTCTGCAATTGCTACATTAATATACAAATATTTTGTACTCAAAAATTGTATACAAATTTTAAATTTGATGACTTGATGGATTTGAAAACAACGTTTTATCAAAATATATTTTAAATAAGTTGACAATTAGTAAAAAAATATTAATAAATATTGAAGACCTATGCAACGCCAAAAATGGGAGTTTGGTCTCAGGCTCAAGCTTCCAGCCCGATCTGATGCCCTTTGAGCTCATGTAACTGCTGTAATTATCTACTAAAATATAGATTCTCTACCTTTTCTAAAACTTGTATCTAGCAGATACTTTCTAATTTAGCATATACTAACATACTTACACAGAGCATCAATAAGAAATTTTTTTCTTAATTTATTTTCTTGTTGCTGTCAGTTGAGCTGTGGCATGGAAATTAGATTGTGCAGCGGTTGCACGTGTTTAGCATAATTAAATTTTTGCACTTTACGGTAATTTGTTGTTGTTGCTGTTGTGGTTTTTGCTGTTGCTGCCATTGCACCGTTAGCTTCATTAGCTGCAGCTGCAGCAAACGCCTACTCGATACGAATACCGACCCAGACACAGCGTCAGCCCAACAGCTCCAACATATGAGGCTAAATGCCATGATGTATGTATCAGTCGGACATATGTATTAGTCGGGCAACCAGTTTTAATTTAAGTTGGTTTTTCGCCTTGTCTTTTGGCTGCCGGTCGAAATTCATTCACAAGCCGGCTTCATTTTGTATGCTGGGCAGCGACTGCATCGTCGTCTTCGGCAGCGACGCCCACACAGAAAATTTAGTCATTACAACTCGATGATGATGATAATGATGATAATGTGGAGTGCTTCGTTTTGGGGTCTGTCTTGATTACGTTTCACTGTCACCATTAAGCCTGCAATATCGATGCCCAATTGCGTCTTGGAGTCGCAGTCAGAGTCTGGCTACGTGCCTGGCCAGAGCTCTGGGCATGCTCGTAATTTACCTTTGCTTGCAGCTCAGTTTGTTGCCTGTCCACTGGGCTAATTTCTTAATTTTTATGTGCGCCGAGTGCGCGATTTATGTCATTGTACGAATAAATAGGCGCCTTTTATGGTACCCCGAATCTTGTAAATAAAGTTGTTCGCGTTGGGCAACAGATTGTGACAATAACTGGTTGAAAGGGCGATTTACCTTTTAACTTATTTACTTCTAAAATGAGTCAGCCTATGAAAGTGTAGCTCGGACGAATATCTGTGATTCCTAGAAGTTGGCTTCAAATATCAAATCCAAGCAGTAAAACTATAAGCATTATGAGAATCGCATAGAAGAGTAATAGATACAGAAATGTGTGTTTATAGTTTCTGAGAATATTTGTATATATTTATAGATATACAATATTAGCCACTATTATCATCCAGCTCATAGGGAAAATCCTGCTTAAAATTTCAATAGACTCTACGATTGGCGATATTAATTGATTATCAATCAGTCAGCCAACACTTGATACACATATATAGATTTCTTTTCTTTATATATGCTAATATATGCAATATATAAAATAGAATTTTTATATATATGATGATGATCTAAGCACTTTATTTGTATGCTATGCTGGAATGAGCTAAGCAAGACTTCAACTTTCACTGTTTTTGTCGACTTTTAGTGTTTTTTTGTTAGCACTCGGCAACTTGCAAATCTCTGGAAAGTGCTAATTATTTGATGCCAAGTAAGCAGCTGTAAAAGCTGTTCAAAAGTGTAGCTAGTACTTAAAAAATTGCCCTCATGTCGCTTCACATGCCCATTTACACGTGCTGGAGAGTTGTGAGCAAAGCATTTACAACAGTCAATCAAGTGGAGACCAAGTTTTGCAATTTAAAACAGCCAACACGCTGACGAGACATAGACAAGCACTCAGCCAGACGAGCCGTTGTTGGCCAGCAATTAGGCGACATTAGGCAGACCGCATTCTTCGACGCCCACTAGACAAATGCAGCGCATGCCAAACTGAACTCAAACAGCTGCGATTTGTGCCAGTGTGTTTTGTGTGTGGGTGTTGGGTGTCCAATATAGCGATGATAATGAAGCCGGTAAGCAGCGTCATTAACACCACGCCTTCGATTAGGCCTACGCCCCCGCCACCGACCATGGCCGTGACTGTTGCTAATTAGCAGCAAAACAAGCGTTGCAACAGCTCATCAATATGCAGTTTGTTGGCCTGGTTAGCACTCGAGCAACGCGTTCAGCCAAGCACTTTCACAAGCGACGCCCACAGAACGCCCACCAGCAAAGAGCTGCACGCTTTTATGAATGAATGCATTGAATGCTGAAAGTGAAACCAAAATTGGCCGTCACACATAGATGGCGCCACAAGACACACACAAGAAAGCTTCCGTGTGAGTAGCATAAACAACTAGGCGCTGTTTAGCTGCCTACCTGATAAGCGCTCTAAATGCTACATATCTTATCGCCAATTAGCAGAGTGATGAGTACTATAAGAATTCAGATTCTTTTCTAACCAGTTGGGTCGGGAACGTGCACTCCAAATGGTCGACAAATTGAAACTGGACATTGCGTACGCGTTGAGAAATTCCACTTATCGATTTTGTTTAGCTTGAGTGGACGAAGGTCAATAGAAAATGCTTTGGAATTTGTTATGGCTTGCGATACTGTGGCTGCTATATGAGGCAAGAAAGCCTCGACGCATACTGCAGCGGCTATGCGGCGCAAGTGAGTGGCAGTGAGAGTGAAGACATTAGCTTAGATATATATATATATATATATATATATATATATTCTTGAACTATAGGAGGATTTGCTTACAAGTAAAAATTAGCTTAGTTTTAGTTCTAATAAGCGTGTAGTGAAGACCTTACCGAAGTAGTTTCTCATTGATTGTGTTTCTTATTTGTTGTAAGCTAAGACATGAAAGAAGTGACGTTATTTGAAGCACATTGTGCCTATAATCGATGTCTAATAATAGTAATTATAAGCCAAACAAATGAAAATAGTTTTTAGTTTTAATAAATGTGATTTTTAATTGAAATACGAAATTACAAAAATTGCTCGAAGCGAAACTAATGCGCCCGCATAGAAGGCAAGTCAAGGCTTTCAAATTGCTGTTGACTCGCGTGCATAGTTCGTTATCTAAATTAAGCGAAATTAGTTATTGTATGACGTAATTAAACATAAATATGGCCAGCGTGTCATACAAAAAGCAAACAGACGGATATATTCTGGGAACTGCGCTTGGGTGCTGCGGTTGCTGCTGCGGCTCCGATTACCAAAAAGCTGAAACGTGTTTTAGAGCAGCGGCAGGTGTGGCTCAGGGACTACCAAATACCAAATACCAAATGCCTGGCGAGCACAAAAACTAAGCCAGACGCAGACACAAAGATGCTGTGTGTGTGTGTGTGTCTGTGTTGCCAATACCAAGAATCAGAAGCAGACGAACTCAGGCAGACGTGACCTTGATAGTGACATTTAGATACACGTTGTCTGCATTTAAGATACATTTTTTTATGCGCTCATCCGGTCGTTTATCTCATTCCATCTCTCGCTCTCTTTGTTTGGTTCTGCAGCTCGTCAATTGCCAGGCAGTAATAATGGCACCCCGAGCTCCACGTTAACCAGGTCGGTGCGCAGCTGCAACTGCTGTCCGTATGGCTACCACATCGATCTGGATTTTGTGCGCTATTGCGAGGCGCTGGCCAATGCCAAGCCCAGCGAGGAGGAGCTGCAGCGACGCGATCGTCGGCGCTCGCGCAAGTCTATGGAGTTTATGCTGGGCTTTGAGAGTCTCTTTGGCAGCGATTGGCAGGCGGAAAGTCGTGTGCAGCCCAAGCTAATAGAGGTGAGTCGAATTTTGGTGGCCTTTGATCTGTGGCAACATCAAAGTGAGGCGCATTTCGCACTTGATTAACTTGTCACCTGTTTACTTTTCACAGGCCGCACATGAAAGCGAACCAGATTCGCCTCGCCCCGCTGCCGGGCAGTCGCCCAGCTATCGGCCGCGCTCCTCGTCCGTGCCGCGCTTCACCTACAGCAACAGTTTGGCACCGCGCGCCGAGTCGCCCTATGGCACAGCCTCCTCCACCTGCTCCTCGCTGCGCGGCGGCGTCGAGAGCGATGCGGGCGTCTATCAGTCGCCGAGGAGCCAGAGCAATCACAGCTACGGGCATGCTCGTCCGGCCATTAGTCCGCCGGAGACTCGCGCCTTTCTCCACGAGGCACTCGACGAAGTCTGCAGCGATTTCGAACGAACTCTGGAACGCGCCTCGACCAAGCGGCGTAAGGCGGGAGCCTACAGCTATGCCAACGGTGGATCGCACTCCATGGATCGCAACAATAACAGTCTAAGTCTGAGCCTCAGCCTCAACAACGGCTACGGCTCCAAAGAGGCCAAGGAACGTCGCATGGGCCACAGCACGTGGGATCGTTACTTTGATGTCGCAGGTGAGTGAATGTCTCGAAATAGACGAGGAAATACTCTTGGCTGCTCGCTTCGCTCTATTCGGTTCCAATGCCGCATGATTCATAGTCGGCAGACGACTTCACTTCTATCTCTGAGATACTTTTGCTTTTTATATCGCTTTGCCTTTGCTTTTGCTTTTCTTAGCAATTAGCAACGCCGCCGCGCATGTGACACTTAAACGCATGAAAGTGTGAAAAATTTTGAACAACTGTTGGTAGCTGTCGAAATCCTGCACAATGGAGCGAAAATAATGAATATATGTATTCACAAAACAGCATTCGGTGGCTGTGCAATAAATTCAATTACAATTTTCTTAAATTGCACTTGCAAAAACCTAAGCTGAAATGCAACAAAAAATTAACTACAATTTTAGTTAATTATTTTGGTTAATTACTAGCGTGCTTCTGGCCCTAAATTTAAAAATTTCTAAATTTTAAAATTTTATCAATGATTTTTTATCACTCAATGAGGCTTTTTTTAAATTATCAATTTCCAATTATTTTATATTAAAATATTAATTAATATTTTAATAATAGTCTTGCTAAGCGAATAAGAAAAGAAAGTAGATTTGTTCTGTACTAAAATTTGGCATAGAATATTATAGACAAAATATTTTTCAAGAATTAAAATTATTACAATTTTCATTACTACTCCACATTTAATTTTTATCAATTAAATTTATGTCTTTTGTAGTCCAAAAGATTATTGTGAGATTCTTATATGAGCAATACCTAAATTTAAGATTAGTAAAAATATTTAAAAATTATAAAAATTGAATATTCTATATATATTTTTAGGGGCATATTAATCTCATATTAAAAACAAAATATAAGAAAATATTTAGTCATTTCTTCTTGCTATAAACTGCAATAAATGCAGAAGCCAAATCACAAATAAGAATTTATTAACAGCATAATTTCACTGCAATTTATGCTCTCAGCTAATTTGGGTAAAGTTTCTCTTATAGCAATTCCAACCCATGGTACACACGCAAGTTAAAACTGCGCTGCATAACGCATGAAGCTGTCAACTCGACACGCAAACTGCTTAGATCAAAGCAATATTTAAATGTAGTTCCAAAAGCGAGCTGCCAAGGCATAATTCAATTTTATTTTGCGTCAGACCGCCGCCCAGAAAAGTGTCTTGGTCCAATCAAGGGGCATTAAAGCGGCGAGTTAGCTGCAGGTACTCTATGCCACATACAGACACAATCGCTTTGCATCTTTGGCATTTCGAAGTCAATTGGAGTTTACAGCCAACTTCAAGGCGATTCGAGGCGTTCGTATCTTAAATCAATTTCGAAATGCGCATTTGGCGCTCAATTTGCATGCAAATGCTGCTAATGCTGTTGTTGCTTTTTTCGTTGTTTTATGTTTTTTTTTTTAAGCTGCTAGCTCGTTTTTCTTGTATTTGTTTATGCCATAAATTTGCCATAAAGTGTGCAAAACGCAATGCAAGAAATTCAGCCAAATAAACAAATCAAATTGTCGCTTTTCGCTCGCGGACATTTCAGCTGGGCCAGGAGCATGGAGTTGACATTGATTAATGATAACTGCCGTATGAATATATATTTGTATATACATGCGCGATATATGAGCACCTTAATGCCGTTTGCCTAGGCTTGTTATAAATGGCTTATAAATTGCGTTTAATCGAATACGTGTTGCCAAAATAATGCTTGCCAAAAAATCTTGACAATTGACGCCGAGCTGAGAGACGAGCCCAGCGAACTATCTAATAATACCCAAATGCCAGAATGTTAAAATGCGATATCATATACGCTAACCTTGAGGCCTAAAAGCCAGTCTAGACAAGCACATCGAAAACAATTCAATATCTGCAGCGTTAGATACAAAATGCCCTCACGTAAGCAAAAATATAGATTATATATATCTTACAATTGTGCGTTATATAGGTAAAGTTCGTTATGAAACTTAAATGAAATGCTCTAAAATTGATCATTAAAGTTTATTCAAATTTAATATTAAAATAAAAATATAGTTCAAAATTAAAAAAAAATAAATTAAATGTAAGTAACTGTTTAGTGAATTATTTTTTTAATTCTTTATTTTTATTGTAATTTAATATTAATATTTTAAAGGGCGTAGCACAAATTTTTTTATTTAATATTTTAAATTAAAATTTTACTAAATAAATTATCAATAACTTATAAATAAATTATCAATAAATAATAATCAATAATTTTATTTTTAATATTATTTTATATAAATACTTTAAATAGTAAAATAAATTGTATTTATATTTTCAATATTAAATACAAATAATACAACTTTGATTTACTATTCAAAATATTCATATTAAAATAAAATAATAATAAAATATTATGAGTTAAATAAATAATTTATATTTATTTAATATATATTGATATAGTAATGTGACATTTAATTTTTGTTTTTTTTTTTTTGCAATTTACTTTTTTAATGTTGGTTTTACCTCTTAATTGCAATGGATGAGCAGCAGCCTTTTCAAACAGAAAACATTAGATCAGATATTTTTTTTTAATTGCTGTTTTTATTTGCAAGTCAAAAGTATATAATATTGACTCAATCTAAATATTACACATTTTCGTTTAATCTTGATATTTTTCTTCTATATTTAGTTTAATTTTATAACATATTTTAAATTTATAATTTATTGCGTATAAATTGATCGATTGGCCACATGCAAAGCTACGCTGATCGATTGACTGCACTACAAATTCGTGGGGCGTTTCTACGTTGAAACCACAGAGCATAATATGTCGTGTCTATGCGAGGCAAATATTGAATACGAATTGATAGGGAAATAGGTAAATAAAACGTGTTAATATTTGCCTGTAAAACGACGAGGCAAACTAAAGAGAAGGCCCACCTTGAAACGCACTAGCCCCCAGTCAACTCATGGTAAATCTAAATATGTATCTCTATATATACATATATATGTTCAGTATATAGATTGCCAAATGCTTTGGCGTCATCATAATAATCAGCACTATCATTTAATAATGTGCAGTTAGCTTATCTGCAAACTGTTGTCTAGTTTGTCTTCTTTTTTACTATTTGTTGCTGTTGTGTTATTTTGTTGCTATTTTCAGATTGTTCAATTTTTATTTGCTGAGCGTGCGACGACCTTATCGCTGAGTTCTCTTTCTGTGCTCTCGACGAGCTCGCTGTTTTCCTTTTTGTTAGTAATAAATAACAATTTTTGTTTTTGTGCTGTGCTGTGCTGCTGTGCCATAAGAGCTGTTAAATAATAACAAAATAAAATGCTGCTGCTAAATGAATTTGTTGGTTTTTCGCTGCGGCCAGCAGCTCGAAAATCTCAACGCAGTTTGTCGACGACTTTCGAACGAAAAACATAAAAAAAAGATGTGTCTAGCAGCGAAATAAAAAGCAATTAAACCAGCGAAATGATCTAAACGAATAATTTAATTAAAGCGATATGTAATTTAATTAGAATATGCAAAATAACTACAATAAAAAGTAATTAAAATTAAATCAATTAACAAATAATCAGCGACAGACATAAAAGCAGAAAACACAGACCGAGCATCGACAAACGGCCGAAGACATAACGAACTTTATTTGATTTAGAAAGCGGGAACTGATAATAATAATTAATATTGTTTTATAAATGAACCATTCGAACTGCAGTAAATAATAAATAAATTCTAAATTTAAACTCAAAAGGATGTCAAGACACACACGTGTTTGAAAAATCGACCAGAGATCAAAGCAGAATAAAATAAATATGAAAATACAACACGATTTTGCGTAGGAGTTACGTGAAAATATATATATATAAAAATAACTCACTCGAAGAAATTACAAAAAATAAAATCAAAGAAACAATTCTAAAAAAAATATAGAAAAAAAGAAAATTAAATTATAAAAAAAATACATGACTAAATTCGATAAACCGTTTTTTATATTTGCAATGCCAATGTTAACGATTTTAAGGCGAATCAAATATGAATTCATGCAGAGTGAGTGCTGGCAGTGTGCACAGAATTTTCTATGGCACTGTGAATGTGCTTGATAGCTGAGAAATCAAATGAAATTATTGCCGCAATGCTTCAATTAACAGCGCAAAAACAACAACACAAACCAACCAAGTCGCCAATAAAATTGTTAATAAATTACATTTTATTTTGTATTTTATCGCATTAACACAAAGTGCAATGGCTGCCGCCTTGACTGTTGAATGTGCTCTTAATTACGAAGCTGCTTTGCTCCAACTAATTGTGCTATTAACAAACTAAAATCAAAGTCAACAAACAACAGCAACAATGTTTGCCACCGCCAGCGATACAGTGCGGAACAAGGAGACGACGCGAAAGGGCAAAATGAAGTCGGCCCCAAGGCGAAGTCCATTGAAAACCTGGTGGAACGATTGTAGGTTGCTTAGCCACAGGCGAGATACAAATTTATGTATATATAGATATTTATGTTTAGTTTGACATTTGCTGGCCTAATGGGCGTCTTTTCGATTTTCATTTTGCTAATTTTCTGGGCCATCAAAACTGATTAATTATGGCCCGGTCAATGCTACCAAACACGCGACTTGCGCCCCTTTCGGCCAGCCTTGCCTTGACCATCTTTCTCTTGGCAACGACAGCGCACAAGAAATAGAAAACTCTGCGTTTATTTTTGTTTTCTTTTTTTAACTTTAGCCAGAGTTCAGTGCTCAGCAGTCGCTCGCTTAGTGCGTATAGAAATTAAGTAATAGCAGCAAATGGAGCAGCGACAATAGCGAAGTGGGAAAATAAAAATTCTTGGCAGCCGGCTGGGCGATGAGTAACAACTGTCGAAAGACAGTGCATCAAAAAACTATGCGTACACGCAGTGAGCGTAATCTTATTGAGACTTATCTACTAATGAATGCTCAAGGTATATATGTAGCTATGTTTACATTTCTGAGAGCTGTAAAAGGTGGGGACTTAAGCCAAATAGTTGCCAAAATGTTAGTTGTTCTTGCTGATAAGATCAGGAGATATGTACTGAACTTTATATGTAGAAGTAGATTAGCTTTAATCATTTTGCAGATCAGCTTTGTTAAGCTGCTGAATCATGAAGGATGGCAAAAGCTTTGGTTATCGATCATATATCGAATTAGTAATAAATCGATAACTTATGAATTATGCATGCGTGAATTTGAAAGTTTGATTATGGAATTTAAATGAATTCATTTACAAGGTTGCCAGCATACGCTTCCAATTTGATCAGTAAATCGATAACAAATTTTGAAAAAATTATCGATATGTTCATTTTGAATTATAGAATTAGTAATGAATCTAAGAGGTTTAAACTTTTACTCTTGCTTGAATTAGGCACTATTCATGATCAAATAGTAGCTTAATCGGTAGTATATCGATCAAATATTATGATCAAGTCTTATAAGTTGCTCAGCAGAGAAGACTGAGCAAAACTTAAAGACTTGAAGATCTACAGTTAATTATTGTTTGCATTTTTTACTCTTAAGAAGATCAACCGCTGTTAAAGATCGATTAAATATCAAGCAATCTTTTATGATAAATCGATAACTAGAATTCATTGTTTGAGTTCTAAGTAAAACTGAAATTTCTAATTTATGAACAGATGTACATAGGAAAATCGATAATCTGCCAAGAATTTAAGCAAGAAATGGAATCGTAGAAGTCGAAACACTTACAGCACCTAAACCCAGCACGTTGTGCATTTGTCGCCATTCATGGCCAGATCGTAGATATATGAACTACTTGTCGATAAGCATGTGCCACTATCAGTTGGAATGGAAGCTCTCAAGTCGGGCACGGCCTGAGTCAGGCGAAAACACTGTCTCTTATATAAACAAATGAGTGCAATAAATTGTCTGTATGTAGGTAAAATCAATATTGAATAATAACAGCGACAACAGTCGGCGCCCCGACTTATCAGCAGTCGGACGGACAGACGCACACAAAGGACAGAGTCGAGCGAGTCTCTTTTGGCTCTTGGCTCTTGGCTTTTGGCTTTTGGCTTCTGTCTTTTGGCATTTACACTTAGTTTCTAGTATATTTATTTGTTTATTTATTTCGCCTCTTTTGTGTGCAAATTATGCGCACTGTGGCACAGTTTCGATAGATATGCATATTAACATCGTTTTATCACTAATATTAAAATATTAAATTGTCAAGCGATTGAGCGTTGCGCGGCGTCGCGCTGTCAGTAGCCAACTGCCAGCGCCTATGGCAAGTCTGCAAATTAAAATTGTTTTGAGCCAATCCAGAGATAGAGCAAGTAACCAGCCGGAGAGTGAGAGCAAAGTGAAATTTTGTTTAATATTTTATTATGTTTTTTTTTTTGTAGACTCCTGCATGGCAGGCAATCGCTCGCCGCGTTCGAGCACTCCGCATCTGTTCCAGCGCTCGAACACGCTGCCGCTGCAGCAGCGTCCCAGTCCCGCCGAGGTGCAGTACGAGAGCTATGTGCTGGCCACGGTGGCAGCCAATGCCAAGTCGCCGGTTGAGCAGCTGGAGCAGGCCAAGGTCACGCCGCCGCCACCGCCGCCGCGTCGCCACCACTTGACGGCCACGCCCAAAGCCACGTCCAAGCACACGAATGGCCATGACAGCGGCAGCCCGCTGCAGTCGCCCTCGAGCTCCGAGGCTGGACAGACCACGGCGGACGCGCAGGCACTGTGCCAGATACGCGAGCAAATGGCGCTGAGCCTAAAGCGTCTCAAAGACTTGGAAGAACAGGTCAAGGTCATACCCGACATGGAGGTGAGTCCAGCCCAATTCCAGCTCAATAAATCCGAATAAAATTCTTTTGTTCTCCTGCAGCTGGAGCTCAATTCGCTGCGCACTGAGAAGCAGCGCCTGCAGCGGCGCAACGAGGAGCTGCTGCGCAGCCAGCGGCAGACGCCCTCGCCGCCCAGTCCGGGCCTGAAGAACGGCTCACCCGTGCAGTTCACGCCGCAGCGCATCAGCCCCGTCTCGCTGGAGAGCCTGGGCGCGCGCATGCGCAGCAGCTCCTCGCCGAGCATTATACGACGCGATGTGGCCACGCAGGCGGCCAGCAAAGTGGCAGCCACACGCGACGTGGCCGTTGGCGCCCAGTTGAGCGTGCGGCATGTGGGCACGCAGCAAGCCGAGGCGATCTACTCGCAGTCGGAGCTGCAGCACAAGATCGAGCTGGCGGTCAGCGAGCGCAAGCAGCAGCGACTCAGGCAGCTCATCTCGGTGGGCACTCAGATGTATGTGCCGCAGCGGGAGCAGCGCGAGAAGGGCGTGCAGACGGTGCCGGAGCGGCCGGTGCTCAAGCACAATGTGAGCATCAGTGCCAAGCCCACGACCAGGGAGAGTTTCACCAGCTGCCAGCCGGAAATGCGCAGCGTGGGCAGCTCCGAGCATCGCGTCACGGATGTGCTCTGCGAGAAGTGCGCCATTAGCAAGCGCAGCGTCAGCGTCGGCTGCGGCACAGATGCGCCGCTGGAGAAGCCGAAGCCCGCGGCCCAGCTGCTGCCCGGACGCAGCAACACCTTCAGCCTCGGCGAGCACGAGCAGCTGGCCATCAAGCGCAAGACCGTTGCCTCTCAGACGCTGCTGACCCCGGTGCACACCTCGTCCAGTCAGACCACAGCCACCACTGTGCGCTCCACTGGCGCCCAGGTCATGCCGGAGCAGCAACAGATGGCGACACAGTGCACGCGCGTGGAGTCGACTAGCCGGCAAACGGATACGAATGGACTGCAGCGGCTCACGCGCAGCGCCCTCAAGGCCGAGCAGCTGATGGCGCCGCAGACGCGACCGTCCACATGCCACACCGGCAGCAATACCGAGCCGCCGCCGCAGCCAGTGCCTAAGCCCGAGCGCAGCACTGTCCACTCCGCCTGCAATACGGAGCAGGTGCGCAAGCGAGACGTTGGTTGTGGCGACATCGTCAAGCCGCACATCTCGATTGCCTGTGCCGCCAACTACTGTGATTCCTGCAAGGAGGCCATCCAGGTGCTGGCCAAGGATTTCTCGAAGGCAGAGACCAGCGAGCTGCCAGCTGCTACAGCTACACCCACGATGCGGCGCTCCACCTCAGCCGATTCGCGCATACCGCGCCCCAAACATCTCACTAGTCCCAGCCCAGTGCGCCGGCAGTTCCAGAGGCAAAACACTTACACGCTGCCAGCTGCCGCAGGAGCGTCAGCGGCTCCAAAGAGTCCAAAGGCGGAACGAAAGGCACTTTTGAGGTGAGTATTGCGAATTTGTTCCACTGTACCTCAGAAGTAGCCGAATTGTTTAAATATTTAATTAGCTTTGTTCTACTTGAGCAGCTTTTGTCGCTTACGCTTTTCATTTGCGCCACTGTAATAACAAAAGCTTGCAGCGCAAGCTTTTAGTCAAGTCACAAACCAAAGCGCATGTCATGCGCACTGGATGCAACTCCAATTCGGAGTCCGAATTTTCGATGTATGCCAACCTGGTCGCATTGACCTTCAGGCTCAGTTTTCGTTTTTGCTTTGGCGCGTTTGCAGCTTCGCATCGTTTATCGACTTTTTTGTTTATTGTTTGGCTTTTCGTTTGCCCATGGTGTTCTCAATGTTCTCCGGCCTGAGCAGCTTCACCTGCTACCCGCTGGTGGTCAGCGGCTGCTCCGTGCTGCTGTTGACGTGCGTTGCACTTAGCTCCGATTGGTAAACCAATTCACTGAGTCCATTTCGTTTGCTCCCACAGCTCGCTGCAGGAGAAGCCGCCGAGTGCTGCGCTTGATGCGTCGCCGGAGGCGCAGAGCTTTATCAAACAGCCGTCCAGCAAATCAAGCGCCACCTCCAAGGATCTGGACCTGACGCAGCTGGGCGACGGTGAGCTGATTGTGCGCGAGGAGAAGCGTGTCAGCATTAGCTGGTCGCGCGATGCCTCACCAGCCCCGCTGATGACATCTTCGGCGACGACGACCAGCACCAAGTCCGCCTCGCCGGAGCACGCGCTCACCGCTTCCAGTGACTCCGCAGTGGAGCGCGAGATATCGCAGGGAGCGCGTAAGAAGTCCAGTACGCCGCTCAAGTCTAGTCAGAGCGAGGGCTCCCAGGTGACCGTCATCGAGCGGCAGACAGATGTGGAGCCAAGCACAAAGGAGGAGCGTCCCCCAACCAAGGCACAGCTGCATCAGCTGGCCCAGGCGCCAGCAGAGCCCAGGCAAAAGTAAGTTTTTGCCGCCAAACTTGAGATTTGTTATTTCATTAAATTGGCTGCTCACCCACAGGTCGGAGTTGGCCAAGGAGCTGAAGGAGGCGCTCAAAGCTATCAGTGACTCGCTGCTCAAGAAACTGGGCTCCAGGCCAATCACTTCCTTCAGCCTGAAGGCTTCCAAGGCCACTATCGGAGACCATTGGTTCCGCATATCCAGCACGGCGACATCCAATCCCCACGAAGTTGAGGACTATTTGGACTACTTTGAATCTCTGTCGGTGCCACTGCTCGAGTACTGTGTCAACCTCTCCGATAGCAATGTGAGTGCGCTGGCCTTCGGCTCTGTGGGGCAAATTTTAATGGGAATTTCCTATGCTTTCAGGGCAACACGGCTATGCACTATGCGGTCTCGCATGGCAACTTTGACGTTGTGTCCATACTGCTGGATTCCAAGGTTTGCAATGTAAACCAAATGAATAACGCCGGATACACGTGCGTCATGCTCGTTTCGTTGGCCAAGCTGAAGCAAGCGGCGCATCGGACAGTCGTGGAGCGACTGTTTCAGATGGCCGATGTCAACATACGAGCCAAAAAGGTGGGTAGAGCCGCTCTGAGTAGTTCTATTGACCTCACTCTCGATCCTTTGCCCTCTTGCAGCACTGCCAAACCGCATTGATGCTAGCCGTGTCGCATGGCAACGGCGACATGGTGGAGATGCTGCTCGAAGCCGGCGCCGATATCAATATACAGGATGAGGATGGCAGCACGGCGCTGATGTGCGCCGCCGAGCACGGCCGTGTGGACATTGTGAAGCATTTGCTGTCGCAGCAGGAGTGCGACTCACTAATCCAGGATGTGGTCAGTATTTAATTTGTCTCTGAGGCAAGCTCTTTGTAAGCCAAACTCTTCCTTATCTCGCTTGCAGGATGGCAGCACCGCCTTCAAGATCGCCTGGCAGGCCGGACATCGCGACGTGGGCTTGCTGCTGTACGTGCACGAGCAGATGCTGCGCAGCAAGCTGCCCAATCGCGGCGAGCCCATACGCAAGTCGCTGCCATTGCCCGCGCGCCCCAAGCCGCCCAAGTGAGGCGCCAACGGAGACGGCTGCCCGGCAGCCATTTTGTATTAGCGGCCAAAAAGTCGAACAAACCTTAGTGGTAAGATTTTGAATTAGCATTTCGTAGCGCTGCCTAGGGAAAATAGCTAAAGCATTCCATATCAGTCAAGCTTAACTGTAAACTGTAAAAAAAAAAAAACAGCAATTGTTCATAATCTAAAACACAAACAAAAGGCGCAAACAATTCTCTTTAAGTTGTCTTTAATTTATTCTCTTATTAATTTCTAATGTCTAAAGAGCTCACAACCTAACATAAATTGTGCAAGAAATTTATAATTAAATCTAAGTTTTATAATTATGCCACTAAAATCAAAATGGAAAATTGTCAGAAACTTAATTATTAATTAATTAATTATACAATAATTTACTACTTCTTTTAAGCCACTAAGAAAATACTAAAAATACTGCATTAACCTGGGCTACACCTGTAGCAGCCATAAAGCAACCATATCAGCAAACGACAATGCAAAAAGCGACAAAAAAATAACAAAAAAAAAATAAAACAATTGTAAACAATAAATTAAAATGTAATTAAAGTATTTTTGCAGAGCTACTTACAATAAAATTAAAATACATTTAAAAATGTGCTTGATAAATATTTGAAAATATTTATGGGAGTTTCAGTTACCCAAGCGTAGCCACAGTTTAGTCAAAAGTATACGTCTATTCAAACTTAATGCGGCATATTGTATTTAATAGCATATATATATATATATATATATATATATATATATATATATGTATGTGTATGTGTATGTTTATGTATTCATTTTACGATCAACTACTTTAGATCATTTTAAATAAATAAAATTTACGTTTTAGTTTGTGCCATTTTCTTAATGGAAAATTATTTTTATTTGGATTTTATTTAAGGGGGAATTCGAATTGTAATTTTATTTTCATTTTTCTTCGCTTTGTTATTGGTTTTTATTATTGTTATTATTATTATTTTATTTCATTATCATTTTTTATATATTTTTAATTGTATTTATTATTTGAACATTCACTTAAATATATTTTCATGTTTTCTGAATTATTTTTATTCAATTATTTTTATTAATATAATTTTAAACATTTTTAATTTTATTTCTTTTTTAGATATTCAGTTGAAAATATTTTCATATTAGTTTAAATTTGTTAAAAATATTTATTTTTTATATAAATAACTTTTGATTTATTTTTTTATTTAATTTTTTCAATATATTTGTTATGATATATTAATTTCTCAATTGTTTTAATTAATTTATTTTTGTTAATATAATTTTATAAATTGTTCCGTTTATTTATTTTTTAAAATATTCACTTTAATAGATTTTCTTGTTTCAAAATTGTTATAAATACTTAAGCATTTCTTAATACGTTTTTATTTCCATATTTCTTGACGTTTAATCTTAACTATTTATTTGTATATTCATTATAAAATATTTATATATTTCATTAATTTTTCATTTCGTTTTAGCAACTTTTTTAATATCATTTATCATTTGATTTCTATAATTTATTATAACTGTCTTTTCACTCTTAACTATTTTTATTCAATCATTTTTTTGTAATTTTTCTTATTCTTTTTTGAGGGTAACTTAGAGTTTCGTAACTCAAGCAAAACTTTATTCACATTTTAAATTCATTATTCGAGGACCACGCGCTCGCTTAGACCGCACGCTCCTCCAGGCCGGGCTCGACCACACCCAGAGGCGTTAGCTGCAGCGCGACGCCGTCGTCCAGGCTGACCAAAGGTCTTTTCGAGTTCAAAGTGAACTCGAACTCCAGCAGCAGCACAGCCAGTGCCAGCCGCAGCTGCAGCTGCGCGAACTGCATGCCAATGCAGTTGCGTACGCCGGAGCCGAAGCCGAACCATGTGCTCTGCTCCTTGAACGAGTCTCGGGGACTGCCCCAGCGCTCGGGCTTAAACCGGTCTGGCTCCGGGTAGTACTCGGGATCGTTGTGTATGGCGTGCGTGGGTATGATCACGAACAGCTCCTTGACTAGCGTATATTTGATATGATCCGGCACCACGTAGTCGTTGAGGCAGCGACGCATTATGTAGGGCGTGATGGGATGCATGCGTAATGTTTCGAGTATGACTTGCCCCATGAGTGTTAGGGATTGCACACACTCGTAGCTCAGGCTGTTTTGATGCCCGTCCATGGCCTGCTTCAGTTCCTGGCGCAACTGGGATTGCACCTCAGGGTTGAGGGCCAGCTCGTAGAGAGCGAAGGACAGAGTGTTGGCGGTTTGCTCGTAGCCAGCCTTGAGGAACAGAAATGCATGGGCTGCCAGCTCGTGTTGCAGATGCGCCTTCAGCTCCTTGTCAGCCTCATACTCGTGCGTGTTTAGCTCCATCGCTTTGATATCCAGCAGCAGCTGGAGGTAGTCCTGGCGCCGCACACCCGATGCCTCCCGCTGCGCCACAATGTCCTCGAGCAGGCTCAGAAAGTAGTGCTCGGCCGGCTTGGGGGTTAGACGCATGCGCAGCTTGCGGCAGAAGTTGGGAAAGCGTACCATCATCAGATTCATCAGATATCCATGCTTGCGAGTGCTCAGCGCCAGCTCCGTCATCTGCTCGAACTCGTCCAAGGAATACTTCTGGCGCTGCTCGGCATTCACGCCGAACACACAGCTGGCCAGGGCGGAGAGCACATAGCGTCGCATGAGCTTCTGTATGTGAAGCGTGGAGTGTGGCTGCTTCATCAGCGTGGTGCTGACAGTGAGCAGGAGCTGCTCGGCCTCCTCGTACAGGCTGTCATAGAGCCAGGCCATGCGGTCCCGCTCGAAGCTGGGCTCCAGCTTCTGGCGCATCTCCTTCCATTTGTTGCCGCGCAATCCATACAAATCGCCCGACAGCGGGTCCGTCTTCTGGTTGCAGTAAATGCCGCGATCATTGAAATTCCAGAAATCCTTGATCATGATCTGCCGTATCAGCTCGCGATCCAGCACTAGAGCGCGCGGCTGGAGCAGCGCATAGAAGCCGCAGAAGGGTCCGCTGCCCTTGAACTTGTTGTAGATGCTCGTGTAGTGAGCGGTCTTCATGGCGTCGGTGCTGAGCGACTGCGTGACGAGCTGCTTGATGATGGGCCATAGCTTCTTGGGCCTCTCGTGCGGTACGTCCAGATATCGCCAGTAGTCGCGCTGATAGCGCGCGGCCATGAACAGCAGTAGCAGCAGAGCGAGCACGATTAGGCCTAATATCATGAATATTATCCACATGTTATTCATGCTGATTTGTTATGAGTTGTACGGCAATTAGCAATCCGCAAATACATATAGACGCGCAATGTATATAAATAAACATATACATATATATATATATATAAATACTAAACGCAATATCACAATTTTGGCCAGTGACTCTTTCGGGGGGCCGGAAGCCGTAGCCGTCAATGATCTAATGCGAGTCGCGGACGCGTTCTCAGCGACAAGTTAAATCTGTTACGTTCATTACCAAAGCGCGCTGTTCGACTGAGTGCAATTGAGTAAAACATATTTACGATACGCTCCGCGCCATTGCGAGCTTTTCAATTCAGTTGGGTGCTTGGGGGGGGGTGGCCTGGAGTGCGCTACACTAGAGCCAATGCTGCTTATGGCTTGGCTTGACTTGGCTTAAACACGCTTCGAGTGGGCGTTCGAGTGAGGCCAGCAGAGTCGCAGCGTGACTAAGTCTGAGTGTAGGATGAATCCATGATTCGAGTATTAAAGCGCACAAATAATCCGGCACGAGAGCTCGAGTAATTGGAGTTGCCAGAGAGAGAATTTCTCGCAGTGTAGGGCACTTCATCAGTCAGCGCGACAGAACAGACAGAAATCAATTTAAAGTTCATTTTCGTTTGTTATCAGTTGCTACACCTTTATATTGTTGCTTTTGTTGTTGCCTTTGGCGTAGATAAAAGAGCAGTTGTTGCCTTTGAAAATGTTTATTGTATTCGGTTTGAGGTGGGGTTATCTCAATTAAAAGCCGAGCAATAAACTAATTGCACTGAGCCAAACAACTATTTGCCCAATGAGCAAGAGCAAACAAATGCGAAATGCTCCTTATCGGCTCAGAACGTGTCAATTCCTATAATTACTTTACTCGTCAGCCGTCGTCAAAGGGCTCACTTGCCAAATCAAGCAGCCTCTCAATGCCTTTTAGCCGCATTTCATAAGTTTGCATTCAGCCTGAATTCATGTGAGCGAATTTATTCGAGTGCTCTTCAAAAACTACTCTCAGCAAGCTGCTCTCCATGTACTTGTTCAGATGACCTGCTGAATTTAACATCCAATTAGCGCGTTAATGCCACAACAACAACAAGTACTTGGCTGCCGTTGATCGACTGTGAGATGCCCTGAATGCAGCTTCTTGATAACTCGAGTAAAGAGATAAAAATAAATTCTATACAATTATGTCTAAGCTTTGAGTTGGTTAAGGTAACTTGATTTGATGAGCAAAAGAGTTCCTAGTTCCTTCTGCCTTTTGCAGAGTGTACTATATTTTATTTGCTATGCGTATTCATTTGCAATGCGCACGTTTTTACTAAAAATTCCCATAGATATCGCAAATAAAAATAAACAATAGCAGCTTTTTTTTAGCTCATTTACTGTCATTATTGTTGTTATCCGCACTTGGAATCTAATCAAATGTCAAACTTAAATGCGACAAAAGGTAAATGACAGCGTTGCCGGATCATTGTAGGTAAATAAAATAATTGTACGCGTAAATAAGTTAACAAATAACACAGTAAGCCAAAAGCTTTGCCTCAAATGGCAAAATTATCGCAGCGGCTCTCAGGGGCTACGCAATATTTAAACCGAATCGCTTAAAAAAGCTGCCATTGCCTGACTGAGATTGTTTATAGGAGTTTGACATGCATTGGGAGTAATCAGCAGCATCATATATAAGAAAACGTTTATATCTCTGCTGATAAGAAAACATTTTGGTATCTCGATCAGTGCACTTAACATTGGCTTCAATTAAGATTCATTAAATCTTTTTTAAGTATTCAAATTTTAACATTTTCTATATGAAAGATTCCTTGTAATTCATGTAGAAATTAAACAAATTTAAGATGCTTGAATTATAAAAGTAAAAGTTATTTTAAAGGCTTGTAAATTATATTTATAAATATTATAGAAATAATAAAGAAATAAATATAAAATTTATTGAGGCACTTTATGATAGAAATTATATAATATTTACTTTTTTAATTTTTTTTTTAGTTTTTAGTTAAATAAAATTTGATCTTACATTTTCAGTACGTTAGCTCTACAATCATCATTAAGTTTGAAAATCAACCAGTAAAAAGATGTAAAAAAAAAAACAAAAAAATTAGTAATTATTAATTTTTTTTTATTAGCTAATATTTAAGTAATTTTAATTGTCATGCGCAGTCCCTTCCCAAACGTATTCAATTAAAGCCCTACTAAAAGTGCGTTCCACCTAACATGAGTTTAAAAGAGCCTTAGCTTCTACTACTTTCCACTAGGTGGCGCTGTTCAATTTTCTATTCTTTTCATAGATAGCTAACTTTACCAATAAAATGTGAAACTAAAAAATAAGAGTAAGCATAGCATTGGTTCGCGTGGCAGTGAGGCAGTACGATAACCAGCAAGTGTGACCGGCAAAAGCTTCATGAGATACCAAAATAAAACTCATTGTGACAATAAAGACAGCGCTTTATAAAGCCATATCGCTCGCAGTTCCTGCCAGTGCTGCGCGAACATTTATTTAAGCTCCAAGACGAGCTGTCTTCGGGTGAGCAGCAGCATTTTGCGATCATCATGGCTGTCGGTACGCTATTGCTTGCTGTGTTAATAGCAGCAGTCGGATATCTCTTCATGCGACTGCGTCGTAATATGCAGTATTGGCAGAATAAGGGCATTTCCTGCGAAGAGCCCCACATTCTAATGGGCAGCATGAAGGGCGTACAGACTGAGCGATCTTTTCTCGAAATTTATATGAAATATTACAACAAGTTCAGGGGAACGGGACCTTTTGCCGGATTCTATTGGTTCCAGCGTCCAGCAGTATTTATCTTGGAGCCTTTCCTGGTCAAACACATTCTGATAAAGGACTTCAATAAATTCTCGGATCGAGGACTCTTTCACAATCCCGACGATGACCCGCTTTCTGGCCAACTTTTCCTATTAGATGGCCCCAAGTGGAAAGCAATGCGGAATAAACTTTCATCCACTTTCACGTCTGGCAAAATGAAGCACATGTTTCATACGGTGGTGAAAATAAGCCACGAGTTCGTCGAGGTCTTTGGGGACATGGCAGACAAGTCTCCGGAAGTTGAGGTCAGGGAGTTAATGGCTCGATTCACTACGGATGTCATCGGCAGTGTTGCCTTTGGCATTGAGTGCTGCAGTCTGAAGGATCCTGAGGCTGAGTTCCGAGTCATGGGTCGTAAGGCTCTAGCGGATCAGCGTCACGGTTCCGTGGGAAACACAATAATGAATAGTTTTCCAAAATTTGCACGACGCATCCACATGAAAATGACACCAGAACACATCGAGAAGTTCTTCATGCGGATTGTAAGAGAAACGGTTGACTTCAGAGAGAAAAACAATGTTCGTCGCAATGACTTCATGGACCAGCTGATTGACCTGAAAAACAATCGACTGATAAAATCTCAGTCTGGAGAAGACACGAGCCTGACAATTGAAGAAGTCACGGCTCAGGCTTTCGTCTTCTTCGCTGCTGGATTTGAAACGTCTTCCACGACCATGGGCTTTGCTCTTTATGAACTGGCTCAGAACGTGGATATTCAGAACCGATTGAGGGAGGAGTGTAAAGAGGTTCTTGCCCAGCACAATGGAGAACTTACCTATGAATGTATTAGAGACATGCAGTATTTGAACCAGGTCATATCGGGTAAGCGAGAATTGAATTGACTTATAAACTTCGATAACAAATTATATTTCTTTCAGAAACCCTGCGACTTTACACAGTTCTCCCCGTTCTGAATCGAGAATGTCTTGAGGATTTCGTCGTACCAGGCTATCCGAATTATGTAATCAAGAAGGGCATGCCTGTCATCATACCTTCTGCGGCTATGCATCGTGATGAGAAGCTATATCCCGAACCAAATCGCTTCAATCCAGATAACTTTGAGCCGGAGAGAGTCAAGAATCGTGACTCTGTAGAGTGGATTCCGTTTGGAGATGGCCCACGCAATTGCATTGGCATGCGATTTGGTGAAATGCAGGCTCGCATTGGTCTGGCGATGCTTATTGAGAAGTTCAAGTTTTCAGTCTGCGATAGGACAACGATCCCCATTAAATATAGCAAGCAGAGCTTCTTGATAGCCAGCGACTCTGGCATTTATCTAAAAGTGGAGCGAGTTTAGAAGTTGTCATGAAACTTGTATGAATTACCTTTGTCAAGCACTGAGTTGTTTCAATATATCTTCTTTTTATTATTTGTTAGACTTAAGAACTGCTAATTACTGTGAGGGAAGTAGATTTATAATTACAAATCAAATGAAGTGTGACAATAAAAGACTGGGAGAGATATATACAAAAGTTTATAGACATTTGTTTTGAAATTTGTTGAATGTAAACAAAGAAGCTTCTTTAGTTCTTTAATTAGTATAGATAAATTAGCTTCTCAGTCAGTTCAGTCTGTTACTGTTTTTTTTTTTTGTTTTACATTAGGTAATGGATATCTTCCAGTTGATCATTGCAAACTACAGCGCACTTGTGCATGGACCTGTCAACTCACTTGAAATAATTTCACTTATGGAATTATAAATTATTATCGTTTATCAATTAACCCAAGCAAGCTTACGCCGTTAAGTCCCTTTGCAGAGGCATTAGTTCTGGACGTGAATAAATAGATTCGGTTAAATGCAACGTTGCTAGACGTGGCATGAATCGACATTTTAATAGCAGCACTTGGCCGGTTGGTCAATTGGCTTGAATACTACTGCTATGGCTACAAGTGTAATAGACCTTAGTTCGATTATCTTGCCTAAAGCAGACATTTGTTGATAAGTCTTTGCCAATGAATACTCTATAAACTGAACACAACAGGTACAGGTTAGCGACAACATTTTGATAAAAGTAAAATCAGCTTTTGTTTTAATTTTAAAAATAATAATTTTTCTTATCTTATTTATAAAAAATATAAAATTTGTTTATCAAAAAAAAAAAATAAAATAAATAAAAATAAACTAAAACAATCTAAACACCTACTATTTCACCACAATCTTATTTCTTAAGCTGCAACATTTAGTAGCAGCGAGTGCATAGCTTCATTCCACGCAGAGCGAAGTTAATAATAGATACTAAACAATTAATTGAGCTATTCAGATTAAAGGACTCGAAATCTGAATAGCTCTATCTATAATAATTCATTTTTTATTACAGATACGAAGTACAGCAATCAATGCTGCCATTAAATTGGTTTTGCTAGCATGATTCGCATACTAATTAAATAAAATATTTGCATTATATATCAGCAATTACATTTGTGTCACAGCGAATACACTACAGCTAAGCATTAGATTGCAGCCGATAAGTCTGACTAATCGCAGTGGAAAAGCTTCGTTTGCCGGCACTCAAGTTCCAGTATTTTTTGTATTGTCATGCAGACTATGAAAGCTTCGAGCGGCCCTCATACAAATAACGAAAGTCAGTTCAGTTCAGTTCTCAGTATATCGTGAATGTTAGTTTGCGACGGGCACGACCATGGCTATCGGCGTCTTTCTACTCACGGCAGTAGTTGCCCTAGCGGGCTACCTCTTTGTGCTAATGCGTCGCAATCTGCAGCATTGGCAAAATGCGGGCATTCCCTGCGAGGAGCCCAGCATTCTAATGGGCAGCTTGAAGGGCGTGCAAACTCAGCGATCTTTCCTAGAGATTTGGCAGGCTTATTACACTAAGTTCAGGGGAACGGGACCTTTTGCCGGATTCTATTGGTTCCAGCGTCCAGCTGCATTTATCTTGGAGCCTTTCCTGGTCAAACACATTCTGATAAAGGACTTCAATAAATTCACCGATCGAGGCTTCTTCAATAACCCCGAGGATGACCCGCTTTCAGGCCAACTTTTCCTTTTAGATGGCTACAAGTGGAGAGCAATGCGGAATAAACTTTCATCCACTTTCACGTCTGGCAAAATGAAGCACATGTTTCCCACGGTGGTGAAAATAAGCCACGAGTTCGTCGAGGTCTTTGGAGATATGGCAAACAAGTCTCCGGAAGTTGAGGTCAGGGAGTTAATGGCTCGATTCACTACGGATGTCATCGGCAGTGTCGCCTTTGGCATTGAGTGCAGCAGTCTGAAGGATCCCGAGGCTGAGTTCCGAGTTATGGGTCGTAGTGCTCTCATCGATCAGCGTCATGGCTCCCTGGGAATCGCATTGCTCAATAGTTTTCCGAAATTTGCACGACGCATCCACATGAAAATGACACCAGAACACATCGAGAAGTTCTTCATGCGGATTGTAAGAGAAACGGTTGACTTCAGAGAGAAAAACAATGTTCGTCGCAATGACTTCATGGACCAGCTGATTGACCTGAAAAACAATCGACTGATAAAATCTCAGTCTGGAGAAGACACGAGCCTGACAATTGAAGAAATCGCTGCTCAGGCTTTCGTCTTCTTCGCTGCTGGATTTGAAACGTCTTCGACTACTATGGGCTTTGCCCTTTATGAACTGGCTCAAAACGTGGATATTCAGGACCGATTGAGGAAGGAGTGCAAAGAGGTTCTTGCCCAGCACAATGGAGAACTTACCTATGAATGTATTAGAGACATGCAGTATTTGAACCAGGTCATATCGGGTAAGCGAGACAGTGAATTGACTTATAAACTTCGATAACAAATTATATTTCTTTCAGAAACCCTGCGACTTTACACAGTTCTCCCCGTTCTGAATCGAGAATGTCTTGAGGATTTCGTCGTACCAGGCTATCCAAATTATGTAATCAAGAAGGGCATGCCTGTCATCATACCTTCTGCGGCTATGCATCGTGATGAGAAGCTATATCCCGAACCAAATCGCTTCAATCCAGATAACTTTGAGCCGGAGAGAGTCAAGAATCGTGACTCTGTAGAGTGGATTCCGTTTGGAGATGGCCCACGCAATTGCATTGGCATGCGATTTGGTGAAATGCAGGCTCGCATTGGTCTGGCGATGCTTATTGAGAAGTTCAAGTTTTCAGTCTGCGATAAGACAACGATACCCATTAAATACAATAAGAAGAGCTTCTTGATAGCCAGTGACTCTGGCATTTATCTTAGGGTGGACCGAGTTTGAAACAGAAGTAACGAAGGCTTAATGTATAATAATAACTAAAGGTTTTTTATTGTTGCTGGATAATGTGATGCTTTGCACATGATTATAGTATATTACATATATTATAATTATTTTGTGTATTGTACTCGGTTCAAATTCCAGATACTAATTTACTTGTTTCTGCCTGTTGAATTGTGCGTAGATTCCAATTAAACAAATACAGGTGCAAATAACATATATTATGTCATCTTTCAATTATATATAACTGCGTCATATCATAACAAACATAGTTTTTATTGTTTACAAACATATTTTCATTGTTACAGTGTGTGAGAAAGTATCTGAAGTAGCTGAAGCTCATTTGCAATTTTTTTATAAGCCGAGAGAGCTTTACAAAGCTTTACTCTCGCGCGCTCTCTCTTTCGCGTTTACAAACATATTTTTATAGTGTGTGAGAAAGTATCTGAAATGAAATTTTTGTATGAGCTGAAAGAGCTTTCTCTCTCTTTATCGTTCTCTCCTCTTCTCTCTGATCGGCATAACAAGCTAACGTGTTTATTGCGTCAGTTTAACTATACTATATATAAACATTCATTGTAAACCTGTTTTATTTATTTATTTTTACCTTTTTTTTGTGTTCTTATCAATAAAGAATGAAAAAAGGTTAAATAAAAACAACAGAAATTTGTAAATTGGAAAAATGTATTGATCTTATCAGTAGCAAAATAGCTAACCAGATAACTGGACAATTGGATTTAACTATGCTATATGCCGCCCTCTAGCCCAGTGGCTCTAGCTGCAGCTGGAACTCTTTTGGGTGCAGCAGAAATGAATGATTCTTGAACTGCATGGGCTGCGGGGTGTCGGGCGCCAGGCTGAAGCGAAAGTTACGGATCAAGGTAATCAGACCCACCGCCAGCTTCATGCGCCCGAAACGCATGCCAATGCAGATGCGTGGCCCCTGGCCAAAGGGCAGATAGGCACAGGTGGGTCTCTGCTGTATGGCCTCGTCTGAGAAACGTTCGGGCTGAAACTTCTCCGGCTCCGGATAATATGCCGGATCATGATGTATGGAATAGACGGGTATGATCAACTGCGAACCAGCTGGTATATAGTGCCTGGGATGGTTGGGTACCTCAAAGTGGGCATTGACGCGACGCAAGTGCTCCGAGGCAACGGGATACATGCGAAGCGTTTCTGAGAGATGGAATAAAAAAGGATTTGCTTTATGAAGATTTGGCCTTGCTGCTCTGCTTACCCGACATCACCTGCTCCAGATACTTCATTTTATGCATAGCTTCGTAGGTAAGTTCTCCGTTCTCCCCGTAGTTGGCGATGACTTCCTCAATCTCCTCCCTCAGCTGGCACTGGATGTCCTCATGCCGCGCCAACTCGTACAGGGCGAGGACAAAGGCTGTGGCCGTAGTCTCAAAGCCCGCCACTATAAAGACGTACATCTGGGCGGCGATCTCATTGAGCGTTAGACCCTCAGCTGTGTCGCCTCGATCGTATTTCTGTTTCATCTCCACCATGATATCAACGAGATCGTTGCGCTTGATATTCTGCTCCGCTCTGTGGCTGATGGTGTCTTTGACCAGCTTCATGTAGAAGGCCTCCACGTCGGCTGGCGTACGCTTGATGTGCAACTTGAGGCTGAGCTCGGGAAAGAACAAGCAGAATAGGTAGTCGATGCGCTTCTTCAGCATCGCGTTCAGGCCCATCTGCACAAAGGGAGCCTTTGGATCGCGCAGACTATTGCACTCCAGCCCGAAGATGGCGGTGCCAATGGTGTCCATCGTATAGCAGGCTAGCAGCTTGGTGACCTCCAAGGGCGTAGCGTGCCCGGCACAACGCTCCTGCACCACACTGGACAGTTGTCGAGCAATTCGCAGCACTGATGGAAACATGAGCTTCATCTTCGCGCCACTGAAGATGGGCGTCAAGCGGGGACGCAGATTGTGCCACCTGGGACCGTCAATGGCGAAGAGGTGGGCCGACAGGGGATCATCCTGCTCGTTGTAGAACAGACCTCGACTGTCGAAGTTGCTGAAGTCCTTGATGAAGACCTGCTTCAGTAGTTCCATATCCGTGACGACATACACGGGCTTCATGAAGAAGTACATGCCGAAGAACGGGCCAGAGTCCTTGTACTTGACATAAAGTTTTTGTAGCATCTGCGAGGTGTGCTGGGTGATGCGCCAGCCCCAAATGTTTCCAAACAGCGGCACGGGTGCCTCATGCGCAATGCCGCGACGTTTCAAGTAGGAGTAGCGGTGCCTCATCCATAGATAGAATGCGATCAGGATGCACGCGACGAGCGAAATTGTGGCGCACATAGCACTTGAGACTGGCTGGGACTGGCTGACGGAGCTTGAGCTCTGCGGCATTTATAGCACCTGCCAGTGGCACGTTGAGTAGGTCAGCACCCCCATATAAGCCTAAGGTGTAGTCACAAATGGCACACGAGGCGGCACAGAGTTCATCTAAAATTCTTTGCTCGCAAATCAAGCGAGTTTATGCATGGGCACGGCTAGTTGTGTCAGGAGAAGCTTGACTAGAAAACTTTGAACTTAAGATATCAAAATACGTGAGATACTAAAATAGAGTCTTTATGCTTAATAAAATGATGTAAACAAACAAAAAACAAGCAAAAAGACGTGCTCTAGTCGGGAGTGCACGACTAGGAAATGCCCTGACGGCTAGGCAGAAGATGCGCAGGCAAAGTTGGCTTAGGTAGGAAGTGCTTGACTTGAAAACTGTTAACTTAAGATATCAAATAACATGAAATAGAGTCTTTATGCTTAATAAGATGGTGTAAACAAAAAGACGTGCTCTAGTCGGGAAGGCATAACTAGAAGATACCCGGAAAACTGGGCATAGATGTTTAGCGAGTTAGGAACGGCTTTGATAGTAAACTTGACTACAAAACTTTAAACTTAAGATATTAAATTACATAAGCTATTAATATCCTTATGCTTAATAAGGTGTAAAGAAACTAGACGGCGTGCTTTAGTCGGGAGTGCACGACTAGAAGATACGCGGAAGGCTGTGCAGAACTGATATTTCAATTATGTTAGACTTGAATTAGACAGGCATAACAAGCAAGTCAGTGACTTGGCTTAAATTATGGGTTTTACTATGGGAAATTTGTTAGTGAACAGCATTTCTTCTATATGCATTTTCTTAATGATATGTTCAGTTGTATCATTTATCAAAGTTAAAGGCTCTGCTATTTGAAAAAGTTTTTTTTATATATCTTGATGCATTAACAAACAGCTGAAGGCATGATAGCCCTCATAAAGTATATATATTCCTGGTCAGTATTAAAAACTCTGTCTGTGTTTCCAGCTTTTCGTATTTATATATATGCTGAAGACCTATAGATCGAATAGCATGCCCAGCTCATGTTTCGATATCTTTTAATTTGATTCATAACTCATAATAAATTTATAATATTTTTATATGACATATTTATATATTCAATATATTTATGTACAATACATTTCAAGTTTCTCTATATTTTCATGAATGCAAGAATTAAGCCACGCCCTCTTCTGCCTGTTACAGATATATAGGCATAGTATATCCCGAATTTCCATTTTCAAATAGTTAAGGCTTTGTCGAGGGAACATTCTTCTCCACAAATATAATTGTCGAACAGAGGAAACTCTTATATAAAGTACGAAAATTGCATTGGACTTTTGACCTAACTTAAGCAATTTCAGTTTTTATTGATACACTATAAATAATTTATAAGTACAACGAAAAAACCAACTTTGTTAATATAAATGTCTTCATTCTAGGCGACAGACTGCGTATTATGACGGAAAGAGTACGAGGCTTCAATCAATCGATAGCTGCTTGGCTTATCAATACTAGTTACGTGCTGGAAGATTAGATTGGAATAGATCAAGTGTCTAATGGGTGTTAACATTTCTGTTAACACTGTAACAGTGCTGTTAGAGATATAACAGAGCTTTTAATATTTAGCAGTTGTTATTTGGACACCTTTTCGACATTTAGGTAAATGCCGTTCTCAGATGATAAGAGTATATTTTTGGAGACCCACTTCATGGGTATTTGGGTCTGCGGCGACACACTGAACTTGAAGTCTCTGATCAGATGGGCCAAGCCAACGGCAGTTTGCATAAGGCCAAAGCGTGAGCCAATGCAATTGCGAGGTCCTTCGCCAAAGGGCAGCCAGCTGCAGGCTGGTCGCGCGGTTATCTCCTCCTCCGTGAAGCGTTCGGGCTTGAACTTTTGTGGCTCCGGATAGATGTCGGCATCATAGTGTATGCCCAGGGCGGGTATCACAACTACGGTGCCCTTTTCAATATAATGTTTGGGGTCTCCTGGCGAATAGTCAGAGATGGTCCTACGGGTGAGATGGGGCAGCACGGGATACTTTCGCAGAGTTTCTGCAAGCAAATTAGAGTTTTGAGTATTATATAAATAAATGTGGCATGCTGAACTCTTTACCCATGACAACCTGTTGAAGATAACTCATTTGCTTCACATTATCGTAGGTGTATTCGTTGTTGTGCTTGCTCAGCACCTCGTTGATCTCCGCTCTCAGCTTGTCCTGTATGTCCTGATGCTGGGCCAGCTCATAGAGGGCAAAGCCCATGGTTGTGGAGCTGGTCTCGAAGCCGGCCACAAAGAATATGAATGCCTGGGCGGCCAGCTCCTCAAAGGTCAGACCCTCTTCGGCGTTGCCCTCCTGCTGCTTCTGATACATTTCGATAAGCATGTCCATGAAATCGTGGCGTTTCTCCTTGGTCTTCAGGCGATAGTTGATGGTGTCGCGCACGATGCGCATATAGAAATCCTCAACCTCTTGAATGGTTATCTTCAGATGCATGCGACGCGCCAGCCGGGGAAAGCCAAAGATGAAGAAGTCAAGCAGACCGCGATACCGACGCTCCGTCACGGCTCGTTTGCCCATGTTGACGAAGTCCGCATCGGGATTGCGCTGGCTGTTGCAGTCGAGGCCAAAGGCGCAGTTGCCGATGACATCGGCAGTGTAGCGTCCCACTAGGTCGGTGACCTCCAAAACCTGCGGTTCGGACACCTTTTCCTTGAAAATCTTGGCCATCTCCTCAGCCACCTTCAAAACGAGGGGCAGCATGTGCTTCATCTTGCCCGAGGTGAAGGTGGGCGTTAGCTTGTGCCGCAGCTGGCGCCACTTGTGACCCTCAATGCTGAACAGCGTCGCCGACAGCGGATCGTCCACTTCGTTGTAGAAGATGCCGCGATTCTCGAAGTTATTGAAGTCCTTTATCAAGACACGCTTCACCAGCTCCATGTCGGTGACAATGACGGTCTTTGTGAAGAAGAAATAGAAGCCCGCAAAGGGCACATTTCGGTTCTTGTATTTCTGATAGTAGTCCCCGAAGATAACGCCCAACTGTCGCTTGCTCTGCCAACCGATTAGGTTGCCTTTCGGTAACTTGGGCACATCGTGCGGAATGCCGCGGCGATTCCAGTAGTTGTACCTATGCCGAGCTGCATAGTAAAGCAGCGTTATTATGATACCAAGCAGCGCTATAACTATCGACATCTTCAGACTTCTAAGCAGACTGAGCAAACGGTTTGCCAAGCACACGATATTTATAGGCGAAAGCTCGCGCTCAAAAAGCTTTTGCCACAAGCAATTAGAGAGAAGAGAGTGAGAGCCAGGGAGAGAGAGAGTGATATGTTTTGCTTGAGAGAATAAAGATCAAGCTCTAAAATAACAAATATTGAAATATTATTATATTGGAATATTATTATATTCTATTTTTAGCCAAAACAAGTTGTGCTTGAATTTCTGTTGTAATTGTAATCATAGTTAGCTTTAATTTTTGAAATATCTTCCACTTTTCAGTCATCTATCTAATCTAACACTGAGTTCAGAGTCTCAAATGCTGCAATTTTCTGCTGAATAATCGAAATTGTTGTGTTCAGGTTTTTAGATATAAATAAAATATGTCTATTAATCGAAGGCAAATCAAATCACATTTATTTATTTAAAAGGCGTTACACGAATAAGCTTAATTGTAAGATACAAAATTAAATTGATAATTGTTTCGTATTATAAATTCTATTTTAGATTTATATTTAGCATAAGTTTTAGATTAGTTAATAATATTATAAATGCATAATTCATAATCAGGCAGTGGTCAATGGTGTTGAGGATATGCTTATTTAGGTAACTACTGATCCATATTTGAGTCTTCCTTTCAGAATTATTCCTTTAGCTCTTCGACCTTTAAGTAAATGCCCTTTACTGGACACAGCAATAGGTTCGAGCTGAGAAATTCTATCTTGGACTGAGTGCGCGGACAGACACTGAACTGAAACCGTCTTAGCAGATAGAACAGGGCAATGCTCGTCTGCATCTTGCCGAAACGCATGCCGATGCAGTTGCGCGGTCCGTCGCCGAAGGGCAGCCAGGAGGCGGTGGGTCGCTGGGCCATCTGGTCGGCCAGAAAGCGTTCCGGTATAAATTTGTGCGGCTCGGGATATAGGGCTGGATCGTGATGTATGCCATAGACGGGTATGAAGAGCATCTGGCCGGGCTCTATGTAAAAGTGTCGATTGCCCTTGGCCGCATAATATTTGCGCGAGACGCGCGAGAGGTGAGGCAGTGTGGGATACTTGCGTAGCGTCTCTAAGAGGTTCGGATCATGAATAATATATGCCATATAAACACTTTGAATGTCTTATCTTCCCAGTAGTACTGACCTGCTATAACCAGTTCCATGTAGCGCAGCTCCTGCATGCACTCGTAGGTGAATTGTCCGCCGTGCGCCTCCAGTGCCAGCTCGATTTCTTGTCTTAGCTTCAGCTGGATCTGCGGCTGCTTGGCCAGCTCGTACAAGGCGAAGGCCAAGGTCGAGGCGGAGGTATCGAAGCCGGCGGCAAAGAAGATGAACGACTGAGCAGCCATCTCTGGCAGCGTGAGCTCCCCGCGTTGCTTCATTTCGATCAGCAGATTCATGAAGTCGTTGCGCACGATGCCCTTGGACTCGCGCTCCTTGACCGTGTCCCTGACGATGCGCATGTAGAAGTCGGTGATGTCCTGGTGTATCTGGCAGAGACGCAGTCGCCGTGCCAGCTTTGGAAAGCTTTCGATGAATCCGTCGATGAGCTTGTTGTGACGCCGTTCCGTAAAGGCGCGTCGTCCCATGACGGCGAACTCGGCCTCCGGATTGCGCAGTCCATTGCACTCCAGGCCAAACACACAGCTTCCAATCACATCTGAAGTGTACCTGGCCATCAGTTCGTTGATCTCGAGAATGCCGCATATGGAATTGCTTGCCAGCTCGGCGCAGACCTGAGCCAGCTGCTCGCCCACGGCGCAGACAGTGGGAAACATGAACTTCATCTTGCCGGAGCTGAAGGTGGACGACATCTTCTGACGCAGCGGTCGCCACTTGGGTCCATCGATGCGAAAGAGATGCCCTGTGAGTGGGTCATCGCGTTCGTTGTGGTACATGCCGCGATCCTCAAAGTTGGCAAAGTCCCTGATTAGCACCTGCTTGGCCAGCTCCAGATCCAGCACCAGCACCACCGGTCGCAGCATAAAGTAGAAACCGGCAAATGGTGCCCCGGTGGACTTGAAGCTTTCATAGAGCGGCGTCAGAATATCTTTAAAGTGCTTGGTTTTGCGATAGCCTTCCAGGTTGCCCATGGGAAAAGTGGGCCGCACATGGCTGATGTGACGTCGCGCCCAATAGCTGAGCCTGGTGCGCACAAACCAGAAGCTCAAGGCAAGTGTGACCAGGAGCAGAGCAATCACATCCAACATATCGCGCGTTTCACTTTCAACTGATCTGAGTCTGTTCTCTGAAGCTGCGCCTAATCAGCTGCTCCTCTGAGTAGAGTACAAAGTGCGTTTCAACGTAAACAACTCTCTGACAGATAGCATCGATTGGTGCACTGGAACTGAGATGCTTGCAGATCAACTATGTATGTGACTGGAATTCGCATGCTCTCAATATTTCCAATGGCCTGAGCTTTGTATGAGTTCTACAGTGAGAGCATCGAATATAGAGAGAGAGAGAACTGAAAAGTGCGCCTTAAACTTGAATAATGGCATTGCGATAACGGCATTGCACACAAGGCGCCGAGTGATAAAGTTAATGCCATGACTTACAGTTACAGTTAGATATTGCATATATTCGCTTTGTGGCTGCACTCTAGTGAAGCGGTGTTCGACTAGGAAATACCCTTTTTCTTATTTACTTTTGCTTAGTTATTAAAAAATCCGAATTTGTTGCAATTTATATATACACATTAGTTAATTCCATATATATATATATATATATATATATATATATATATATATTTATGTATACCAACTTATTATTGAACTAATGTACAGTACTAATACAATACCATTTTAGTTATATGCAGGGTATGTTAAGCTATGACTACATTATATATACATCTGTATGTTTGGAAGCAAGTCGTTTACACGTTTCAACTATTTTTAACGAACATCAAATAAGCGTTGGCAGACACATAGACAGAGTAAAAGAGAGGGAGAGAGAGACATACAGCGAAAAACAATAACAGCATAAGTTTTGTCAAGTGCTGAAGCTCTGGAATGAGCTTTTCGCTTATCAAGTTTATTTGTAGGTGCGTAGTCTTAGTTCGTATGGATACAAACATTTTTGTATTTCATTGATTTGCTGCGTATTGCAAATTATTATTATCGCAGACCCTGACCTATGACAACATTTAAGCAATTAAACACAATTCCATATAAAGTTTAAAACTCAAGAAAGATGCTAAATTTTACTGGAATATGTGCTGTCTGTCGATCTATTCTTACAACAGGCTAAAAGGTAAATAGACAAATTATACATTTATACGGATAGTAGCGCAATCTGTGCTAGGTTATCAGCTGCACAGCTATCATATTGCTGACATTGCTAAAATGTATTTTTACTTTCAGTACTTTCTGCAGTGGCAGAGAGTGGGCCTGTCCCAACGGGAGACTTTGCATTAGACTCATCTCTTTGCTCTTCTCGCTCCACGATCAGCTGTAGCAGGCAGTATTAAAGCATAAGCATTAAGAGCTTGGACAATGCGCGGTGAGATCCGTTGTCATGCTCACCAATACCTTCACCTCTGTTAATCTTACGGCTGTTAAGTTCTTGCTGTTGTGTTGCTTATTTATAGCTCTCGCATGCTTTGAAGCTAATTCTGGTATTAAGCTGTTATCTATGGTTCTCAATTATGGCCCCCAAAGACTCGTTACTCATGCTTTCTTATCTGCAGTGTGCTTACTTAACATATTTTTTGGCAAACTCATGGCGAACAGACAAATAATTGAATTCTTGTTTTTTGCGATTTAATAGAATTTTTTGTTCAGTTTAAGTGTGGCTTATTAAATACGCTCTACCTTCAAGATGATGCCATTTTGGGTAGACAGGGTAAAGTTACGCTTGTTGAAAATCAGTGGTATCTCAGTTTGCTTGGAGACACCGAACTTGAAGCGGCGCAGCAGGGAAATTAGACCAACTTTAGCCTGCATTTTGCCGAAGCGCTCGCCGATGCAGTTGCGGGGTCCATCGCCAAAGGGCAGATAAGCAAATTGATGTCGTGCCTGGATGGCTTCTGGTTCGAATCGCGCGGGATCAAAGCGTTCGGGATCGGGATAAATCTCAGGGTCATTGTGTATACTATGCACAGGAATGACTATGGAGGTGCCCTGCTCAATGACGAGGTTTGTGCCAGGCACTGGATAATCCTTGTTCGCCAGTCGCATCAGATGGGACAGAATGGGATGCTTACGCAGTGTCTCTACATGGAAATGAATAGGAATTATTAAGGAATATGTGCAGTTAGAGCTAATTTATCCTACCAGCAAGCACTTGTTCCAAATAGCTCATCTGCCCAATGGCCTCGTAGGTGAGCTCTCCATTAGATTGGGCTTGGAGCACCGTTTCGATCTCCTCTCTCAGGCGTGTCTGTATATCCTGCTGCAGGGCCAATTCGTAGAGACAGAAGGCCATGGTGCTCGACGAGGTCTCGAACCCTGCCACGAAGAAGACGAAAGCCTGAGCGGCCATTTGCTCAATGGTCAGACCATGAGATAGATCAATGCCTTTGCCTTGACGTGCTGCCTCCTCATTCTCGGCGCGCAGCTCGATTAGTTGATCGAGGAAATCGTTGCGCTTTATGCCATTCTTGACTCGATGATCGACAGTCGTTCGCACGGCATTCATGAAGAAGTTCGCCATGTCATCGGGCAGCACTTTCAAACGCATCTTTTTCGAAAGCTTCGGATTTGTGAATATGAAGGACTGCACCACCTGTATGTGCCGCGGCTTCTCGAAGAGCATGCGGCCCTTAGCACGGAACTCGGCATACGGATCGGCCAAGCTGTTGCACTCGAGCCCAAAGGCGCAGGTGCCAATGACATCCGTGGTGAAGCGAGCGCAGAGCTCCTTGATCTCTGCATCGGCGATTGCAGCGGTCACCTCCTTGTCCATTGTGTCGGCCAGACGACGGCCCACATCGACTATTACGCCAAACATGTGCTTCATCTTGCCGGAGGTGAAGACGGGCGTCAGCTTGTGCCTCATGGAGCGCCACTCGTCGCCCTCGAGTGTAAAGAGATGTCCGGTTAGCGGCTCATCGCGCACATTGTTGAATACGCCGCGATCCTGAAACGTGGTAAAGTCCTTGATCAACAGCTGCTTGATCAGATCGAGGTCCATTATGAAAGCGACTCTCTTGAAGAACATGTAGAAGCCGGCAAACGGTGTTTTGCCCTTGAATCGATCGTAGAATCTCTGATGTATATCACGGAAATGAAGCTTTGAGCCGATGCCTTTCATGTTGCCAATTATAGGCAGGGGCCGTTCGTAGGGAACACCCAGACGCTCCCAGTAGTTGTACGTATTCTGGTAGAAGCTGTATAGCAGGGCCAGTGCCACGCCCAGCAGCGCGATCGTTAGAAACACCATGGTATGCAGTGAGCTGGGCCAGCGTCGTAGGAGAACTGAATAAATATTCGAGCTTTTTATTCTATTTATGCGCAATAGAACTTGATAAGCTTCCAGAGAGTCTAGTTTGTAAACTCTCTAAATTCTTGGGTGCTCGCTGAAACAGAATTGAAAATAAAGATTTAATTTGTTTACCCTTTTAGCCACGAAGTGGCCAAACAAGTATGCAAATTTCGTTCAAATGCGGGAGTAAAGTGCGACAGATTGTTACTAAATCCAAGGTCTTATCAGCTGTACATCAGGTGTACATACGTAGATGTAGATATGTGCATCAGCAGCAGAAGATGGAACATTGATGCTAATTTGGCCATATTGCTAACATAATTTCACAATGCCAAATGCAAGAGAATAAGAGAATGTTGCAGTCGGGTGTAGACGACTTACCAATACTCGTTCACTGTCAAGTTGCAGCTTTGACTTGACTTGAATGAGCTTTCAATATACGAGTGAATGTGAATATGAATATGAATATGAATATGAATATAAATGTGAATATGAATATGAATATGAATATGAATATGAATATGAATATGAATATGAATATGAAAATGAATATGAATATGAATATGAATATGAATATGAATATGAATATGAATATGAATATGAATATGAATATGAATATGAATATGAATATGAATATGAATATGAATATGAATATGAATATGAATATGAATATGAATATGAATATGAAAATGAATATGAATATGAATATGAATATAAATGTGAATATGAATATGAATATGAATATGAATAAGAATATGAATATGAATATGAATATGAATATGAATATGAACATGAATATGAATATGAATATGAAAATTAATATGAATATGAAAATGAATATGAATATGAATATGAATATGAATATGAATATAAATATAAATATGATTTTGAGCTTTTACTATAAAGACATTCCATATTTTACTTATCTAACTCTATCTTAGATATATTTATTTAAGAATCTTATTATTTAATTTACTTGGACTTAGATAAATGACAGGCGCAATTAATATACTCCATTTAGCATTGAGCGAGTATTAGACTTATCAGTTAATAGACGTTGTGTATTTCAATCATTTCGTTGAATAGTTTAGATTAGATAGAACATGGAAAGAAATCGTTATTAGTTAAGCATAATCCTTGCTTAGTCAAACTTCGCAGAAGACATATCACGATGGTATTTTCTGATGAAATTATTGAGCTATTTTAGGTAACTTTTGTAGAGAATGTAAAGAATGAATGGAAGGAAGACATGAAAGACAGCTTCTTGATATTAAGCATATTTATAAAATCTTATTCGATTTCATATGCAAATATATTATTTGCTCTCAATCCGATTCTGGTCTATGCTTCTCACCATTGTGACCTTTTGCTGTCTACTGGTAAATAAAAGGTAATCGAGCTAGAGACCGATGACATTTTTCAATTAAAGTCTCTTTGGTTTGCTCTTTCTAATTGGAATGGCAGCTGTTGCTGCTGTTGCTGCTGCTTCTGCTGCTGCTCTCGTGCGCTTGCATATCTATCGGCTTTTGTTTTGCTGTGTGTTGTTTGCTTTGATTGTGCTGGCTTTTGGCATTGTTTTAATTAAATTTGTCCCGTGTTAACTCAAATCTTCTGTGAACTGTTTGGAACTTACATAAAATTTAGAATTACAGTCCGCCAGCTCCACAGCGGGCGGGGCCAATTGACAGGCAGCATCGAGACGGGGAGCCCGGCTTTATTACAAAATCGCGCGCAAATTTATGCGAAAGCGATTAGAGGTCCATAAAACGTTGATTTTGATGGGCAGCATCGCCGGAAGCTCGAGCAGCGCCTGCTGACTTTTGCGGCTCGTGCCGATCCCTCCCGATGTGGCCGCCTCGCACGTGCACGTTAATAAAACCGCTCTGCAGGTCTCTGTGTGTGTATGTGTGCATGTGTGTGTGTATTGTGGTACTTAAAGGATTTCGCCTAATGCTTACTGCCTGTTTTATGCCGCTAATGCGCCATAGCCATTTTCGAATAGACATAAAAAAGTGTAGCTCTGCGCTTTAGCCCAACTGCCCATGAAGTGGGTCGCATCAGTTTCACAGCGGGACAAATCGAAAGCGGGTCAAAGCGCACAATGAAAAGATGGCTTTAAGCCCAATGTCTAGACGGAAAGTCTCACTGCAGCTGCACAGCCAATGTGATTTTCATATTTTCAATAAATAAAATCTATAAAATTGTTGAAGCTTCAATAAATATTGTGGACAATGGTGATAATGCTATTATTTATTGCATTGAAAAAGGTTATAGCTTAGAATTTTATTTTTTCAAAATATGTATATGCTTCATGTTACAGTTACATTTCAGCACTTATTAGTATTAAATTCTAGGCAATATAAATTTATTTGCATATGAATAAATATCTCAAAAAATTGAATCAAATATTTTTGTTTCAATCTATTGTTTTTGTTTTATTTATATAACCTTATGCCCTGCCCACTTTTAAGCAGGGCATTTACTGAATAAAAGCAATCAGTATTTGAAATTCAAGTGCAAATTGTGATTAGACGTGTCGTTTAGGAGATATGGTTATGTGAAACATGTAGATTAGCACTTGAATGTAGATTTAGAAGCAACTGCAAGTTTAATATAAATATTTTATTCTAAATAATTAAATAAATAATAATAATAAAAAAATAATAATATTCTTAATAAATTTCTATAAGAGATGTATGCAAAATTTCAAGGGAGCTTCTTATGCACGATTATTTAAGCGAATTCAAGCCGCTTAACTTAGAGTTCAGTAGCTGCAAGCAAACAATGATTGCTGATATCATCGAACAAATCAACGACTGTCCTGCGGACAGTGAAACCTTAATCTCAGCCCGGGGTATTTTATGCAGCGTAAATGCCAGGCAATTGTTGGGCTACAATATGAAAGACATTGGAGCTGCTGAAGAAGATATTACTGAGTACTCTTTCTGACCTTGATCTTGTCAACAAAGAATTTTTCTGAGCTTGATCTTGATCTTTACATTTGTAAAGAACATGTATATTTTTGTATATATATATATATATATATTTGTTGTAATTTTTGTTGTTTTGTTGTTTTATTAGCATTATTTGTTTTATGCAGCGTCAATCTTAATTTTTTTATTTTGGTTGTGTTTTTATACCCTGATCCCATTAAAAATGGGAAATCAGGGTATAATGGTTTTGTGCAAATGTATGTAACAGGCAGAAGGAGGCGTGGCAGACCCCATAAAGTATATATATTCTTGATCAGGACGACAAGCCGAGTCGATTGAGCCCTGTCCGTCTGTCTGTCTGTCCGTCTGTCCGTCTGTCCGTATGTGTGAACGCGTGGATCTCAGCATCTATAAGAGCTAGAGACTTGAAATTTTTTTTGTAGGTCCGTGTATAGCACGCGCAGGTCAAGTTTGTTTCAAATATTCGATAACTATTCGCATTTAATTGTTATCGAATAAAAACATTATTGAAATGCAGTAAATAAATTATATCTCGAACGTCTTAAGAGCTAGAGCCTCCAAATTTTGTATTTAGTCTTATGTATATTTTATGCAATTTTGATTTTTGTTGGATTTTGGATACCGGCTCCAAATTCCCCCAAATTCTTAGAATTTAAGTTTAGTTGGAACTAGGGCCATTATGTGAAGGCGTTTGCATCTCAACCAAGCCAATAGGATATGTAGATCATATGCTGAAAATTTCATTAAAATCCATTAAGTAAAACAGAAGTTATTAAACAAAACGTTTGGCCAATTTGCAAAAGCACATGTCAGCAGCGCCACGCGCACGCATTTTTCCTATGCGTGTGCACACATACATTCAAATGCGTGTATTCTTTTCTATTCCAAGAATTGAAATTGCGATTGAATTGTGCTGAATTATTAGCTGCTACTTATGTTTAAATTTGCAACAGTGGCAGTGGCTGCGTTGGTAGAGGCGCTGCTCGTGTGCAGCTTGGTCCGGGTTCGAGACCAGTGGAAATGAAATCTTTTTTGTTTTATTTTTTTTTTTAGTTATGAAGTGGCGGTGTTTGTAGTGTTTGTACACGTTGCGCAAATAATCCGGGTTCGAATCCTGGTCTCGCAAACTACGGAAAATATTACAAAACTCAAAGGACTGGGATCAGGGTATCTCCTAGTCGGGCACCCCGACTAGAGCTTTCTTACTTGTTTTTTTTAATTTTTGTTGTTGTTTTTCTGCACTCAAATTTATTATCACTAAATTTTTTATTTTAATTTTTGGTCGCATGATTCCAGAGCTCATATTTCCCTACTACTATATGTTGAAGTAAAAAATATTCTAATGCAAATAAATAAGCCTTAAAATATCCAAAAATATTGAGTTCAATTACAGCAACTTTTAATACTTATCGACCTTGACAGTTCCTATTTTATTAAAAACCCCGTTTTGCACAGGTTAAACGAAGCTGAAAACAATGAATCTGATTAAAGATTCAGCCAACGAGCTTAGCCAACTTTTCTGCCAGAGGAAAAATTAAATTTTCTCATTCGTTAAGCCTTTAGCCCAATAGCCGAGGGCATTGCCCATGAATTATTTATTTGTAGGCAATATTTGGGTTTTTATTAAGCTCGAACTCGAACGCAAAGTTTTCTTGGAGACTTTGACAATCCAATTTGCGCGCACTTAAAGCCGCCTGAAGAACTAGATTTGTATTTAGATTGCTTCAGTCAGTTACAAGAGAGCATTTATTTCCATGCTTAACTTTCTCTTTTTTGTTGTGTTATAATTTATTTTGTGAAACGCTTCCTTGTCGCCAATAAATGTGTGAAGCCAATGAAATTGGTTGGGGAAATTACAAAAGCAAGCCAATGGGACGCCAAAAGCAATTTAATGTGTCACTTGCTACGTTGAATTGTGGTGCAGGCTTGGCCAGCTGACCAAACCACTTCAAAGTGATGGTCAGCCTGAGCCCGTTGCCAATATTGAACTGAGACCGAAAAAGCGCAGTTGACAACATGTTCGAATGA